GTTGTCTCAGCCGGACTTTCGAACACTAGTGCCGCTGCTGGCGGCGCCGGTGCAGGTGGGGCCAGCGTGAATGCTTTGGTCAACATCTATGAAGAGCAGGTGGCACCCACCGAGCATCCTGGTCCGTTGATATTCCTTCATGCCGGCCACTACAAGGGCGAGTATCTGTTCATTGACTCGGACGTGGCTCTTGTGGGAGCAGCACCTGGCAACGTGGCCGAGTCAGTGATCCTGGAGCGGGAGGCCGGATCCACCGTGATGTTCGTGGAGGGCGCCAAGTACGCCTATGTTGGCTATCTCACGCTCAAGTTTTCCCCGGAAGTCACCTCGACTGTGTCGCATCACAAGCACTATTGTCTGGACATTGGCGAGAACTGCTCACCCACTGTGGATAACTGCATCATTCGCTCCACCTCGGTAGTGGGCGCTGCCGTTTGTGTGGGTGGTGTCAATGCCAATCCCGTGATCCGCAACTGCGATATCAGTGACTGTGAAAATGTTGGCCTCTACGTCACTGACTACGCCCAGGGCACCTACGAGCACAACGAGATCAGCCGGAACGCGTTGGCGGGTATTTGGGTGAAGAACTTTGCCAGTCCGATTATGCGGGAGAACCACATACACCATGGACGAGATGTGGGCATATTTACCTTCGAAAATGGAATGGTAAGATGAAACGAAATACTGAATAATTTCTGCTAATAATTTATAAAAACTTTGATTCCATGCAATCAACTGTAAAGTTATATACAAATTTGGTCTGAGATATAGCCACAGATTATATGGGATTCTATTGGGGATGTACCTATCTGATCATGCAAAATGCACAGCAAAATTAACGAAGTTATGCTTAGTTAAAAGGAGGTCCTTTGGAGTTCAATGTTTGCTTTAAGGAACCTAATTTTTTAGTGAAAAATCGAGATTTTGACTTCCAATTTTAATTAAAAATCTGAAAACATTTTTTTACATAAAAAAACTCTACGTTTGTACCTCGGGACACTTATGCTTTACAGAATACATTATAATATGTTGATATCTGATGATTCAGTGGACAGTTAGGATGTTCACAAAAACTATAGTTAAGTTATGCTAAGCTGTCTAATTGTTTTATAGAAAAATTAATAAATTCTCTTTTTAAATTCTGCTTTCTAGGGCTATTTTGAGAAGAACGACATTCACAACAATCGCATCGCCGGTTTCGAAGTGAAGGCCGGAGCCAATCCCACCGTGGTCAAGTGCGAGATCCATCATGGCCAGACGGGCGGTATTTATGTGCACGAGAATGGACTGGGCCAGTTCATCGAGAACCGCATTCACTCGAATAACTTTGCAGGTAAGTCAGCAACGAGTCCTGTAAAAATCGAAATAGTGGTTGCTAATCTTAAACCCTTTCTTTAAGGTGTCTGGATAACCTCCAACAGCAATCCCACCATCCGCAAGAACGAGATCTACAATGGTCACCAAGGTGGTGTGTACATCTTCGGCGAGGGTCGCGGTCTGATCGAACACAATAATATTTACGGCAATGCGCTGGCCGGCATTCAGATTCGCACCAACAGCGACCCGATTGTGCGGCACAACAAAATACACCATGGCCAGCACGGTGGCATTTATGTGCATGAGAAGGGTCAGGGCTTGATTGAGGAGAACGAGGTATATTCCAACACGCTGGCCGGCGTGTGGATCACCACCGGGAGCACCCCAGTTCTGCGACGAAATCGCATCCATTCGGGCAAGCAAGTCGGCGTCTACTTCTACGACAATGGTCATGGAAAACTGGAGGACAACGACATTTTTAACCACCTGTACTCGGGCGTGCAGATTCGAACGGGCAGCAATCCGGTGATAAGGGGCAATAAGATCTGGGGCGGACAGAATGGCGGAGTGCTCGTCTACAACGGCGGTCTGGGGCTGCTGGAGCAGAATGAGATCTTCGACAATGCCATGGCAGGTGTGTGGATCAAAACGGACTCGAATCCGACGCTCAAGCGGAACAAGATCTACGATGGTCGGGATGGCGGCATCTGCATCTTTAACGGCGGCAAGGGGATTTTAGAGGAGAACGACATTTTCCGCAATACCCAAGCCGGTGTGCTCATCTCAACGCAGTCGCATCCGATCCTCCGACGGAATCGCATCTACGACGGCCAAGCGGCCGGTGTGGAGATCACCAATAATGCAACGGCAACGCTGGAACATAATCAGATATTCAAGAACAAGTTCGGCGGGCTGTGCCTGGCCAGCGGCGTTCAGCCCATCACACGTGGCAATAACATCTTCAACAACGAGGACGAGGTGGAGAAGGCCGTCTCCAGCGGGCAGTGCCTCTACAAGATTAGCAGCTACACCTCCTTCCCCATGCACGATTTCTACCGCTGCCAGACCTGCAATACAACCGACCGCAATGCCATCTGCGTTAACTGCATCAAGAATTGTCATGCGGGCCATGACGTGGAGTTCATAAGACACGATCGGTGAGTATACGACGTAGCCTAACCGAATATGTATCGTAGATGTTATTATAATCGAATGTGTTGATTGATGATGTGATTGATATTTAGAAAAAAGTACTATATAATATATGATATATTTACATATATTGTATATACATACAAATACAAAAAAATCAATATCAATATCAATCAATCAATATCCAAATTTTGAAATCTCGAAAAAAAATATTGCATTTAACTTTAAAATATCTATATATCTCTAAAATTATGTACTTATTATTATTTAATAATAAGTATTATAAAAGTCCAATATCTTAGGAATATTGTGTCAAAGTTTTACATCAATTATAGCAAAATTGAAGAAGTTATGCGTAGTTTGGGAAGATAACTCAAAATCTACTCGATTAATCGGTTTGAAACTTCTTTAACGTATTCTTCAGCTACTCACATCGAGCTTTGTTTAATTTTACATTTTTTTATATTTTTAATTTAACAAATTAACAACATTTTTAGTCAAAAATCAGTGTTTAAAATTTAAATTTTGATAAAAAATCGGAAACACTTTGGGACTCTTATCTCTAAACGGGTTATTTTCCTTTATCGAGTTATTTGGTGAACAGTTAGGATGTACACAGCAAAATAAACACCGTAATTCTTAATTTAAATATAGATTTTTTCGGACTATGCGTTAAATATTGATACGAAATCGATATTTTCCAGAATATGTTAAATATATATTTGTACTAAAGCCTCCTTGGTTCCCTTCACAGATTCTTTTGCGACTGCGGTGCTGGCACCCTGTCCAATCAGTGTCAACTGCAGGGCGAACCCACGCAGGACACGGACACGCTCTACGACTCGGCAGCTCCGATGGAATCGCACACGCTGATGGTCAACTAAACGGGATTAGGATCGGAAGCTAGACCACGGTTCTTTTTAGCTGTATCTTTAAGTGTCGCTAAGGCCAAGCTCTCAACTCTCTCTCGCACATCTCACGTGTAGCTGTAAATATTTGAGAAACAAACACAAAAAGAACAAGAAAAGAAAACAACAACAAACAATAATACAATTAATTGTATGTAAATAATAACTAATTATTCTTGCGTTCAAAATTTAACTCAATGTGCAATTTAGTTTAACACAAACACTTAAACACGCAAAGTTTTTTTTCACTTTTTAAACGGATCATGGAACGGAAATCTTGTGCTATGCCATTTTTCCATTTTATGTCACAACGAATGAATAACTGAAGAGGAGAAGAGGAATACTTTTACTAAATAATGCATTTGTTTGTACGACTAAATGTTGTAAATGAAAGACGAGAAGGAGGTATCCTCTCGAGCCCAGTGAAGAACAATTTTGTAATGTAGACTAGTAGAGATTTTAAAATTACATCCATTAACATAAAGTACGATTTAAGCCAATAGATATTAAAGAGATACACAGGCGAGCGTGTCGGCCCCTGGACTAACAAGAAAACAATTCGAAGAAAGCAATTCTAAGTATTAACAACAAACTAGATTAGCGGCAGCCAACTAACCTATGATTATACGAGTTTAGTAAACATATACATACATTTACGGCACTCTACTATATTGTGGCATAGCGACATAAGTTCGCCGACATAAACTCGCCCAGAACAAAGACCAATCCGAGGCTTTATGAAGCCTCAAAATTACATCAAATCGGGCAACTTATTTGTACAAGTTACTGAACTACAGCAACAGAACACTGCTCTGAGCAGACACAAAAGTTGAAAAGTTTGAGCTTATGTCGGCGGACTTGTGTCGCCAACTCCCCCTATATTGTAATTGCATTCATGCGAGTCTAAGCGAATTCTACTGAAACAGCACACACGGACAAGATACAAAATCAAAAAGCCTTTACCAAGCGTAAAATACCAAGCAATATTTCATGTCTAAATGTTGTAGAACAAATTTGTAGCTCAAACGTAACAGAGAGAAATAATAGTAACAAAAAACAAAACAAAACGAATCGAAAGCCATGTGTCATTTTAGTTATTTAAGCTGAGAGATGAACAGAGTTTTAGTATTTCGGAGTATTCGAATTATGCAAATCATTTACATAAACATACATATATTTTAAGAATGTAGCCACTACTCGTAAGCAAACGCATAGATGACATTACTCGATAACTGAGCGTGTGCATATTTTGTTTGTTAATTGCCTAACATATATATTAATTTTTATTTATACTTGTGTTTGCCTGTTTTTCGTCGTAGCCCCCTTTACTCGCTGTACGAATCAGATAACCATATACATAAATACTGCAACTACTATATACTACGTAACATAAAATATACAACGTCGAGAGTGTATTGATTTACTAACCAGAACTTTTGTTTCTTGACCAGGCACACACACTCAAACACCTATATGCGTATATATAGGACTATACTATGTAGAGATTGATTTTAATGTGTTACCTATTCAAGCTAATAACGTCGTCGTCGCCCTTTACTTGGACAAACCACTAAATATACAATAATATATATATATATATACACAAGGAATAAGCTAATAATATTTGAAATTTGAAAGAAAGATACTATTTTTATTGGGATAATCCGGATTATTTTCTACAATTGACAGACGCAAGGGTCGTTACCAGCCTTCTCCTTCTCCATATAGCGCATCAGGGTCACGATATGCTCATGATTGGCCGCCTTGGCATAGTCCAAAGGCGTCATGCCCATCTCATCCTTGACGTATGGATTCTGGTAGTGTGGCATCAGGTACTCCACCACCTCATGGTTGCCCAACTGGCAGGCATAGTGCAGGGCCGTGCGTCCCGTCCGATCCGCCAGCGTCAGATCAGCCCCCGCCAACCGGAAGGACTCTAAGCGCGCAACCTTGCCGCGCTCCGTGAGGGCACGCAGCATCTCCGCCTGTACCAGCGGCTGATCGTTTAACTTGGCATCATGCTGGAGCAGGGTTTGGATTATCTTATGGTTGTCCGTGTCGATGGCCTCATGTAGTGGCGTCCGATTAAAGCGATCGTGCACATTGACCGGGCAACCAGCCGAGATCAGATAGCACACGCAGTTGAGCTTGCCCAGGAAGCAGGCCAGATGCAGGGCACTGCGCCCGTCGCAGTTGGTGTCGCACAGATCAGCTCCGTACTGCTTCAGGTCGCCCAGCTTGTTCACATCACCCGCGCAGACGGCGGCGGCCACCAGGGCGGGATAGAAGGTGGAGCACATCTGCTTCTGCTCCGTACCCGAGGCCATGTGCAGCGTTCGGGCCACGCCCTCTATTAGGTCGATGTCATTGATCTTGGCCACCTTGTTGGTGGTCACCTCACCGCGCAGGCTCAGTAGCATCACCTTCTTCTTGTTGGGCAGATCCCACTCGGGCTTGGACAGCACATAGGCCAGCTTGGTAAAGGCGGCCTCCTCGGTCATGTCATAGCCGGGTATTATGCCCACCTCCTGGAACACCTTGCCCGTCTCGTTATTGTACGCCACCATGCCCGTGGAACACTGCGATATATAAACGACAAGCACGCCTCGGAGGACCGCCTCTCTCAGTTGGTCCAGTAGCTCCTCTTGGTGTATCGGAAAGTTGCCTGCACCGAAGGTCTGCAGCACCACGCCCTTCATGGGTTCGCTGAGAAAGGCCTTCATCACATCCACACTTATGCCCGGGTATATTCGCAGCAGGCCGACGTTCTTCTCCAGTTCGCAATGCACCGTAAACTTGTTGACGCTGCACGGCCGGAAAATCTGCCTGCTGTTGATCTCGATTTTGAAACCCGTCCGACCAAGCGGTGGAAAATTGGGCGAGTCCAGGGCGTGAAAGGACTCTGCGTTAATCTTTGTGGAACGACATCCGCGGAGTATCTTGCCGCCAAAGAAGACTAGAACCTCGGGAATGTTGTAGTTGCCAGCCACCAACAAGGCATTTAGGAAGTTATCCCGGCCATCAGAGCGCGCCTCGAATATGGGGATCTGAGCCCCTGTGACCAAGACGGGTTTGTTTAAGCCCTCCAGCATGAAAGCCAGGGCCGAGGCAGTATAAGCCAGGGTATCGGTGCCTTGTAGTATCACGAATCCATCAAAGTCCTTGTAGGTTTTCTAAGGAACAATAGATTATTACTACCACCGAATATAAAAGGACGCTCTTCCATAAACTTACGCCTACTTCCTTGACAATCATCTTCCACTCGGCTATCCCCATGCAGCTGGAGTCTATCAGTGGAGAGAACTCCTTCAGGTTGTAGAGTACGCGAAATGGCGCATCCTTCACCGCGGGAAGCACTAGAAAAGGCTCCTCGCTATCCACTTTGTACTCCTTGTCGTGGCAGCTGGGACACTCTTGGAAGCGAGTTGCGAGCACATTGGGTTCGCTAGCCAGCTCTGGATTGGACGGTGAACGTTTGGTACTGGGACTAGGCTAATCTTTGTATTGTCTACCCACCCCCGTTATCGTCGCGCAGCATTCCAATTGCCCCACCCACGTAGATCACATGGACACGGGCTTCCTTTTTGTTGCAGTCGCACATCGGCCTAGACATCTTTCCGAAATGTACAACAAATTTGGAATTTTGAAAGCTAGGAAATAAGGATTAGATCGGACAGAAACGACAGCGAAAGTCACCGGACGATCACTGAACGGTTTTTTGAAGTGTTTCACCTGGCATTACGAGAGAGGCTTTAAGGGGGGATATATGTACATGAAAAGCAACATTTTGTAGGCATCTTATTACATTTTTTAACAATAGGTTATTATTTATAGAATATACTGTGAAAGTTTCAGTTTCGAATTCAAACTTTAAGTGAATTTACTTTTTTTTATGATAATTTCTTTGGGTTTTTTAGGTTCACATAGAAGAAGAAACGTATAATAAATACAAATAATTTTTGTTTTTGGATTTCCGACACGAATTACGAAATCTATCGTGTGCAAAGGTTTTTCATTTTGTAAAATATTGTTTATAACTATTTTTTAACACCTCCGATTTTCCTTTTAACTGTCCCCGAAGTTTCACAATGACTATTATTTTCTACAACAAAATTTTGACCCCTTAGTAATGTTTTAAATGTTGCCGCCAAACAAAATATACCGTTGATGCCAGACGTAGTGTGACCAAAACTGCTTGGTTAAAGTTAGAGATGGACAACAAAATGGATAAGATAGGAAGAAAATTAAATTTACGTTGCGCTAAATAGTAATGAATGGTTAATAAACAATTAAGTTCGACTATAAAAAATTACAAATAAAATATATTAAAAGAGGTCCTTGACCGTCTTGCTTCATATAAATGAAAATTAATTCAATTAATCGCCCACGCCGTGAGTCGACCCTGCTCGTGAGCCGTAGCAGGTAGATGGAAACAGGCCATCTCTAGTCCAGAGCGCAGTGCAACAAATAATAAATAAATAAATACCACAGCACAAAGCATTAAACGAATAAATTGCACCCCGCGGCGCGTCAACCGAAATCTCGAGTTATCATCGCCGTTGGCTGTTTGGCCGCTCGGCTGCCAGTGAGTCCGCCGTATCAGTCGCTGGCTGGAGCGCTGGAAGCACGGAAGCCACACAAATAGAAACGCATTAAGAGCGCCCCGTAGCACTCCGACCGCTGCTGCGGCCGCTCGCGTCCGAGCGGGGCAACGTCTACGGCCTGAGATGTCCTACTTCATGCACGCGGCCAGCAGCGACCTGGTCAACCTCAATGTGGGTGGTCAACGGTAAGACAAAGAACGAAATTACGTCGCGCATTGCAGATGATGATGATGACGTTGATGACGCATGCAATCTCCATCTCGCTTTCCGTAGCTTCTCCACGTCGCGGCAAACGCTTACGTGGATACCGGACACCTTCTTCACCGCCCTGCTCAGCGGTCGCATCTCGAGCTTGAGGGACGAGCACAACGCCATCTTCATAGACCGTGACCCGACCCTCTTCTCGATCATTCTCAACTACCTAAGGACCAAGGATATCGACATCAAGAACTGTGAAATCCGCGCCCTGCGCCACGAAGCCGAGTACTATGGGATCACGCCGTTGACCAAGCGCCTGGCCCTCTGCGAGGACCTCAATCACTCGTCCTGCGGAGATGTCCTCTTCTATGGTTTCCTGGCAGCCCCTGCAATGCCCTCCAACGAGGCTGTACCAGCTGCGGCCGCTGACGAGACACTGGCCTCTACTTCGGGCAGTGCGGTGAGCGGTCGCCCTGGCTCAATGGTGCGGGTTCCGGAGACTTCCTCGCGCTCCTCGCACTCGCGGAACTCTTCGTGGGATCTGCGCCTGGGTCGCACAGGCAGCAGCGGGAACAGCTCGAATCCACCAGCCCCCATGCTGCACTCGCGTAATCCCTCCATGGATTTCATGCGTCACTCGCGCAACTCCTCGGCAGACCTGAACAAGGCCTTCAGAAACGAGGTGGGCATGGTATTTAGTCCCACGCAGAGCTCGCACTGGGTGGATCCCATGCGGGTGCAGATCATCAAGGCCCATCAGAACTGGATAGCCGTGGCCTATGCGCACTTTGTGACCTGCTACCGCGTGAAGGACTCCAACGGTTGGCAGCAGGTGTTCACATCGCCGCACATCGATGCCACCATCGAGAGGATTGCCATCAACTCGAAGGTAAATACATCCACGGCAGAGCCGGTGCCCAGCAAGATGGTGGCCATCTCGTACGGCAGCCAGATCAGGTTGTGGAGCATCCAGGACGGCGGCCAGAAAACAGACATCGGCACCTTCAACCTAAACGTGCGGGTGGAGTATTTGTTCTTTATCGGCAGCCAGCTGGTGGCCCTGTCCTCGTCCGGCAAGATCGGAGTGTGGCATGCGATGACCCAGCACTGGCAGATACAGGACCTGGTGCCAGTGCTTTCGTTCGACTCGGCGGGCTCCTTCCTGCTGCTGGGCTGCAACAACGGGTCCATCTACTACATAGACATGCAGAAGTTCCCGCTGCGGATGAAGGACAACGATTTGCTGGTTACCGAGCTCTACAAGGACATCACCCTGGACCCCATCACGGCGATCTCTGTGTACCTCACCCCCAAGACATCCAGCATCAGTGGCAACTGGATCGAGATTGCCTATGGCACAAAGTCCGGAGCGGTGCGCATCATTGTTCAGCATCCGGAGACAGCTGGCCATGGGCCGCATCTGTTCGAGACCTTCTTCGTTCACCAGAGCCCCGTGACCAAGGTGATGCTGTCGGAGAAGTACCTGGTCTCTGTGTGCAGCGAATATCACCATGTCCGCACCTGGAGCCTGACCCGCTTTCGTGGAATGCTCTCCACCCAGCCGGGCTCCACGCCGGAGGCCTCCTTTAAGATCGTCTCCCTGGAGGCCACCGACACCAGCTACAGCTATGCGGCTGGCAATGATTTCGGGCCCTACGGCGACTACGACGACATGATCTTCGTGCAAAAGGTGGTGCCCGAGACGGATCAGCTGTACGTGCGGCTGGCCTCCAACGGGGATCGTGTGTGCGTCATCCGGTCCGTGGATAGCTCCACCATATCGGCTTTTTGTGTGCACGAGTGCGAAGTATCGTCGCGCATGGGATCCCGGTTCATACTCACTGGTCACTGCAACGGCGCCATCCAAATGTGGGATCTGACCACCGCCCTGGCGCTGCTCTCCAAGGACGAGCCGCAGCAGAAAACCAATGGCGGACCCGACACCAATGAGCTTCTCCGCCTACTTGACCAGTGTGAAATCAGCAATTCATCATGCTCAACACCGTGTATGTCACCGTGTCTATCAGTTGTGGGCAACGGCTCTGGAATGGCCTCCTCCATAGCCCGTATGAAGGCCAGCAATATAGCGTTGCTCAATCGGGAGCAACCGGTTATTGCTGCCCAGATAGCTCCAGCTGCTGCCCAAATGCAGCTTCCGCCGGCGCCTCCGCAGCAGCAACAGCTGCAGATGGCAGCTCCGGCTGGAATCCCATTAGCTGATGACAACAACGAATGAGACGTGGAAGCGGCTGCTTGGTCGGCGCTTGTCGGGCGCGTTTCATCGTTTACATTTCACAGGTGTAGCCTGATCTTCGACTATCAGTTTATATTCCTGCAGTTCGTGGTGTGCGCCCTCCTCTACGTCTGGATGTCGCGCCTCACCCAGGGACTGCCAGCAGGCCAGCAGGCATTTACCCACTCCAGATAATCTCCCTCTTATGTGCTCGATGTGGTTGCAAGTGCAATGTATGTATCCAATGTATATCATCCCCCTTTGTGTTTTTGTGGAGTGAACTATCGGACTATTGGATCCCACAGTTGGTCATTTCTGAAGCAAGCAATCCCCCTTGTTCTATGTAGTTAAAGTTATGGAAAATTAGTTAAAAAAATAATGTATGTATGTAAACCAGAGTATAAGACTTTTGCAAGCGATCTATAGCACAGGTCGATAAAATTTGAAAAAAACGCAGATTCAAGAACCGAAATATACTTTTCCGATAGAGCTAAAACTGAAATCCGGTCAAAGAATTCCCTATGCGTCAGGGTTTATCAGATATTCCATCTTAAAAGTGCAACAATTACTGGTTTTGGGTACTTTTGAGGTGCTGTAAATTCAATACTATTTATTTTGTTGTTTTATCATAAAGAACTGTTCTTTCACTTCAAAATGCGTTTTTGAAATTTTGAAAAATATGCCGATTGTTTAGATAAAACAAAATGTATTAAAGTTACAGCACCTTAAAAGTACCAAAAAACCAAAAATTTTCTGCCCAAAGATATTTTCTGAGACCTCATCAAAAACTATCGGAAAAGCTGATTCCAATTCTTGGTTCTAAAAAGATGTCGACTTGTGTATTTAGCACAACTCGAACGAGGTTACTTCCACTGGGACAAAATCGATGAACTAATGGTTTAATTTTCGTGTTCTCGGCGAACAAAGGAAATAACTGTCCAAAAATAAGTTCTTTGTTCGCCCAGCCCCAGTCGACGTGCATTTCAAAGAATATTTCTCGTGATTTAGTATTGATCGATTGAGAGAGATTGGCTGGCATATCTCTGCACTTGATTTGTACTCGAATTTGTCCCGGTGAAGCAGACCTAGCGCAACAATAATCCGCCGGCATAGCGACACGAGTCCGTCGACATAGGCTCTTCTCCCCAGAAACTTCAATTGAGATTATTTGGCAAAATCCCTTAATCTATTAAAGCGAATTTATGTCGACGGACTCAAGCCGCTTTGCTGCTACCAGTAAACCACTATACATATGTACGCAATATGCAATATAAATAAACCTAATTATATACATCAGATATCAAAGGAATGTTGTTGTGAGTCATCAATAATTTATTGAACATTTTATCTTAGTTGCTTGTTGGTTGAATACTTGGAAGTGTGTGTTCCATTAACATTTATCAATTACAAATACTTGGCTTGCCTATATACCGGACATGTATCAGTAAAGTAAAAAAGCAGCAAAAACGCCAAAACATATAAAAATATATATATAATATACATATGTATGTATAGTAGGTATGTATGTACTCATCCTCCTTGCCGCCCTTAACCAGCATTGTGCTTATTTCGATTTAAACAAATGGAGCGTTAATTTACCTACAAAAAATAGGACGCACTGGGTTACTGAGATTGGGTAATCATCATCATAGTCGAGCAGATTACCCACTCTCGCTCGCTCGGAAGCCATTGTCGTGGGTCATACAAATAGTTTGTACACAAAGTCAACCTAAAGCTAAGCTATATATCTATATTCTAAAGGGCAAACCGATATGAAGCTGTGAGTGATGAGGAGAGAGAAGATAGTATGTTCACCGATCTGCCCGCGGGGTCGGTGACCTTCTCTAGCAGTCGCTGAGCGAGCGCAGTTCGTAACTGCGATATAATATGGGTGAATGGGGGAGGGGTGCTTCTGGTGCATCGAATGGATGATATGTGCATGAGGGATTGCTAAGCAAAAAATGAGGGGAGATCCAGCTCACTGGCCACTGTTCAATGGCTACACATGGAAGTAGTCGTCTACCAGCAACTGCTCGCTAGGCGTAGAGGTTGCCGCACTCAACGGACTGCTCGCCTGCGTATCTGACTCTTGTTCCGCTTGCAGCGGCTCGTAGCCCGGCTCCATCCCACTCGGGCTCGTGCTGGTCGTGGTCGTTGCTGTGGTCAGATAGCATACAGATTCGTAGTTGGGATCCGTTTCGCTGCCCGTGCCCGTTAGCGATTCATACTGTGAGGTTTGGGGTGTGCTGGTGGCCACCGTTGAGGAGTTTAGCGAAACCGAATTGGACGTTGAGCTGGGCGAGGCGAGGGTGAGGCGACTGCTGCCGCTGCCAGGTGTTCCGGCAGCCACTGCATTCTCCGCTATCCGCGCATAATGATCCGTCTCGGCAGCGGCCTTCGTCTCCAGGATGCTGGCATAGTTGTGATTGGCATCCGCTCCCGGAATGGTGCTGTAGCCAGAGGCATCGGCGGAGGTCGGTGGGCGTTTCTTCTCCAGCACCTTAGCGTAACCGTCGTCCGAATGGGCGCGGCTCTTGAGGACCTCGTAGTTGGGATCGTAGTCCGAGGACTTTTTGGCCTCATCCTCGCCAGCGGGTACTGGATGCAGGTGGAGTTGCTCGTAGCCGGGATCGTTGTTGCTGTTGGACGGCAGCGGTGGCGGCAGCTGTGCCTGTGGCTGTGGCTGGTTAGGAATAGTCTCGTAGTGCTTTGTGCTGGAGCTGATAGTAGCTGTCGCTATCACGGGCTGGGCCATAGCTGAAAGGGTGAGGGAAACACCAGTTCGTTAGTACTGTAGCTGGGCAACACTTTTAATTGGTTTGCTGAAAAGAGTTTATGGTTTCGTTGTCCTGGAGGCGATACTAACCACGGCTACTTCCAAACAAAAACTCGCGAAATGTTCGCTGTCTGAGTTGAACAAATATGGAAAATTCTCATTTTGGCATGGCAACTAAATGAGTTTTGGGAAGGCATGGCGGAGGAGAGACACAAGGAGAGACAGATAGATAGATAGACAGGCAGATTAGGCATTAGGCAGGGAACAACGACCAGTCAGGGGCAGGATCCCACCCCGTCTTAGTCATCACAAAGGGACGATGTAATAACACTTGGAATGTATAAAGCTGTCGACGTACCTCCTCCTCCTCCTCCTTCCTGTTGTCGTTCCTTTTGCAGCATATTGGCCGCATAGCAATCCGATTTGCGATTTTCGTGTAGCGTCGCCGCCTGGCCATCAGCTGGTATCGTTTCATAGCCATGATCCTTGGCCGAGTAGCTATTGCTCCTTCCACGACTTTTCTGAGCATCCACCAGGAGTGCGGCCGCGCTATCCAAGGGACTGACACCCAGAGCATCCTGCTGTAGCTTCCGGCTCAGGATAGGCGAGTTGTTTTGCGAGGATGGGGAATTGCGCGAGAATTTGTGCTTCTTCATAACCTACATTTTAAGATGCACAGGAATTAGCTCAAGACTCTCCAGGGGAGGTAGTTACGACTCACCTTGGCGTACATGCCCTCGATATTCTTGTTGCTCTCACCCTCCTTGGAGGGACTAAGACTCTTGCTGTGCTTGCGCTGGGGAGACGCCGCCTCTTCGGCCTCCTCATCGCCTCCTCCGCCCGCCTCAATCACAGATATGACCGAGTTCCTGCCAGAAGCCAGGTTGCTAATGCTGCCGGCGTGAAGATGGTGCGACTGACCCACACTCGACTTTGGTGTTGGCGGCAGCGGCGAGTTGGCCTGTCGTTTTTCCGGTTTCGGTGAGCCCAGATTGCAGACGGATGTGCTGTTGTTCGACGAGGACGAGGCCTGGCGGGAGTGCATCTGCGCCCGCAAACTGTCAACGGGCGGCGGAATTGGCATGTTATGATCAGTGGTGCTAACACTGCTAGCCGGTCTTCCACCGACCATGACAACGGATGGACTGGCGACTGGAACACTGCTGCTATTGTTGATCTCGACGGCAACTACAATGGGATTGGCCTGCATGGGCTGGATTTGTGCGTAGGTTTCCGATCCGCTGGTGTAAATATCGGCCGCAGCATTGGCTGCATGACGATTGTTGGGATCCTCGATGGCGGCATACGTTTCATCTGGAAATACATAGTATAAATATTGATGCAATGAGCCACGAGCAAGTTGTGACTCACCAGAATCGTCGGATACGGTGGCATAGTGCGAGTCGTTCACATCGCGTGATAATCCTGGGTTCCTGCTTGTGGGCTTGCCCGGTGGCTGTTGTGCCAGAATGTTGGCCAGCGGCTCCCTCACACTGATGCTCGTGTAACCCTCTGCAATAATAAAACATGATAAGGGGTAATGACATCACCTAAAAACCCAAAACTCACTGGAAGAGTCTTGCGAGTCGCCGCTAAAGTGTTGGTTTGCTATTGGTGGCGTCATGTAGGGCAGATCCTGGCTGGCGGAAATCATGCCTGCTATCGCGGAGGCAGCGGGTATCTCAGCTTGCACTGGAGCCGAGTCATTGTGCTCCCTGGAGCCCTCGCTGTGCTGGGAGCTGCGGTGCATGGGATCGATGCCATCGCTGGAAGATCCTGCCACCACTGCCGCTGCCGCTGCTGCTGCTGCAGATCCGTGATTGGCTGCATGCGAGGTGGACGGAGCATTTAGCTGGGCATACGGGTGCTCGGTGCCCCTCAGCTTGGCATAGTCGTGCGGCAGACCTTTGACCCTTGAGTACGGAGAGCTGACGTCGTCTGCCTGGCTAATGGAACTGTGCTGTGACACGCTGGTCTGCTTCTTCAGGCTCGGTTGGGCTGTAAGGAGGAGTGGCGGATGTTAGAGATTAATGTATTCATATATTTCATATTTCACTCACGACTCTGACTTCGGGCATTGCGGGCATCCAGCAGCTGCTTGTCCGCCACAGTCTCGTACAGTTCGGACCCATTGTCGTTGCTCTCGGCCACAGGAATGTCCGGCAAACTGCGATGAGCCGCAGTGCTCGACCTGGAAGCAATGATTTGGTTATTTGCATCCGTCTCAATAGGGAGCAACTACTCACCGCTTCTCCGAGTCCGCATTGGACACTGTTGAAGCATTCAGTTCCGCCTGGGACTCGCTGTTATTCACCAGGTTGGTGACCACTATAACCTTGTCGGGATTCTTCAGCTTGACCATGCCCTCGAGGCCCATCAAGTCATTTCTGCGTGAATAAAGAGAGAGTACAGAGTGCGTCATTAGTGATACGAACGGGCGCGTCCAACTGGAACTGGGGCGGTGGGAGACCCACTTTCACTCCCTCACTGACCAGCACAGCGATTCCTTCGCTGCTGTAGCCCTAGACTATGGGCGTCACATCCACGGCAGGATGCAGGACTACTTACTTGGGAATGCGCTTCTTGCAGCAGAGACACGCGCCCAGCATCACGATGAAAGTGAGCGTCAGGCCGAGAGTCGCCAGGAGGTACGTGTACGAGTTTTGGGCCTCCAAGCGCAGCTCCGACGTCGTCGCCTCCACCATGCCCATGTCGCTGTGTGTACATATGCACTATGTACCCATTTAGAGCTTACACTGGTCACTATACATATAGATTAACTACTTTTCGCTGGGCTAAGCTATTATTTTATTTTTTTATTATTTTTTTTTTTGTAGCTGCTAGGGATGCGAAACGAACGATGTCGCTATCGATTGTATCGATGTTTTAAAAAAGGCGATACATCGATATATTTATTCTAGGAAGGATATACTCACTATCGATGTTTTTGCTTCACTTTTCAAACACAAGTACTTCTAATTAAACTTCATGAGATTTTATTTCATACAAATGATATTTGGTATCAAAAACTATACCTATGCTATAAGCAGCTTTAAAGGTTTTTGTGCCTTACACAAAGCAGTTGCACTTAAGTCTAATTGATCGCTTGGCACGTTCTGTGAATGCTGTTTGAGTTTAGAGTTCTGTGTGCTTGAAGATGGTTCTCTCAATGTTCTCCTGCAGCTTCTCGACCTTGCGAGTTTGCTTCTTCAGCTGGTCCTCCATATCCTCGAAGCGGTTACTCTTGTCCTTGTGCTTTTCCTCCTATAAGATGAAATTAACGAGTTTAATATATATATTTTCAATCTCCTCTCGGCAATACCTTATATTTCTCCTTGTGAAGAGCATGCTCGGCATGCAGATGACGCAGCTTCAGTAGACGACTCTCAAAATGATACAACTCAGTCTTGATGGACGCCAGCTCCTTTTCGGTGAAGTTACTAGCCTGCGCCACTCGCCACAGACCCTGCACCTTCGGCTCAATGAAATCCTGACTGTGGGGTCCGGAGGACACCAGACGCTCCAATCTATCGTAGTGATCCTTGATGCCCACATGGTGACCGCGCAATGTGTTCAGATCGTTTTCAAATTTCTTGACGTTCTGTGAATGCGTCTTGATCTCATTCTCATTGGCATCGTTCGAGATCAGATTGTAGTTGTCCAGGTCCTCGGTGTTGATGGCATCTTAATGGGAGAAATCAAGGTAATAAAGCAATCTTCTTGTGTTTGCCCAAACTCACTCTCATGCTTGTCAGTGTCCACAGTGCCAATGTTTTCCAGCAGGCTGTAGTACACATCAACCTTGTCCTGGTGGTGATCAAACTCCTGCTTCAGGGATTTTAGCTCCTCCGAAGTAAAGCCGGAAATCTCTGCCTTCTCCCAGAGCCGATTAAGTTTCTTGTCCTTAAACAAGCTCTTGTTTTTGTGGCGTTCCTCGGGATCGTGGAATTTCTGCAAATACGTCCGAATCGTTTAGCACCTGTTGCTCTAGCGGGAAAGGTACCTTAAAGTACCTTAAAGGGCTTGATCTTATCTGGATCCTGCGTCTCATCGAAGTGCTCCAGTAGATCGTAGCTACTCATGATGCCTATTAGCTTCCGGCGCAGCTCGTCGTCCTTCAGACCATCCTTGTCCTTGTGCTGCGAGTTCAGCTGTTTCCACGCAATCTCCTCCTTGTCGTGGATTTTCAGCTCCATATACAGTGACTTTAGCTTGGGCTCCGTCAAACGCTGGAATACGTTATGGAATTTTATATCAGGGATTCCCGACAACTGCCTGCACTCACGTTTTGCGCCTTTGCCCACACAAGATTTAGCTTGGCCATGCGAAAGGGTCGCTGGATGGTCTTGAAATCCGGGTCGTACTTTTCTTGTCGCACTTGCTCGAAATGCTGCGGGTCGTTGGCCTCTCGGCTGTACTTCTTGCTCTGCTTCTTGTCGGCACCAACGCCCTGCGAAGCCACCAGCAAGGCAAGGGCAAGCACTGCCAGTACCGGTCCTGGCTTAATCATTATTATCCTGTGTTCTTTAACAGGATCAAAAGCACATGCAAATTTTTCGGTGCTGACCTGGCTAAACAGTTATTCACAACAAGCCGTGCTGCCAACTTGTAAGGTAAATAGTGGCGAATCCCGGTCAGTGTGCCCAGCTAGTTGAAACGGTATCGCTTTAACCCTTGTGTGTCAATTAAATTATAAAATAGATTTGAAAAATCGTATAATATAGTTGTTTGTTGCTTTTACTCTGAACGCTTACTGTACTGAATAAAAGTGGGATACACTTAAGCAAAAAAGGAAGTTAAATTCGGCAAGCCGAAGTTTAAATACCCTTGCAAATAATACATACGAAACCTTTGAGGAACGAACCCAATTTATTGTTTTTAATGTAGATTTTAGGAATGTCTTTATTTTCCGAGTCGTCTGATTTTAGTAAAATTGAACCCGAAATTCTGAAAAATAACATGAAATGGCCATATCTCAAAGTATATTGACATATGTTGAAAAACGGCAAAGTTGTTATTGATTTTCTAACAATTTTTAGATTGTTCTTATTGAAGCTATAAGATATAGTCTCCCGATCCGGCATATATAGTAGTGAGAATAGCCAGAAGACTATCTGTTTGATTAAGAACACCTTAAAATTGAGCTACTAGATTGTTTCTATACACAGGCATGGCTAGATCGACTCGGCTGTTGATGCTGATCAAGAATATACAGACTTCTAAAACCGTATAACGAAAATAAAAATACCCTGTAAGCATGATACAATTATATAAGGTAGTCTTGTCGGAAAAAATAATTCGGGCTATCAAAATGTAAGTGAGACGGGTATAGCCTGTCGTGTGAGTTAAATGACAATAATATGTGTGCCCCAAACAGGACCACCTTGCATAATTGTATCATGCCAGTAAGGTTGTACAAACAATTCGATAAAAAAAAAAACAAACAATCGATTGCGTTTTATATTTAGCTTTCTAGCTTTGGGCACACTGAACTCCCACCGCGTTACCGCGCCATTCTATTTGCCGTCTTAATTGTAATTATATTTAGCTTGCCTCGCATTTGTTTACTTAAATAAGCCGTGACAATGAGGACAGAGGCAGCGGTCAGTTTTTTCCTGCTGATAATCAACAGTGTGTGCTGCCAGAGCGGCGGCGGCGGCGTTGGTGAAGAGAACTGGGTGGACCCCCACCCAGCCTGGTCCGATTTCCAAATGGATTTGGATTGCAAGTGTCCAGCTGTGGAGCGGTCTCCGGAAGTCGTACTAGATGTACTTGCCCTTACCTACTTTAGGAAGTTTGCCACTCTGCTGTTCCAACGGAAGCGTTTGCAGGTGAGATCGGCGCTCGCCGAGCAACCAAATTTGGTAACATGACGTCATGGGTGTTAACTTGTAATTGTGTAAATAGTTCGACGAAGCGGCTAATGTCTACAAGCGATCGCTGCTGTTCTCACTGCAGCCATCCCATGTGGATGAGCTGGAGAACGCGAGCGATGCCCGGGATCTGGACGTGGTGCTGAGCAAAATACTCGAAAATGCGCAGGCGGCACCATTGTTTGAAGGCGAACATGGTTGCTCCTATACGCACAAGGGGACCGGAGTGTTTGCCTTAATTACGGATATCTACAAGGATTTCGTAGCGCTGACGAAAATTTCCGAGGTACCTGTTACGCCTTTTAGGGAAACTTGACACTTTGGATAACGGACTGCCATTTATGTTTTCCCCAGGTGCAGTTCCTGCTTTTTGTCGGTGTCTCCATCACACTGGGATACATTGTGCGCAGGCGCTACCGTTACGGGATTATAACTATTTTCTTTGGCGGTGTTTTTCTGTTTGGATATCTTCACACCTATTTGGAATGCAATAGAGTAGGTTACCTCAAGTTGTACTTAAACTATCGTTACTCATATGACCTTTTCTAAAGAAACTGGAAGTCGACGCCATGCTTGAGGTTATTGATAATAACCAGGAACCAGGAAGCTATGCGGAAATGTCTTGGTTTTCTCGACTGAAAAACTTTGTGAGCCGATCCTCCCCAGAGGATAAACAAAAGGAGATTATCAGGTGGATTGGCAATCTTTAGACCTCAAGTAAGAGAATGATTAAATTGTGTTTTTGGCTTGTTTCCGTTAGAAAATCTTCAAGGCTCAATCTTGCATACTGCCGGCCAGACGAGGTGTTCCTCATGTACACAAACGATTTGTTCCTTAAGCAGTTGGAAACGTTGTTGGAAAGAGTATCTCATACAATGACGAAACTTACTAGTAAGTGTCCTGTTACAGGGAAAGTTTTAGCTAACTAGGTTTTTTAACTCTTGAGTATATACATATATGAATTTAATTACTTTAAGAAACATTAAAAAAACTGCCTTAGTAATTAGTTCGCAATTTAATAACTAAACATTTTTCATCACACAGCTGGATTGTCGTTCCCCTATAACCTCATTGCTCCGTTGTTCTTGGTTGCCTTGGTTGGATACATTATAAAGCTAACGTTCAAGTACGTTATTAGTCCCAAAGCCTGGGCCTCACTAATCCACAACCGAACCGCCGCCCCAGTTGCCCAGCCTATCGGTGCCAACGAGCCTGTTAGGGACTGTATATCGGGCGAGAACCTGAAAATGCTGTTAAATGTAATGAACGTCACAAATGTTCAGCAGCAAACGCAGCAGCCACAAATCCTACCCTCAGTTTCGGGCGTCCAGGAGCTAATGGAGCCCCCGAAAACTACTCCAAACCCATCGCCGAAGCAAAAAGGAGACCTGGATGAGAGCGATGGCAACCAGAGTAGGGACAGCAGCAAGAATATGGGCAGCGTTCATGAGGAGGAGGGCTTCACGCTGGTCGATGATACCGAGGATGATATCGAAACGGTGTAGCCGCACGTTAAAAACCCCCATTTTGTATTCATTTTTCTAGTGTAATGCCCGTGATTTTTACCCACTTAAGTAGATTAAGTCAAATGCCCAGCCAATAATTTAAATTTTTTTATCGATTTGATTTGTCATAGTTAAATTTTTATTTAAATTATTTTGCGTGTTGTCATTTGCACGATAAGTGTTATTAAGTTAAATCTTCAACAATAAGATCATTTAAGTAGGCCACCGAACTGTATATATTATGCTGCCGGGCCCTTCAAAAAATCGGATATACTCTATGTAATTTGTTGATCCTTTTTATATTTACAACGTGGCGCTCAGGCTATTATCGATTATCGTCAGTATATATATATATATTATAGCAGTGGGCGCTCTGTGGGAGTTGCATATTAATTGAGTGTAAGCGATAATTAAATATTCGGTTTGTCGAATCTTGTAAAATCTAGTTCAATATGTTTACAACTAATAATATATATTTAATATACATGTGTATACATCTATGTATATAGATCTATATGGTGGTGTGTATATATATTTTTGTAAGAAAAAAATTAGAAAAGAACCTCGGTGTAAATATATTTATTCGTTGTATTTTAAATCATGCACCTAAAATGTATTATGCTTTAATTACAATCCATTCGTTATTATTATTATTATTATAATTGTTATGCAACTAAAGTATCGCATCAGTGGAATGCATTGTGTCTGCAATATGTCACCCAATACATATTCTGAATGGCCAAAAACTCAGCTTGCTGTCTCCTAAAACTAAAGCTAAAACTAGGAAAACACGAAGCAGAACCCAAAGCACAGGCAAAGGCTGACTACTACGGCCACCTACTGTAAGTTTCAACTGAGGCTGGCGGCTGGCACATCTGTGCGCAATAGAGAATAGTCCATGTCTATGGCAAACCGAGAGAATTTATCTAAAATGATTTCACAAATCTTATACGCAAATTGGTCCGCTATCATAATCTTGATTAATAATTTCTCTACTCGAATTCAACAATTTCCCTTTATTAGTTCTAGTGTGTAATTTGTCACCTCCTCTTGATCCTGTTAGCCGATCTGTTCTGTTCTGTTCTGTTCAAGCCAAAAGTAAGTGTCCTGATTCAGATGAGCAACATCATAATTAATGTAATTACGCGTTTAGCAGCGATTAAAGCATATCATTCACTTAGTCTGGTTGGTAAAATTTAAAAAACTAATCCTCTTAATATCAAACAACAGCAAACTATGCGAAACAATTCGTTCAACTCCTACGCCTACGCACAAGCCAACCAACTATTAAAATAACGAATACCACAATTGGGAACGGCTCTTGTTATAAGATACTTATGTATGTGTGTGTTTTAAAAACAGGCAACTTATATATTTCTACACGCTACTGCAAAAATGCACCAAATGCTCTTCAAATATCCTTCGATGTACGTGTGTTCCCTGGCTCACTTGATGAATGCATTGTACTTGAACTCGATTCGGTTCTCTATTTTTGTTTGCCACTAAAATGCTCTTCTCTCTCTCACTGTTTTGTCAATGAATTTCAGCAAATAAGTGTAAAATTGTACATACACATTTAATATAATACAAACGTACACTGCTATCGTCCTGAAGGGGTTTCATGTTCTGCGAATCCTCGGAGGATGCGCTGTATGGGGCATGGCTATGAGTATTTTATACATTAGCTTACATATGTGGCGATCGGGGGCTCGTCTATTATTCCGTCTGTATTATTCTGGTTAGGTGGTAAATAGTTAAACAGCAATGATAGTCGGGGGAGGCATCGGCATCGGCATCGGTGCGTGCTCAGTTGCCCCACAAGAAGTCTTCCGTTGATGGATCCAATGTAAATATTGTATTCGTACCGTTGTCGATACGGATTCTATGTCTTTAAGTAGGTACTTTGGCTTTCGTTAGAGATATATTCATAGTAGTGTATAGCTTTTCGATTGATACCTGGTTATGAATGGTTGGTGGATCATGCAAGTATGTAAACATTTGATATGTATGCCGTTACGTTTCAGATGCGATTATGTGTAAACTTAGGGTTAGTTAGCTTCGTGGTGTGTCCCCTATATTATCGTATGTATTTAGTGTACTCTGTGCAACTAGAAGGATCTGATCTGCTCGAATAGAACCTATATATGCAAAATATACTCGTAATCGTAATTGCATTCGTGGTGTGACTTACATCAGTTCCTAAATACATGTGTCGTGTGGCTGTAACTCTAGATGTGGGCACTGGGCATGGGTGTGGGTATGGGTATCTGTGGTGCGTGGTATGTGGCGCATGGCGCTTGTGGGTGGAAACAGCTCCCCTCTACGCTGCTGCCCCAAGGCGAGTATTTGTCTGTCACCGTCTCCGTTCAATTAAACTCGACGCAATGCGACCCGGGCCGCATGCCATCCGATGCTTACATAACGCGACACTTCTCCTTGGCCCCTCCGCTGGCACTGGCACTGGCGTCTCCGTTCTCCGGAATGGAGCCGTTCGTATCCTTGGACTTCTTCTCCTTTTTCTGTTTCTTTTGCTTCTTGGTATCCAGCTGAAGGGAGACGGTGCGCGTCTTCTCCATGTTGAGCAGCTCCTGGAACAGCTCGGTCACGTTGTGATTCGTCTTGGCGGATGTTTCCATAAAGGATATGCTCCAAGTGGTGGCCTGGGCCTGACCCTCGATCTGGGAGACCTGTGAAAAAATGAGGAAATTTAATGTGAGACGCGTTTTTGTGGTTAATTTTCTTGCATATCTAAGCCAATGAAATCCAAAAGGTCTTATCTCTAACTATCTAAAGTCAATGAAAAGTGTTGGCTTTAGGCTTACGGCAATTTTACTCTTATCGTTAGCTCTTAGTTTTTGGCCACAACTGGATTACTATCATCTATTGCCGCCAAAAACAATGATTGATAGATTCAGTTGGCCGCTTACCTCACGCAATTCGGCGGTCTCATCACACTTGTTGCCCACCAACATGACAGGAATGTTGGGTATGTCCGCCCCCTATGGAAAACGAGAGGTTAGAGTTCAGTCTGGGTTTTTCAGGGAAGCTCCCCCACCTTTAACTCCTTGATGAGCGCCCAGATGGGTCGCAGCTCCTCCAGACTCTGCTTAGAGCAAACCGAGTATACCATTATGAAGGCATGACCCTTTGAGATGGACAACCGCTGCATGGCCGGAAACTGATGCGATCCGGTGGTGTCCGTGATCTGCAGGGTGCAGATGTTCTTATTGCAGCTGATGACCTATGGAATGTGGGATTAGTTGGGCCGGCACTTTACACCTGTAGATAGCCGCGACACTGACCTGCCTGTAGGTGTCCTCGATCGTCGGTATATAGCTCTCGCGGAAGGTACCCTTGATGAAGCGCAAGACTAGCGAGCTCTTGCCAACGCCTCCGGCGCCAAAGACCACCACCCGGTAGTCGTTGCTCTGCTCCGGCGCAGCGCGCGTCACCTGGTTTTTCTGCTCCGTCATCCCGATCCCGGAACGTCGGAACTGGCGGGTATATTATAAGTGGAAACAGCTAGTAGAGATAGAGAGAGAGACACAGCTGGAGCTGGAGCTTGTTGGCTTGCTGTCGGGCGCTGGTGGAATGTTCTACTTGGGCGCCATGCTTTCGTTTATCTGCAACGATTAAGAGCAAAATCAGTTTTTGGCCGAAACGCCCACGCACGCACAAGCATTCCTGTTCCAAGTGGGTGTTGGAGTGGGTGCGGAAATGTGGGGGTGGCACGGCTTCGGGGTCCCAAAAACAACAACAACAAAAAAAAAAGCCAAAACAACCGAAAAAAAAGGGAAACAATGCGTGTGTTACTAATTTTAGCCATGTGCCGCCAAGGAAGGGTATTGATTTTTACATGGCTGCCAGATAGATCGGCATCGCCATCTCCTCATCATCACTATCACAGCGCCGCCACTGCGATTATGATTGCGTTCGGCCGTGCGGTATAAATAGTCCGTGCTTTGATGGCGACCCCGACACCGTCCCAAAGGGGTTTCCTGCCCATACACACACACACACAAACGGACATACGAGGCGTAACTGCTCACTTCCGCTTGATTGTCCTGGTGGCACCTTTTCCGCATACCAACCCTCCTCCCCCTGGACGATTCTTCTCCCTCGTTTTGTTTTCACACTTTTTGTTTTTCCTCCTCGCACACACGCACACACACTAACGCACGCTCACCCACTGGCACACCTCACGCACTTTGCTGTTGATTTTTCCTCGCTTTATTTTGGCTTGGATTTATCGATTTTATCTGCGCTGCACTTCCCACTCGAACACACACACGCACACGCAGAGAACGGGAAAGACATAAAAGTTGCGTGCCCGCTAAGCTGAATTCCCTGCAGGATCAGAGGTACTTTTTCCCGTTACGGTATTTACTTGCATTTCGTTGCACTGGAATTCGTTGCAGGACAGGATCTATTGCCCGATGTGACTGAGCTCTCTGCTGCAGGCCGTCCTATCCACTGCTTCCGATAACGAATCCGGACCCGGACCCGCCCACCCGCCGCCCCCACATACAACGGTAATTCGGCGCCTGCGCCGGCCCCAAAAGTAACGGTAAACTTGGGGCCAAACCACTTATCCGAGACATCAACCGCGCTGAAAAAGCTCCTGCACACGGCTCCAAAAACCGAGGAAAAGCGCCGGCCGGCGTGTGCAAAAGAATTGAATATTGCAAGAGAATTGAGAATTGCCGGCCGTGTGGAAAAACAAAGCCGCGTTTCCAAACTGTATAAAACGGGGGGCATCCGCCCGAATATGCATCAGTTGTGGTCAGCAGCAAAGTGAATCATCATCTAAATAAAAGTAAAAGGCCTACTAAGCCCCAAAGTCTAGTAATTGTGAAGTGATCAAGTTTCAAAGAAACCAAAAAACTCAAGATGCCTTGCCCATGCGGAAGCGGTAAGTTTGGCTTCCTCCTTTAGCTGAGAAAAACATCAAAGTTTTCGATTGATGTTTTCTTAGCTACAATTTCCTTTACAATATCCTTGAAAAATTGATCCTTTAAGGATTTCTTCTTTTATTCAACTTTAATTTAATTCGCAATTCTCTGTTTTTCCAGGATGCAAATGCACCCAGACCAACAAGGGTTCCTGCAACTGCGGAACTGACTGCAAGTGCGGCGGCGCTAAGAAGTCTGCCTGCGGCTGCTCCAAGTGAGCTGGCCTGCGAAGATCTGGAGAAGAATGGCTTAGCCCCACATCTCCGAACTGATTCCCTTGTATTTTTCCACTCAGTCAGCCCCAGTCAGTTGTACTAACAAATGTTTTCTCATTTTCCCTCCATACTATGTTCAATTAAAGAAAATTGAAACCTAAGCTGATTCTGTTCGTGTTGCGCAATCACTCCGGGCTGGGGTATCTTTGGGGCCTTCTAGGTTAGATTCTGCTTTATTGGATGCTCATACATACATATACGTACATACGTGCCGTGGAAAACGGATGGTCAAGTGCTTTCCACATGTGTGCAAACGCGATTTATGATTAAATTCAGTGTGGCAAATATGGTAATCTGAGACGTTTGCTTTTTTTCTATTGTCAGCGTGTGTGAGACGCAGACTGGGGATCGGATTTCAAAGCACTGCGGTTTGAACTTCTGACTTGTATATACGGAATACAGCAGGGGGTATTCAACTAGAGCTTTTTTTCTATTCATTTTCGGCCATGTAATAATGGCTACGACGAGTTGAACACCATTTAAGGTATACCTTTATGTAGTACGTTTATTATCATTAGCAATAATTTAGAGTGCATGCCTTGTAGAGTCTCTAAAAGGAATAGGAATGATAATAGGAATGAATGGTTCCACTTTCTGTCTGCTCTCTGCATCATATCAACTTTATAGCTTGGAAGCTAGGTAAGATTTAAGCTAACAAGAAAGTGCTAGAACCTTTACACCTTACACCTCACAAACTCAAAGTCGTCACCGGAATAAGTCAAGAACAAGAACCCGGACGGATGGGGTAGGGTTACGAGAGACCCCGCAACCTCAGACCCCGCGACCTCCGAGTGTAAGACCCCCACATTACGTGTTATAAGTTCGCTTTTATTTTTGTTAGCTTAGATCTAATACTAGGCTAGGTGAACACACTTATGGAGGATTACGGGGACTCATTGGGGGTAAACCTAGTTCGCAGTATGGGTATATGGAACGTATGTGTGTGAGCATGTCTTCTTTTTGGTTATCAGCGTGGCCAAACAATAACGGGCGGGAGATATCACGGCAATTTCGAAACGTACAAGGTAAAAAATAGTGGGAAACGCGAGTGCTCGGCCTACTTGATAACGATGTTCTGGGCCAGCCGCTTCACAAAGTCCACGTTCAGAAAGTTGGCCATCAAAGTGAGGACAGACTTCTTGGGCGGACGGCAATGCCTCAGGCCTGCCTCCTGGCAGCACACGTTTGGGAAGCAGTCCAGCGTGGAGGTGCACGCCTTCGGGTGCAAGTCAAATATGGGCGGGGGCGGAGCAGTGCACTCCAGGTACTCAGTAACTACAAAAGTAATTGCGATTGGATTTAAGATTCTCTTAGAACGTTAAACGGTTTATACTTACGATAATCAAAGGAACGCTTCACTGGCACTGGCGCCGTTTCAAGTTCTGGCTGCGAGGTGCGACAGTAACGCCTCCGACCATCCGGGCAGCAGACACGGGGCCAGCAGTCCATGTCCGTGCTGCACTCCTGGACATCCCACCAGAGCTCGGCCAGCGGTCTGCTGGGGCACTTGCGAGGTATCAAACCCAGAATGGCTGTACGAAGGAATAGGTAGATTAAGGTGGTAAACTAACTACCAGGTTACTTATCTACTCACGTGCATGTGGAGTCTCCTCCAGGGGCTTAGGAACCCCCGAAACACAGCTGCTTGCTCCGAAGATGTCACAGCACAGCTCATCGCGCTGCCAGACGGAGCAGTCGCGGTCCGTCTTGCAAATCTTGGGAAAGAGCTGAAACCGCACCTCGTTCTCACGCGGACAATTGAATCTCAAGCGAAGCTCAGCGGCCGCCCGTTTGCCCTTTTCCTTGTCCACGTCCTTGTCATCTGGACTCGGAAAATTCAGGGTGGGCAAGGCAATTCGAAAGGGTCCATCCGTGAACGGTTTCAGTGTGGTCGTTGTGGTTGAGAACCTAGAGGTCGTTCTAGCTGTTGTGGTGGAGCTCAGTCCTCCACCTGGTGGCTTCCTGGTGGTCTTGACTTGCTTCCGCTGGCTAGCCTTTTCCTCCTTCGGACTGAACTTCTTGGGGGGATGGGGTTGCTTGGTCGGCGGACGCACTGCCACCAGACTCTGCTGGCCAAAGCTCCAGAAGTTGGGGCTGAAGAAATTAAAGCCGTTGGCCAGGCTGGGACGCGGAGCTGGGGAATGTGGAAAGTGGGTTAGCTGTGTGCTCAGTGGCCATTAGTGTTTCTGCTCCAAATAGCAGACATTACACGTCAAGTAAAGCGCAGTTCCCGCCGCTCATAAAGAGCGTTTGTTTCATTATTCAGTCAGCAGAAAGCTGGCATGAATGGTGGATTAACCAGTTGCCCCATGCTTTCCACCCACTCCACGGGACCGCGTTCCCATCGCAATTACGTGCATCGCTGTTGCAACAGCAGCTCGGACCCCGGTGAATCACCTTGCGAGATCTCCTAAGCCGGCGGAGAGCATTACCCCCGCCCCTTAGTGACACTTACTCAGAAGACGGTGCTTTAAATTTCCGAACCATAAAACGGGCTAATGGCTAGCCAAGTTCAGGGTGCCTTCAATTAGGCCTGCCCACCCTAAGCCAGATTACGACTTCATGGATTCTAAACCGCCGGGGTAAACGATCGTTATCATGCAAATTACCAAAGGCCTAGGCCCCAATAATTCGCGGCCTTGGGTCCAACTCTCTGGCTCGGATTTAGCCAAGGTCTCCTGCTGCTACTGCAGCAGCAGTCGATTTGAAAGCTCCGCTGCTCCAGTTATCGACGCTCCACACCTAACCTATGCACCTATGTGGACGTTGGCGAACTCCAAACTCCAGACTGCAAACGGGTCTATCAGGTTTTGGACACTTTGAATACCCAATTGCGGTCAGAGTAATGGAATTGCGAATCCAAGGCAAATCTATCTATCATACTTTGTTGCATAAAAAATAGATTTATTTATATATAATTTTATATAACGTCTGGCAAAAGGGTATCCAAGTCATTACAAGTTCAGTTAACTCTTCATATATAAAACTAATCATAAAGTTGTTTTAACAGCTTATTTGAAGCTTTGAGACAATGAAAATGTCTCAAATATTTCACAGATGTTTTGTAGATACATATTATAATTGAATTTAAAACTGCCTTGTATAAAATTTAATTAAAGCTGGGGGACCTTTTAAAGAAAAGATATACGTATGACTTTTTATCAACTCCAAACTCAGTAGTATCATAAAAAAATAAAAAAAAGCAAGTCATCATAGAAGTCTGAAGCCCTTTAGAGGTAAACAATGGGGTATCCCCGTCTCTGCTGTTTTCATTTCACTTGGTTTCAGACTTTTCGCACTTCTTCGTCGTTTTTGCATTAGCCATATCAATCTTTATGGTCGAAACCGAAGCTAGGTCAGTGCCAGAGCCAGCATCTTCGACCAGTTTGCCTGACATTCGAACGTTTACTAAGCCAAAAGCAAGACACACATGGACAAAGTCTAGTTAAACCCGGCAAGGAGCTAAGATCTCTAAGGATCTTTAAATTATAATTTAATTGTAATAAGTAAGTTTACACTGTGTTACTTTTTATCAGATTAGATCACTTTGATTTGATTTTGTTCCTCATTTTTTGTAATTATCATTTTTTCTGTGCACTCACTTGTCGTTGTGGAAGTTGTGGTTGTGGTGGTTGTTGTACTCGTAGAAGTAGATGTTGTTGTGGTTGTGGAGGAGGCAACGGGCCTGCGCCGGCGCACGATCTGCGTACGCTTGCGCTGGTTGGATGCACTCTGCTGCTGCCGCCTGGGCTGATCCACTCCCACTGTCGCCTGCAGCTCTCGTGCAGCTTCATTGGCTGGCAGTGGAGCTGGGAGCGGGAGCTTATATTGTGCAACCCCGCGGCCAGCAGATGCCTTAGCCGCAGTTGCAAAACCGATGGATACGGCAGCTAGAAGCTGCAGCCACAGCAGTTTCATAGCGTCTGGATCTCTTTTTGGGGGCCACTGGTCCAATGACCTCACTATTGGGAGCGACTGCAATCTGTGGCACCTGCGGACAGCTAATCAGTCATCATGGCTAGCAGCGAACACGGTGGAAATATAAGCTGGCTGGTGGATTGGTGTTAAAATTTAATGTTGGGCAAGCGCGACAACGTTGTTAAGGCACCGAGCGACCGCTTCAGACTCCCAAGCTAAATTGGCGAATGTGCAAAACCGAATTTTCGGCAGCGGAGCCGCCAGCTGAGATGGAGCGAATCGGTAGCTAGCTAAGAGAGCTAAGCGGGGGCTGACCCGCTCTTTAGCGGCGCAGTGGGGCAGGCCCCAAACTGGTTTTGGCTTTCGGCCTAATGGGCCTTTAGCTGGCTTCCACTGCACTCGCTGCGCGGATCGGATCGGAGCGCCGCTGGAGCAGCGTTGATGCAGACGCCACTAACCCACTGTCGTAGAAATGAGGAAATGCAGGCCACGGCGCGCAGGAGATTGCTTCCGGCTTTCCAAAAGGACACCATCAATTAAGAATACACAATCTCTTGACAAGTTCGCGTGGGATTCATGGCATGTAACAGAGCTGGCCGTTGAGCAGTAAAGGAGATTGGAATTTAAATTATGAAGCATTTTTGGTTTACAATCCAGATACAAAGTACCTATAAAACAGAGGTATTTATAGACTCAAAAGAAAATATGCAATTCTTTCTTATGCTAGTACTGGCTTACTTATAAATAAGTAAATCTGGTGGCAAACACATTGACGGCCCACACCCAGATTCCAAGCTATTAGCCAATCCGCCCATTAATGTTTATTACCTATTAAAATTGAATACCGGCTTTGCATAAAAGAACCTGTTAATACCACAGCTAATAGAGAAAAACGTAGAATTTGCAGAACTTTTTTGAAATGCTGAATTGTACACAAAGATAGCCGCCAAGTCAAGGTTTTCAGTTATTTCATGAGCTCAATTGTAACATGAAAGTCACCGCTTCAGTTTTCAGCCCGCCAAAAGCGAACCATTAAAATCTGCATCTGCGAATCGGCACTGCAAGCAAGGAAAGAGTTAGTTTTGTTGGGGATGATCCACTCGCTCTCTAGCTTCCAAAACCGGTTGTTTGCTAAGCTTGCTGCCTAATGCAAATTTAGATGACACTGATTGATCACTCTCCAGTTACTATACATGCACAAAAATACAGGGAAATGAACACTTTTCCGGCAGTCATCGCCGCACCACAACACAAATTAAAACACTCATTCGACTACATGGTTCTTGTTATGGATTTAATTAGATGGAGATTTAAACAAACTGGTATTTTAACAAAGATCCTTCTTGAAAGGCGGCAACTGTTAGAATCCTGTGTGCTCTGGCGTTAAGCAAGAAAGCAGAAGGGCCGCTCCTGCTTTCTTGCTCGGAAGATTATTGTGAAATCGATGCCAGATGTTGTGATGCACACGTTTTAGCTTTGTCGTGTGTTCTCCCGTTGAGCAAGAAAGCAGAAGGGCCGCTCCTGGTTTCTTGCTCAGGAGATTACTGTTGTGGTACACACGTTTTAGCTTCGTCGTCGCTTAATTCTCCAAATGATTATATGTTGTTGCTGCTGCTGCTGTTGCTGCCGGCATATTAATATACGAAGTCCCCCCATCATCCGAGGCGACTGCGTTTACTAATATGCCGAATGTTGTTGCGACACGCTCTAGGCGTGCCTGAAGGCGAAGAGGACCTCTAGTCCAGCTGAAAAAAAAGGAGTTTCAATTAGTTTCGGGTCATCTTTCATTGTTCTGTTGAAGAACTCACCTTCTTGAAGCCAATGTCGTTGGCGTACTCCCTGAAGCACTGACGGCAGATGTTCAGGCCATACTTGCGGATCAGACCGTGGCGGTTAGAGCAGGCACGGCTGAAAGATAGAACGGGTATGGCATTAGATCAGTTTTGCACAAAAATCTAACGTCTAGATGGGCATGGCACAACAACAACTCTACAGCAAGCGCTGTCGCCGCCCTCGGCTGCTCCGCTGCCATAAGCGAGCGTCGCAGTGCCTCGGACGGCTTTTACTTTGGCCACCCTTTATTATGGAAACTGTTCAAGATGTCTAAACACGTATTTCCGTACTCAACCGGGGGCAAAAAAACAAAGAAACATTCGGCAAACGAGTGCAAACAGAAAGGCAGGCGCCATGCGTGCAAAGAACTGGGCGTGATTAACCTCACTTTCTACGGGCATGCCAAAGTGAGCAAAATACGGGTATACGGGGCAAGCATTTAAACAAATTGTACAGCAAACGGTGCGCCACGCTGCGGGCTACAAGAATCTTACCAGCATCGGGAGCCTTGGCCGTATTTGCGGGGGTGCGAGTACCAGAGAGTAGCGAAACCCATGTTGGCGTTTTCCACGAGAAATTCGAAAAGGAGGATCTAGAGGTGGGAGCGGTCGTGGCTGGGAAACTATCGATGGTACTATCGAGGTATAGAATTTTTCCCTTTCTGAGCCACCATCGATAGTTTTATGTCACTATCGCTGCTGGTTCGGGGGTATTTTTATATCACTGCTTGGTTGCAGAAATTAAGTATGAAAATTATATATCTTTTTTAATAGCTTCAGCTTCAGCTTTAGATTTCTTTGAAAATTCGAAAAGAAGGCGGAGATAGAGGTGGAAGAAGGTCGTTGGGTAAAATTGGGGTTGTTGATAATATATCGATTATTATTATTTTTTTTTATGAAATATATATCGTGATTTTGTGCTTGTTTTTTGTCTTCGATATTTTTTTAAGGCTCGAACCACATCTGATATTACAAGCAGATGAGAGTAACATAATTATTTTGCCACAAATAACTACATTTCAAAGCTTATTTATTTAGTAATCTAAACAAATAATCGAAATCTATGATTTCAAAAACTTTCATCTCTAGTGGTATTCAATGTGGCCAGTGGGGAAATATAAATTCTTTCAAATATTTTAGATCAAGCTACTTTTTCATAAACTGTAACAAGTTGAATTGTTAATAGCCCCAGTTGTGTGTTCAGTACAAATTTTCTACCAGAGCAGAACGGTTTCTGTATAAAAAAGTAAAAATATTTTAGTCAATTGTTCGAAGCCACCAATTTTATGCGCCGCCGTTACCGTTTGCATTGCGCGCGCAGTGTTGAAAAGTGTGTTTGAAAAATTAACGCTTTGTTTTTTCTTGTACAGCGTCGGTTTTTCAGCTGCTGTTTGAGTTGTGTTTTTATCGTTTACCAGTTAATTTTCCACTTTCCCGTTCCGCGTGGAGTATAATTATAGCCATGGACGATTCCCGTCGGTCGATCGCGGGGAAGGAAAGTATAAACAAGGTTTTCCTGGCCACCTAATTGTTCTGATTGTGATCCTGCGTAGTGCGGTAGAGTTTTAACACTTGCATCTCCCTGCAGATAGATTCTCGCCGTTCATCGATCGTGACCAGCGATGAGAGCACTATGTACTTATCCTTTGACGCGGACGACAAGTGGCAGTCGGCGATGGTGACCCAGAGCAGCCAGTTGTTCGAGATGCACGCTACCAGCAAGATGGAGGCAGGGGATGACAAGGATCTCAGGCGTGCCGTCCTGAAGGATCTGCACCAGCTGTCGATCAGCCACGATCCGGACCAGAACTCGCCCTTGCGTCCCTTTGACAAGAGCGTTTTGAACAGACACAACGCTTTGAGCTCGACGCCTTCCAAGGACACTGTCCCGGCAGTGGCAATGCCACCGCAGACCATTCCGCTCGACTTGACCGGCGTGGATAACAAGGAGAACTCGCACCCGGATGTCGGCGATAACTCCACTCTGTCCAGCTCGGACTTAACCGCCAACACGGTCAAAGCAAACACATTGAAGAACGATGACGCCACCATGGACGAGGTGGTTGAGCAGGAGGTGGCCAAGCCCAGTGTAAGCTCGGTTTATCCGCTGAGTGATAACGTCGTGCTGGAGAATATCACCGAAGGTGAGTAAGGTCTCCATTTTCTGTGAAATCTCGTTTCATCCGCTCTTTTTTCAACAGTTTCCAACGAGGAGGTGTCTGTGATGGCTTCGCCTTCTGTACCAAAAGATATTCCTGCAAAGGAATCGGAGGAGGTCAACGAGGTCTCCGAACTGATCGCCAAAATTCTGAAGATGACCACCGACTCTATGGAGCCACCGACCGTCTCCACATCAAAAGTGGAGGCAGGCAAGAGGCAATCCATGTCCTCCCTGTATTCGGCGCCCTTGCCACGCCCCCGGCGCTCGTATTTGCCCACGCGCATGTCCGTCGTGGTGAAGACCACACTGAACAGTCCGGCCCGTAAGCGCCGCATAAGCTGCCTTCCAGTCTCTCGCAGATCGATCACTGTCTCTGGCCCCTCCCGTAAATTGGACGCTGCCACCAATACTAGTGGCCAGAAGCTCGCGCCCATGTTGCCCAAGCCACAGGCTAAAAGCTCTTCCGTGATCTACAACTGTAAGACCTGCGAAGCCACGTTCCGGGTGAAGAGCCTGCTGACTGTGCATGAGCGCATGCACAATTTGTCCGAAAACGGGCCCAAGGCCGTGAAGCGCTTGGCAAGCGCCAGTGCAACCGGGTCCAGCGGTTCGCAGAATCGCTGCAAGTACTGTGACAAGAACTTCGCCCTGGAGCGCGCTCTGCACATCCACCTGATGGAGAAGTGCGACAAGATACCGCCGGGCGAGAAGCGCAAGCTGAAGTACACCGAACTCAACCACGTGAAGAAGGCCCAGCTGCCGAAGATAGCCGTTGTCAGTGCACCGGCAAATCCACCAAAGCCCCAGCCGCGCATGAGCACCGTCCAGACCAAGGGTAATTTGACCGTCGAGAATCGTGCAAGCAATTCGGTTAAGAGAAACGCCAAAGTAACTCTACACATGAATTTTAACCCGAAGTAAAAATGTGTATTTACTTTGAATATAGAAATATAGGTTCTCTTAGCCGATATTCTGCCAGATGTGTATTACAACCTCATTAACTCCCACTTTAATCGTATTTTTGCAGCTCTCTCGAATGGAGCCCAACTCATGCCACCGCCGTCCGCGAGGAAGGTATCCAAGAATGTGGCCCATCTCGGGGTTTATCGCACTCCCACTAAGTCCGTTCCCTGTCACCTGTGCAAGCAGTCATTCAAAAGTATCCTCGAGTTCACCACCCACAGCCTGAATGCGCATGGAAAGGGCCCGATGCAGAAGGTCGGTGAAGACGACGCACCGAGTGCCATGGATTAAATCAAACGTTTCGAGTGTAGCCATAGTCTAGGTCTTAGTTAAGTGTACTTTAATCTCTTCCCCCAGTTTAAATGCACTTTTAACATAATCACTTGGTCTTCTTTTCGGGCGGGGGTTTCATGTCCACTCCCTCGGTCTTGATGTCCAGCGGTCCCGTGGCATTGTTCATTTCAGTGGCCGCATTGATCTCTTCTCCCGCTATCGCCGACTGCTGAATGTTCTGCAGCATGGGCGGAATGGGTGGCGGAAATTTGCGCAGCAATTCGGCCAGCAGCATGTCCACTCGCTGCTTCTGAAACAGGGTACCGCTATTTTCCTCTTTCGCCGCATTGGCGTCCTTCTTGTCCCCCTTGGATTTGTCGGACACTAAAAACGAAGTGTTTGATTTAAAAAAATCTCTACAAGGCAAAGATTAGGAGGACTACTCACAAACTTTGTTGGTGGAAAAGTCCCAGGTGTAGCCCTTATTGGGATGGTAGCGGGCATAGCTGCTGGCTTCCTCAAAGGCGGACTGCAGATTCACAACGGTATTGAGCTGAAAAGAATAAGCCATTAATCCAAGACGAAACTCGGTTTAAGGCGAGAATACCTACTATGCGGGCATTGATGACGTTGGCCAGATCGGGGGCCTTGTAGACAGTGCCGCCGATGATGTAGTAGTCGGCGATGGGCGTCGCCTCCGAGGGATTGTGGCGATGCTGTTTGCGGATCACATACAGAATGGGTTCGGCCACATGCAGCAAGATGTACTCCAGGCCGATCATGTTGCTGGAAGAGGAAGAAATAAATACATATATATTCTGGAAGCACAGCTTCAAGTTCAGGGACACCTACTGCAAATGCTCTGGTCCCAGACGCTGCATCCGAATGGTCTCGTTGTTGCATATGTGATCGTAAAAGGGATTGGATTTGCGACAGAAGTAGTCCATGACGCTCTGCGGGCTCAGGGTGGCCATCATCTGGGTGTCGTGCCAGGAGAGGCGCAGGTGGTCGTTGGTCATCTGTCGGCTAGCCATACTGCCGATTCACGTGTCCGGCGTTCGATCTGGGAAGTACTGGTTGCTATGTTTTGGCAATGGCAGCGACAGCGGCCGTTTTTCTGGGTCAATGACGACGAGACCGCTTCTTTCCGATTCCTATTCCTAGCGATCGGTTTGTTTACAAGCTATTTTCGGCTGCCAATTTGAGCGATTGATTTTTTTTTATTTATTTGTTGTGCAATAAATAATTTAGTAACGCGCTGTCGTACGTCGCTCCTCTCCTCACTTCTCTCTCTCTCGGCTCTAAACCCGTAAGTTTTCCCACAATCCTCTGCTTCGTTGCGGCGTTGGTTAAATGTGATTGCTAGTTTGTGGCGTTATTTCTGCACTTTAAAACAAACAAATAAGTTTTTGTTGATATTTTTCATTCAATGAGTAGAGTGACCTTAGAAAAGGTTGGAAATAAGCCTGCACTTGGCCATAATCGTTCAGGAAAACTCAAGTAAGCACATCTGGTCACACTGCCGCCGGCTGCGAACGGAGCAGTGTGGCCAGTATACGAGATTCGCAAAAACCACATTTTCCACCAAAACACATTTGGTCACACATCTGCAGCAAGTGGACAGTCCCGCGACGGCGAAGAAGAAGCAGGAGCCTGCGAAAAAGTTTAAAAATAAACTAATTCCGTTTAAAATCAAACTGATATTCAATTTTCCGGCGCGCAATCATCGCAAGCAGCCGTTCACCGCCCAGTCAACACGTAGCTGCCACACGATCGCACACGAACACAAACAAACGGATTAGACCAACATTTACGCTCTCACGGATCTTGGTTCGTTGCCGTCACCATCAATTCAATATTGGGAATATCAGTTCGTTTTGTACCCTTCGTCGTGGCGCACGGGAAGCAGACGCTGAGCAGCGCACGGCTCTCGCAATGGTAACCAACCGCTCATCCGTAACCATAATCAGTCACAAAATCAATTTGTAGTAGCACCCTCCGACCCCAGTATGCTCGTGCCTGTCCAGCTCTAGACCATTTGTATATAAACGACTCGACCCCTCCTTTTCCTTCTCCTCCCCCGCATATTAGGCCTTCAATCGTATCACCCGCACAATACATATATGTACATATGTGCGTACGCTTTTGTAGGCGGCCAGTCAAGGTCGCATGATTCTCGGCCAGGCGTACACATACATACGCACGAAAATGTTCTTTTTTTACGCCTGCCTCACCTTGATTTCCAACAATATTCTGTCTGTGTGTGTGTGAAGTGTGCCGTTTCCATGGCTGCACCAAATCTTTGTTTATTCCACCTGATGTGGAGGCATCTTGAAAGTCCAGTGTAATCTCTCCGTAACCGACCCGTGTAAATAAACGCCGGTGTGTGTCCAGTGTTCAGTGTGCGCCTTGCTGACCTCCGAACGGAAACGACTCTATTCTATTCTCTTCTAGATTGTTGCACACTTTAGCACGTTAAGCGGACTCCGGATCCGTTGCAGATCCGTATCTCAGTCAGTTTCAGCGAAATGCGCTACATAAAACCGGAGCCGTATTACGAAGTAAACCGAAATAGCGCCAGATCTCCTCCAGTTCCCCCGCCTCTGTCCATGGAATAAGATTGACTAATCCGTCTCGTATTTGCAGGGGCTTCCACCGTTCAATGTCACCGGCAGCCCGTTCAATGTGGTGCCCATCCACAACTACCCGGAGCTGATGAAGGATACCTGCGCCCTGATCAACGCAGAATGGCCGCGCTCGGAAACGGCGCGCATGCGCTCACTGGAGGCCTCCTGCGACACACTGCCCTGCAGTTTGGTGCTGACCACGGAGGGCATGTGCCGTGTGATCGCCCACCTCAAGCTCAGTCCGATCACATCCAAGAAGAAGGCCTGCTTCGTGGAGTCGGTGGTGGTGGACAAGAGCTACCGGGGTCAGGGCTTCGGCAAGCTAATCATGAAGTTCGCCGAGGACTACTGTCGCGTGGTGCTCGACCTGAAGACCATCTACCTGTCGACCATCGACCAGGACGGTTTCTACGAGCGGATCGGGTACGAGTACTGCGCACCCATTACCATGTACGGTCCGCGTCACTGCGAGCTGCCCAGCCTGCAAAATGCCAAAAAGAAATACATGAAGAAGGTCTTATAGACGTCAACGCCAGTAACTGTGGTGAGATTAGCCCAATTGGGTCATGCCGAGCCCGATCAGCGTGTGACGGTTAACTAGTCAAATTGGCAATCGCTTGAATTCTTCACGGGCTTCACCTGCCAGCAGCTGCACCGGGGCCACCACCTGTGGACACCACGGCACCCTGCCAATTATCAGTTGTCAATGGGGCGGAGTGCTTCCACGTCCACGGGGGTCTCGGGATGCAGCCAGAGCTTTTGATTCCATTACACCGATAAGCAAACACTGTGTTGATTTTTGGATATTACTTTCCGCGTGTATTTTTTAATCTTTTTGGTTCATTTTGTATGAAAAAGGTGACCATGACCCACCACCCGCCCCCTACGCCTGTTCGGTACATGTTTAAGGTCTATATGTTAACTTAAAGCCAACTGTTATGATTTGTTATATAGTATTTGCTCAAGCGTATGCCTAGGCATAGTTGCTCCTAGACGAAAATCTACCTGCCTGCGATGATAATAAGTGGGAAAGAAGCTCAAGTATCTTCCAGCGAAACATAGCATATACATAGACATATCGAGCCTTAGCATTAAGCACTCAACGAAGGCAATAACTTCCAATAAATCGTGTAGAAATCTTAATTGAAATGCCAAAGAAGAAATTTATGTTTTTAAAATTTTTAATTGAAATGCCACTTATGCTTTGGTTTCTGGGCGGAAGTGGCGAGGCAAGGCGACGGAAACAGCTGTCTGCGGCATGAGCGATGCATCCCCATCTCGCCGGGATGACAAGTCCAAGTTCATGGCTGCGACTATCTATAAATTTATGTTATTTTTGCGCAGCCAAATTTGACGAGCGGCGTCATGCGAAGTGCTTCTGTTACAGAAATAACCCGTGCAGTGATGTAAGGCGCGCACAGATCTCGGTGTCTGCCAAAAAATGCCTCTCTCTCGTGGCCCGGGTGGGGGGATGTGCGTCTGTGTTCTCATAGCGGAAGCTGTTGATCTGATCTCTGCTGGCTTGGTGATTTTTTATGGTTACACATTGCTCGAATACCTGAATGGCGTTGGGTGCGACAGGTGCTAATGTGCCGACATTTCGGGGTGTCCGTGTGTCCGGTGCCAAAGCCAATCCGCACGTAATTGCAATTAAGTACTTACGTACATTATCTTCTAAAATGGAAAGTTTATTGTGCGCGCGCTCACATTATATTGCGTATACATTTGGGGACACAGGGGAACTGGAACTACGGATAGGAATATCAATTTAAATGTATTTGTACGACTTGAATGATCATCAGCTGCCAGTGGATATGTGGGGACCAAAGTGGACAACGAGGCTGGTTAGCTCTAGGCAGTCTTCGGGGTCTTGCCTATGCCGCACACCTTGCCGTAGTGCTCCGGCTGGTCCAGGCTGTCGATGATGAACTTTCCCAGGTCGTGTTTGGAGACCAGGCGGTAGGGGGCCTCATCGTGCACCACGGTGTAGGCGGTGGACGGCTCATCGGCGATATGTGGCGGCAGGATAGCAATGTAATCCAGCCCGGAAGCCTTGGTTAGGTCCAGCATTCGCTGGTGCTCCTCATTCAGCTTGTGGAACACAGCTGGCACCTCCTTGAGCGTGCGCAGCAGGAACGAGGACATGACAATCGAGAACTTGGTGATCTTCTCTTCTTTCATCGCCTTGATCAAGTTCGCGGTGCCTTGGGACAGCTCTGTGGTAGCCTCGAGCTTGTTGCGGGTGCCCAGGACCACGGCCACTCCATCTACGCCCTCAATAAGGCGCCTCACATCCTCGTATTTGGTGGCATCGCCCTTCACCAGCTCAACTTTGGACTTGAAACGCTCCGGAACAGTGGCCTCGGTGCGATAAAGCAGACGGACCTTCAGACCTGCAAGACGCAAGAATTAGCAGCGAACCGGAGACCCCTCATTGGCCCCGCGGGAGCACCTACCTTTCTCTAGGGCGTGATCCACGGCACACTCGCCGGTCATGCCGGTGCCTCCGATGATTGCAATGCGTTGCATAATGCCTACTCCTTAGTCCCCACGGGAATGTAAAGCCTAATGTCCACTCTTGGTCGTGCGAAAGTGCAGTCTCACCTGTGATCCAGCAGGTGGTGGTGGTTATCTAGCAAGTTCCAAACCGCAAGTGCCTCCAGCGACGGCCTGCTCTGCGTTCTCACCTCGCCGGCTGATTCTATATCTCTCTCTCACGCACACCAGCAGGCAGCAGGCAGGTGTGTGCGTGTGCGTCTTGGAGCAGCGCAGAAAGCGATACCGACAGTGCCAGATATAGATAGTAATATCTCTGATGAACAATTTTTATTTACAAACGTTTTGTGTGCTCATTTGTCATGGTGATTAATGTTAAAAATAAAAAATTATTTGAATTGGCGAATCGCGGAATTGCTCAGTCTGCAGCACTGGTTGCCGCCGTCAGTGTTGTAAAGTGCTCCGCCGTTAAAATTTTGGCCGCCAAAGTTTTGGTTACGCCTGCGACTCCTCGGAATAGGGATTATCTGCCGGATTCTTCACCCGCCGCAGCGTGATGCCCAGCTTGAGTTCGCTCAAGAAGTCGGTGGTGGCTGGCTTTCGCTCCGGTCGTGGCTTGATGCCGCTAATTGTGGCCGCCTTCTGGTCCACTTTCTGCAAGGATCGGAGGATGAGAATTATACATTTTGCTTGGAATATGGACATACCTTCAATGCTACTCCCTGGCGTATACTGGCGAGGAGTGCGCCGCGATCATCACCGCCGGCAGAGGCCGCCGGAGCAGCTTTTGGCTGGGACTTTTGCATAGGCGGCGGCGGCGGAACTCCGGCCATACCAGCTGGTGGAGGCGGCGGTGGTGGTGGCGCTCCACCTGCAGCGGCAATTGGCATGGGAGGCGGCGGTGGCGGAACGGCGGCCGAGGGCGCAGGAGGCGGCGGTGGAACATGGTTAATCTGCTTTTGCATCGGTGGCGGTGCAGCTGGAACATGACTGTACGCTTGCATCGGTGCCGCCGCCGGAGGTATATAAGCAGATGGAGTCCTGGATCCAGAAGTTGGCTTAGCCGGAGGAGCAGGTGGCGGCGGCTTAGCAGCTGGCGCATACTGCACCTGGGACATTGAAGCCATCGAGTTGGTGTTCGGAACTATCGTTGGCTTTGGCGGCGCCGGCGGAGGAATGCGCATGGTGCCCGCCTTGCGCTGCGGCGAAATAGTGGCATAAGTAGCGTTTTGCGTTTTCGGAGGAGCCGAGGGCCGCACTTGGCGGATGTCGATGGCCGCCGGATAGCCATGAACATGCGAGTTGTTCGCCGTGACTGCCGAGGGAGGTGGCGGCACCTTCGGTTTAGCCTGCTGCTGCTGCTGGGGCTGGACGTGAACGGGAATCACGGATCCCACCTCTTGTTGTCTGACGGAAGGTGGAGCAACTGGTCCTGCAGCAGGCAGATCCATGTCCGAGATGTCCACGAAGCGTGAGGTGAGTGAGGCATAGTTGGAGAAGCTCGGAGCCGGCGCCGGCTTCGCAGCGGCTGCCATTGGTGGCGGCGGAGGCGATGGCGGGGGCGTTATTTGGTTGTTAGTGGAAATGGTGGCGTAGAGTAGCGGCCTGACCGGTTCCTGGACATGGGGCTTGGCCTGAAAATCGCTCTTGGCGGGCTGTAAAAGCGGAAAACGCTATACTGGCAGGCACTTACGTCTCAAGCACTTACCATCCACGTGTAGTTGGAGTGCACAATCTTCTTGACGACATCTTGGTGCCGCATGTGGCTAATATCCGCCTCCGTAATGCCCCGCTCTATCATGTACTTCCGCAACACGTTGTCGTTGGACTCAGCATTCAAATCGAAGGCGTTCCTTGTGCGATCCCGGGTCACATCACCGGATACGTGCTGAAAGTTGACAGGGCCACTGATCTCATACTTGGAGCCCTTGCTGCTAACCAGGACGCTGGTGGCGAAGCTGGGACCCGCCAGGGCAACGGCTGGCGGAGCGCCAGCATACCTGTCCAGGCTGTTCGACGAGGAGGAGCTCTTCATGCCGTCGAGACTGCCGTTGATGCTGGCGTTGTCGGCGTAGTAGGGCGGCGGGCGGACTGCTGGCGGCGGATTGGCGAACACGTCGCTGCTCACTTGCATAGACGGTGGCTGGAAAGAGAGAAACAGCGGCGTTCAGGACCTGGGAGCGAGCGGTGAGGCATATGACTGATGAGGTTAGAAGGATCTGCTTGTCGCCGGATATTACCACCCAATAACCGGGCCCCTTATTGCTCCTAATTATGTCATAGACGTAAGCTCGCCGCATGATGGCCGGCAGACGATCGAGGTCGTCGGACAGGTTGGCCTTCCGCAGGTACAACTGGAGCATTTCATCGACGCCCTGGCCCCGCACATCGAAGGTCTTGCGAAAGTCAATGGCCTTCCCCTCCAGCTGCCGAAACTCCACGGGCTCGGAGATGTAGGCGTACGAGTAATCCTCCATGGCACTGGAAAAGCGGATACGTATTTGGGAGCTGCGTTAGTACGGCTGCTAAAGATCGCGCTAGGTGCCGCCCCACTTGGCTTTGTCTCGGACCTCTCCCCGGAGCCGTGCGTCCATCCAAAATATGCCGTTCGGTATTATCTAGTTGCCAATTTGTAGATAAGAGTTGCTGGCGCAACTTGCGTTTTTATCAATTTCGGAATCGGATCGCGCTGGGCCTTCACCGCGCGCTGACTCATCGCCCCCGGCTAACTCAGAGCCCCTAGCCCCAAGGCAAACGAGAGAGGAGGCCAAGGAGCAATTACCGTGTGCACCGTGGAGTAGTTGGGTCCAGGCAGGAACACTAGCACCCGGAGAGAAGACAAAGTCAGAATTAATCGAAAAAGAAATCGGATCGGCAGCCGGAGGAGCAGTTTGAACGGCACAAAGCAGTTTGGCGGACTGATTAACCGCGGTGGTATGCCTTGTTAGGCACTGCGTTTACTCATTTCGCGAACCGCCTTATCTAAAGCCGAGGCACTGATAACTGATAACCGGGGGCCAGTAATCACCTGGGCCCGCGACAACCAAGTCTCCGACTCCGGCAGCGACAGCCTGAGCCAAAAGAAAACATAAACAATCGGCGTAAACTATATTTTGGTAGTGGCTCCATGATAAACGCTTCACCTGTCAACTCGCTGGCTCGCTGCCAGGTTGGGTAAGTCCAAAGAAATTGAAAGAAATAAAGATAATGAGTAATGGCTTCACAGAAACCGGAAGCGGTCGTCATCCAAGCGGAATAACCTGATGTAAAGTAGTAGTAGTAAAGGAACTCTACATCATAAGTAATAACTTTGATCTTTGGCCATATCCTCAAGCTTATGTTTCAATTTTTCAAGCTTTGTTTACCTCAACTTCATTTCGTAAGTCCAATCTTAATTAAGATCTTAATTCATAAACTACTCTTGCCAAAAAACTGATTATATTTAATAATTAAGACATGAAAGGAAGTTAACTTTGGGAAGCGAAAAATATATAAACCCATGCAGCTTGCTATTGGAGCAGAGACTGCATTTTAAACCGATCCTTACTATACTAAAAACAAACTAAATTATTCGACTTTTATCAAAAGGACCCATCTTTGGCTGCCAAGGGATCCTTATAGAACTATTCGAGCACATGAGCACATGGGACAGCTTCGCTTTGAAGGTAACCCTATAGAGTTGGTTTGGGCTTCGTTGAGTTAGCTGTCAGATTTGATGACTTGCCATGTGACCCAGGAAAGGCATAACTCAGTTACCCAATTACCGGCAGCCTGAACGCTTCGAACAGTTCAAAGTGTTTCTTTTTTCTTTCTGGAAAATCGTAATCTTTCAATCTGTTCAAAAATTTGGCCGACTGCGTCGACAAAACTATACAAAAACCGGTAAGAAATCCTTAAAGGCTAAATGGATTCCGAGGATTTTGGAAGCCTTCAAGAAGGCGAGCAGCAGGCGGGGGAATATACACTGGCCGAGATTGAGGTCGATATGGAGTCGCAGCTGACTCCCAATGACCTGGACCCCGGTGCCACGGTGCTGCTCTCCATCGAGGGCGACGAAGACGGCGAGCGAATTATGAGCCACGAGGATCTATCCAGGTGGTTTTTGGTAGAGCCGGCCGCAAGCCCGGCACCAATGCCCACAGATGTAGTGGTGCAGCGTACCCTAGAGGACCCAGCTCTCAAGCAGATCCTCCAGGAGGCCGACGGCAAGCCGGACTTTGATCCCGAGGCGGAGCAGATGAAGATACGCAGCTTCCTTGCAGGCATTACGCACAGCAAGATGACCACAGAGCAGTCTGTATTTCAAGGTGCTGCCGTGCAGAGTTTTAATATCTCCTCCCATTACTTGATGTTCTCCTCTGTCCCTCTTCTAGGATACCGCCCCAACACAACAGGCTTTGGCAACCGGAGTAAGTGCCCCGATTGCCTTGGCAGTTTCGATGCCTCGTCGTTTCAGAATCACTTGTGCAGCACCGAGGTCGAAAGGAAGTCCAATCAGAAGTCCGTCGCCGAAGCTGTGGCTGACAAGCAGGCGGAGAAGCCACCAGCAGCAGCAGCAGCAGCACCTGATCCCCCAGCTCCTCCTTCCCCCAGCAAACCGAACAGCATACGAGTGGTGGCAGAAAACCAGATCCGCCTGCGTCGCTTCTTGAATGATGAGCTGAAATACGACATAAACCCCGGAGTGGATGGCTCGAGCAGCCGTAAGTCCGGTAAGGGACTTCACGAGTGCAGCAAGTGCGACCGCAAGTTTGTCCACGCCTCTGGGTTGGTGCGCCACATGGAGAAGCACGTCCTGGACCTAATCCCTTCGCAGAGTAAACCACAGCCGGCCGCATCTCTGGCGGCCGGTCTCACTGCCGTGGTGAAGTGCAACTTCTGTGGACGGATCTTTTACGATCCGCAGGTGGCGTTGGAGCACGCCCACGTTCACTTTGAGGTACATCCAATAGCCAATAGCCAATCGGAAACGGCGGTCAAGTACACCACCAATGTAGATTTTAAGCAGCTTATAAAGGACACGGAGTCGCTGCTGAGCGACGTTTGCTCGGGAGCGGCGAAGCTAGGGAAGCAGAAGAACATGGAGGTGCTGGTGAAGATGGAGAAGCTAGAGAAGCCGGAGGAGCTTAAAAAGCTGGAGAACCTGAAAAAAGTAGAGATCCTGAACAGCCTGGAAGAGAATTTATTTAGCATCTTGGTGCTGGGCAGCGTCCTGCAGTGTGAGTTCTGCGAATACCTGTTCTCCGACATCAGGGAGCTCCTCGCCCATTCGGCCACTCACCCGGTAAAGCGGCGATTCGAGTGCACCGCCTGCGACATTAAGATGGATACTGCCAAGGAGGCCAGACTGCATTTCGAGACGGACTGCATCTTCATGCGCGAGTCGCTGAAGTCGCTAAGCGTTTCGGTCAGCCGCTTCTTTGCGTGCAATGTGTGCGAGCTAAAGTTCGCCAACTCTGAGCTGCTGCAGGAGCATCGGTAAGTGGGATTTAGTTGAGCATCAGCCAGGATAACCCCTGTTCCTTTGCCAGCTGCACCTACCATCACTACTTTCCGCGGCTCAGTCCGCATGGCGCGAGCCTGCTGCTCCCCTGCGAGTTCTGTGAGGTGATATTCGAATCCGCCCGCGAGGTTCAGCCGCACAACGAGGAGAAACACCTAAGCAAGAAGAAACGAGAGAAGGAGACGCGTGGCAGCACGACCAGCGGTCGCCAGCGGCAGTACCTGTGCGACATCTGCGGCAAGTCCTACACCCAGTCGAGTCACCTGTGGCAGCACCTGCGCTTCCACCAGGGTGAGTAGGAACACGAATAGGAACTCCCATTCCAGTTACTCACCATACATCCCATACGTGCCAGGTGTGAAGCCCTTCGTATGCCCGGAGGATAAATGCGACCGCAAGTTCACCATCCGACCGGACCTCAACGACCACATCCGCAAGTGCCACACGGGCGAGCGGCCGTTTCACTGTCAGACGTGCGGCAAGCGTTTTCTCACCGGCTCCGTCTTCTACCAGCATCGCCTCATTCATCGTGGCGAGCGGCGTTACGAGTGCGAACAATGTGGCAAGCGATTCTATCGCGCCGACGCCCTCAAGAACCACCAGCGCATCCACACCGGGGAGAAGCCGTTCAGTTGCCTTTTCTGCACCAAGACATTTCGCCAGCGCGGCGATCGCGATAAGCACATGAGGGCCCGCCACGCACACCTCGATGCCAACTCGCGCCTCATGATGCAGATGCAGAAGTTCCAGCTGGAGTCGGCCGCAGCCGCCAAGGCCAAGGGGGAGAAGACCCCGTCCGGAGTTGCGATGGCTGCCTGTGGTAGCCACCCCTTGGCAGAGGGTTTGGAGCCCGGAGAGGTAGTGGCTTCAGAAGAGCATCTGCACGATCCCGAGCCAAACGGAGACATGCCAAACTATTTTGTAGTGGATGAGTATGTGGAGGGTGAGCCTGGGGAGAATGACCTGAACGGTTTCAATATGCAGCAGGGTGTCTGTACCCTGGAAGAGGAGGGCTGCACCATGGAGGAGGAGGAGCAGCAGATAATTCTGTACGAGACTCAGCCAGGAAGGGATTTGAACTTGGGAGACGACCAGCAACCAGGACAGGATTTGATCACCTTCGACTATAAGGAGGCTAATGAGGAGCCAATGCAGGACGAGGACTATGTTCAAATGCTTCAGGGCGACGAAAATGCCAGGGTTGTGGTTGTGCAGAACAACCCAGCTCAGCCTATGTTTTCCAATTCCTACATGTAATCTCATTTAAATTCAAGCAAGGCGCAACACGAATGAAGCCATTTCCAGTGACGGGAAATATGGGATATCCTACTATCTATGTACATATATCGATAATTTACATTCTTGAATAAAATAATATTTTAAACTTGACAAAATTTTTAATAATACTAGTAATAATTTATAAAAGATAAAAATATAAAAACCAAGAACCATAAGTGATGATTATCGAAAAAAAGGTTTGAATGAAAATATCAACCACTTGGAATCAACTGTAAATAAAAACTAAATATACTATACTATAGTATTTTTATGATTTTAATTATTTTAAAATAAAATCATTCCTTGATTTACACAATACGAAAATAACATTTTTGTTCTCATTTATATTATTATTATTTTTTTAAATATTTTATTTTACATTTACATTTATTTACGCGACAAAGACATCTCCTGGTATCTTAAAAGACAAACTTTGCCAGCATCCACAAGCCGTACAGGATTAAAGAGAGCAGCAATATCGTGAGACCATAGTGAAGGACCTTGAAGCTGTAAAGTAAGAACCTTGGTCATTATGCCCATCGAATCACAAATGTTAATGTAGTTACCGCCTGTGCAGCTTCAGACCACTGGCAATGGACTCCTCAGTGATCGGCTCATTGGCTATATGCTTTCGCATACCACTAAAGGCGCCTTGAAAATAGTGGTCCCAATCCAGACGGTCCATATCAAAGTCGTACATAAAGCGATCTTTCTTCGACAGCGTCTCCAACAGTCCCTGGGTGTTGGACATGCCAAAGTTAAAGGTGGTTCTCATGAACGGTCCCAGAAGAGCAATATTTTTGTGTATTTTGCTGTAGACCTTCCCCAGGATGGGCTTGCGGCCATTGAGGCGAAGTAGCGCGTCGAGGAAGTATCCCGGAAGGGTATGAAAAAAGAAGGCAGCAAATGGAAACAGGAGGGGAGGAAAACGAATGAGAAAGGGGTACCACAGCACATTGTTCAGCGGATTACGATTGATAAAAGAAAAACCTAGTTCTAGGAAATTCTTTAAACATAACTGGTTCTTCCTAGTGGAACCAAAAGTGTAAATAGGAGGCTTTTCTGCGTGCCCTATATTTGTGCCTGTTGTCCAGGCACAGGCCAAGATTACGTTAGCACAATAGTCAACCGGTACCAAGTTAAACTTGGAGTTGGAGTCAAACGTGAGTACCCGGACTACACCGCGAGCTATGCCAAAGATTAGAGCCTGGGGACCGTTTAAACCTTCTGTCCACCCAACCTCGGGCTCCTTGCAGACCGGCATAACTATGAATAGGTTAGTTAGTTACAACGCCAAAGCTTAGCACATCATTCACCTACTGATCGACGGTCGGAAGATGCACAGGTTGCCCGCCTCCCTCCGGATCACGTCCTCCGCCAGGGCCTTGGTATAGGTATAGGTGTTCGGGAAGGATCCTACCAGCGCAGACGTCATGTTGTCTATCGTCTCTGCACTCAACAGCTCCCCCAAGGCTAGGATTTTGTCAGAACCATCTCGTAAATGCTCCGGATAGAACCTCTCATCTATGTCGGTCGCCACAGAATTGGAGTAGGCGGTGGAGACATGGACAAAGGACACCAGCTGGGTCATTCGCTTTGCCAGCTGAAGCATCAGCCGAGTCGCGCGAACATTAATGGCCAAAGACAAGTGCATGGCCTCGTCAAAGCGAACGGTGGCTGCTCCATGGATAACAACTTGCACCTCGGAAACCAGGAGACCTTTGTCCAATTCACACAGGCCCAGATCCGGTTGTTGGCAATCTCCTGCAATGGGACAGACCCGCTGCAGCGCATCCGGCTTGGTCTTCAAGAGCACTTCAAAAATCTAAGGAATTTCGTTTGAGAATTTGTCATTGAATCCAGAATGGTGATTACCCACCGAGTCCTTCTCCCAGACTGAGACGCGTTCTCCGATAGACACGCCGCGCTTGGGTCTGAATAGCGAGTATATTCGTTTCACCTCGGTTGTCCTCAGGAGCTTCTCAATGACCACTGAAAGCCACGGTCATTAGCTCTAAAAAATATAAATAGTGCTCTGGATACCTTTGCCCAAAAATCCTGATCCTCCCGTTAGGAAAACGGTTTTATTTCTAAAGAATTCTTGAATTCCTGTATCCATTTTGCTTAGAACCGAGAAACCTTCTATTTCGCAATTCGACCGAACGAGTGAGACTAGAAAGTCTTTCTAATGGCGACTTGTATTTATGCTCGACAATTTACATTTCGCAAAGGTTGAGTTCGGCATTTCTATGGATTAGTGGTACAATGTACATTTTATGTACATAAATAACGTCTCCATTAACTTAATTAACGTCAGCAAAAGCATGAATTCTAAATTTCTTGCAATGCACCACACTAATTACTATTTATTTCCCTGCGGAATAGTTTTAATTCAAAGTCATTACAACTAATTTGAATGAGGAAGGTTAGTGTCGTTCTTTCTTTGTATTCTTGATCATCATCAACAGGCGAGTCTTTCTAGCCATGTTGGAAAAAAAAATTCTTGCAATTTTTTGATAAAATTCTCAATAATTGATTAAAAATGAGTATGCAGATTTGTTTATTCAGAAAAACTAAAACAGAAAAATTTTCAAAATGGAATATACATATATGGCTTAACTATGATTTTTAAACTTAGATTTATTTTAGATTATCAATTAAATATATGGATAAATATTCACTTAAAGAAATCTAAACTAATTCTAATTTTTCAAAAAAAAAAGTGTTTCTTTTGTTGGCAAAGCACATTTAGCGAAGACTCAAACCCGTACCTTGATTAGCAGATTGAAAGTTGGTTGGCAACGCGAATTACCTTTTCCCTTTAGGTCACATTTAAAGTTGTTTGAAAGAGGCGTTTTATATATTAAGATTTATATAAATAAATATATATATTTCTATAAAATAAAAACATGTTTTGTGTAATTAATTTGTATATAAATTATTCTTATTAAATATTTTTAATTTGGAATACAAACTTGGGAAAGGAATTTGTATTCTGAAGTTGTTTACACAGAAATACGTAGTAACACTTACCAATTAAAATTTTATAAAAATCCACAGAAGACATCAAACAAAAGGCAGTTTTGGGTGATTATAATTTATTAGAATTTTTATTGACTTAAGGTATATATAAATAAAATATTATTCAAGTACAAAGTTATATATACTCATTAATATTATTTGATTCAAGTAAATATATATTTCAAAGTGGCGGTGTTTTATTATATCATTTTTTTGTTGTCAATTAAGTACAATTTACTGTTCCTGCACTATTTCTAAGGGTTCGCGCGTGGCACAGCACAGACCGAAAGTGCGTCCGAGCCCCGAGATCCCAGGAGATATATCATATATGTATGTATGTGGTATTGTGTATTATGCGGGCAAGCCCCTTCTGATTCAGGTTTGGAACCTTAGCTCACTTTTTCGTCTCGGGGACTCGGGGATCGCGGATGCTTCGCGAACCCTGGCTTTGCTCAAACCTTGCCCATGCAACATTGTTTTTGTTTTCTTTCTTTTTTTTTGTATCTTTGTGTGTAATTTACGTTTAATCAATGAATTTTGGATCACAAACAGTAAATACGTCTTTAACGATAATTGCAGTTGAATTAAACATATATTAAGATCAGGGGTAGTTGGGTGTTTGGGTTTCTTGGAGGTTGGGGGCGTCGCTTTAATTATAAAAATATGGTATCTGCATTTTACATGTTTTTTGTTTTTTGTTTTGCTACTATCGTTTTTTGCGTCGAAATTACCATAAGTCCATCCAGCCTTAAACAAGTAATTTTTCGTCACCGATCGCACACTCGCGCGCACGCTCCATTATCCATAACACTCGGTTTTGTTTCTCTTCATTCAATTTTCAATTCAATTTTGCATTTAAACGCTACGTTGCCTTAACTTCAGTCCTTTCGCAGAAAACCTAACCCTAAATGTATTTAGCTCTTCGCCCGTCTTCTCCTCATCTTCGATCATCTGTTCCTCACATCCCCCGCATGCTGCAGACACTAAACATAAATTCAATACGTACAGTTGACAGTTTTAAGTTTACAGTTTCAAATATTGGTTGTGGTTGTGTGTTTGTGTGGCAATTGGCTTGTTAAATCGTAAATGGATCCATCAATCATCCGCTCCCTGCGCTAAATGCCGTCATATTCCCTTTTGATCCGCCTCTAACTTCATCTTTGGCCACGGATCCCTGCTCTAGCTATCATTCTACGCTCCTGTAAATATTCTTTTCTGATTTTTGTTTGAGTTTCAGTGTTCAGTTTCAAGTTGATTTAAATGCACTAAAAGTTGCACGGGACCGTTCGCTCGTTTGCCTGCGTGATTCGGTTGTTGTCCTTCTATCCTGTAATTGTATTTTCTTTCTAGTTTTTATACCTTCGCTAAGCCAATGAAATGTGTGTGAAAATATGTTTCTATTTAGTTAGTTCGATTTAATGCTTTTATTTGTTTGGTTGATGGTTCGTTTTTTTGCGTTTATAAAATGCCAAAAATTTGTGCAAATTTCTAAAACTTGTCCTTTTTTGTTTTTGTCCTTGTTATTATACTAAAATATTTGTTTTTTTTTTCTTTTAACTTTAAAATGTACGTTCTTTTTAGATTAAATTTTTGTTTTCTTTCTTTTCTTTCCATTTTGCTTTCGTTTTTGTTTTCATTTCGTTTCCTTTAAAATATTGCATTTTTATTTTATGTTTTTTCTTTTGGAGGCTTTATCCCTGAGTGATTTAATTTCATTTGTTTGTCATTTATTGCAACTTTTACTTTATAAACTTATTGTTTTATATTTTCTTATTCGATTTAAGTGTGTGTGTTGTCAAGAGGGAGAGAGTCTGAGTGGGTGAAAGAGAGAGACCAAGAAAATCAATGGCAAATAATAACTCCTTGTTTGCGCTGAAGGTAGCTTAATTATTTATAAGTTTGTCACGTTATGTTCACAATTTGTATATTGGGCCCCCGCCTTTGGGGCCAACAACGAAACGCGTCAACAATATATTCTGCTGCCCTCTAGTGTAGTAACTGTATTTAGATCTGTTTCGCATTGCTTTTTGGCTAATATATGCAATTACTAAGCTGTATCGTGTCTGCATCTGTTGCTGTCTTTAAAATATTTGTACTTCACTGCAAGTGTTTCAATTACAAACTGCCTGTAAGCTACTATAGTAGAGCTGTCGTTCAACTGGCTGGCATCGAACCAAATCGAATAGATATACAAGCTCTCGATGTCAGCCCGAGAAGTGATTAAGTATCTTTTTCTGTGTGTGAGATGTGCCCGAAAAAAGATTGATTTGGAGTGTGAAAATGTCGCTCTGGCTCGAACTTTTGGCTTCCTGATTTTGCAGAATTGAGAATCCATACATTTTCACAGATACAAGTATACGGAATTTTATATCTTAGTATCTATGAAATCGTAGCAGTCCCCATTCAATGGAAAGTGGAAACTGAGACAAAGTTCGAGCTCAGGGGGTCATTAGCCAATTGCGGAGTGATCGAGACAAACAAGGAAGAAGTGTTCGCTTTACAGTTTCCGTATCTGTATCTGTAGTATCTGTATCTGTATCCCTATGTGTATCTGTTGGCTAGCGTATTTAGTTGAAGCTGCGTATATAACTATACAAGTGTTTGCAATAGGTATTCTGCATCGCTATATGTCTGCATATGGATCTCTGTTAATCGTTAATCTCAAAAAATGCTTTGTATTTGAACAGTAAATTACGTTGTCACTTGCTCGAAGTGTTTGCACTTTATTTCGGTTATTGTTTTATGCCTTTATATCCCTATTCGGTTTTCATATGCTCTCTCTTTTCATTTGTATTTATATATATAAAAATATCGATTTATACAGTTGTGTTTCGGTTATTGCATTGCATTTGCTTTTGTAATCTGCTGCGATCCTATGGCTATGGCTGCTGCTGCTGTATGTTGTATATATTTGTGGCTCTTAACGCTATTTGTGGTTATCAGTTATCGGTATTGGATTCGTAAGCTTGGTTATATGTGGTTCTGTACTGTTCTGTGGTAGATATTGCAGTTTGCTGGCAAACAATGACGATGGCTGGAAGTTGGGCATGCATGCTGCACGCATGCTGAGATGCAAGTCGTGTCTGCTGTCTAGTGTTTGTGGCTGTGACTCGCGTCCAAGTCGAAGGTTTCCTTTTGAACATTCAAGTTTAAAAGCTTAAGATTACGTGACCTCGATTCGGGGTTTCCCTCTCTCTATGCCTACTATTGGTAAAATAAAATACAAGACTAGAAGTATAAATTTCGCTTTTAGAGCAGCTCTTACTTCGTTAAAATGTGCATAATTCTAGACGAATCTCTCCAAGGAAACACACGTGTACCTTGCGTGTGTGTTGTGAACAAAAGTGCCGCAAGGGCAACCAAAAACAAAGGCAAATCAAGAGGTTTATAAATTGCACATACATATATAGTAAATCGGTTGCAGACACATATTAACTTATTCTTAGAACAGCGTTCAATCGATCGCCTCTCGTTTTTCCTTCTTGTTTATGCAGCGACTACAGATCACAGATCCCCGAAAAAATGAGAAACGAAAGCTACGCGACGGCGTTATCTTTCCCTAACATATGCGCATACTAAACTCGAATTTAAATCTGTCATTCTGCTGATTTGTACATTTCGATTGCTATACTTTTTTTGCTCGACTCTTCTAGTGTGTTTGTGCGAAAATCTCAACTGAAAGAACTAAAGCTAAAGAACTGAAAGTGTCGTGAACAAAATCGTACTAATACTTGCATCCAGTAAGTATAACTCGTGTTTATTTTGAGGGTTATTGTATTGGAGTTGGGTGACGCTCAGCAGGACCCCCGGTAAGCCCCCAACGAATTTCAAAGGCAGCTCGGCTGCTCCCGGCCACAGGCAATGCGATCCGATCCGATTCGGATGTGGATCTATCTATGCCCGCCGCCGCCAGCAGCCTGGCCGCCCCTTATGGCTTGAAATTCGTCTGGGAGTTTACCAGAAGTCCTTGTACGATCCTCAGGAGCCGTGCAGCGCGTTGTTCTGCGCACTGTTGCCGCCACCACCACCGCCGCCGCCTCCGCCTCCTCCGCCGCCGGATCCGTTCACGTTCTGCGCCGACACCTCCGACTTGACGCGTCGGGCGATGTGGGACCGCGTGTGCTTGCGCAAGTGGTCCTTGCGATAGAAACCTACGGTAATCAATGATCAATTAAGCATCCTCATATTATACGGTCTTCGATTCCAGGACACTTACCTTTTCCACACTCAATGCATACATGCTTCTTCTCGCCGGAATGGATGACAATGTGCAGAGTTAGCTGCTCCTTGCGCTTGAAGGACTTCATGCAGATCTGTTTAAAAAAAAAAATATGAAAGTTAGTATCTCATCCTTATGTAATTTTTCAACTTGTTTAATAGTCTTCATTTCTTCCGTAACGGTTGTCTCGACTCACATTGCACACATGCGGTCTGTCCGGTATGTGGGAGAGCTTGTGCCTGGTCAGGTGGTCCTTGCGCTTCAGCGCCGCATTGCAGATGTCGCAGACGAAGCGCCGCTCTACGGCGTGCGAGATAACGTGCTGCTCGATGAGGCTGCGGTCCGGATAGGCCATCTGGCACTCCGGGCAGCAGTATAGCGTTGAGCCGTCCAGCGCCTTCGTCTCGCGGATCTCGCCAGGCTTGGGGCGCGGCTTCTTCTCCTTTGGTGGTTTCTTCTTTTTGGTCTTCTTGCCGGTGGCTGTGCCGGTGGCGCCGCTGGCATTCGTGGTGCCCACGGATCCGGTACTGGATACCGCCCCGGCGCCGCCATTGCTCACCGTCCCATTGGCATTTCCGTTCACCCCGTTGCTGGCTCCTCCATTCGTCAGCGTCGCACCGTTGGCGTCCGTCATGTTAGTCATATGACCGCCGTGCTCCATGCCCACCAGTCCGTTGTGGTGGCCCCCATTAGCCCCATTATTACTGGGCGTCAGGGCAACGCCACCCAGCGCCAGGCTGGCCAGATTGGTGCCGTTCTTGAGGACATCCCCGGTGGACTCCTTCTTGATGGTCTCCGAGTACTTGAGGAAGTGCTGAATGGAGATGGGCAGTGTGGCGGAGAGCAGGTGTGACGAGTAGTCCACCGTGTTGGCCGTGTTGGCCAGCGTTTGCCAGGATTGGTTCACATTCTGCAGGATCTGCTGATTGAGGACTATGGAAACGGGAGAGGAAGGATTTATTGTAGTGCGAAAAAAGAGCATTTCCTAGAGACTTAAATTTGTTCGTTTTCAGTCCAAAGTAAAGAAAAAAAAAATTTATAGATTTTTGTACCAATTTTAAATCTCTAGGATTTCATTTAGTCCCATAAAGCATTATCTAATGGTACTGTATTTCTTTCTAATGGAATCAATGTCATTTACTAATTATTATTCCATACTTTTCTAACCCCGAACCTAACATTTCTTAATCAATAGACATCTCATTATTATCTAATCAACTTCTGCATAATTTTCTTTTGAGCTACAAAAAAAAAAAAGCCTACCCCAACAGCAATTTTCCAACACCCTTCGTTTCCCCTTTGGGGGCGTGTCAGCAGCTTTATAGTATATGTGTCTGGGTAGCAACCAATTTTTTCGTCTTCTTCCGGCTTTCTCTTACAACTGGATACTGTCAATAAAATTGAACCCATCTTGGCTATTTAATAAGTGTTAACTTTACAAACTAGTAAAGATAATTTCAATATTTCAATATTATTACTTTAAATATGTTTTTAAAAGTCAACGAATTTTGATTTTGAAAGATTTGTACAAATCCGGAAAGAGATGTCTATTCTGAAGAATCCCCGGATAGTAACCATTATTTACTGCCAAGGACACACCCACCCTCCTCACATCCGAGCGGTGCACACTCTTCGCTTTGCAGCGTGCGTAATCATTGGGATGAGAGGAGCAACATTCACATCCACTTAAGGTGGCTCAGCGTAAAACTGGATGAAAAAGTGTGCTATACCCCAACCCATCTACCTACCCAGATGCCCCTCTTACTGCCCCTCGGCTCAGGGGATGGCAGACAGGCCCAAAAACATTTATAAATAACGAAGCCGAAGGGAGACGCACGACGAGTGATGACTACGTCCTTGAAATACACATATACCGACCCGAAAGCGCTGTACATACACCAGCCAGCTCAGCCTCCCCCAGACCCAGCAGCACGAACACCAGAACCAGACCCAGACCCGGAGTCAAAGCTAGAGCCAGAGCCGGAGCCACCCACCCACGCAGTTCCGCCCACTCAATCCCCGACTGGCGGCTCGCCGACGACTCACCTTCTTCCCGGTCACGTTCGATTTTTGGATGGATTTTACCCTTATGATCGGCCGCTGCGGCTGCATTGAGAAAGTTCAGATCGCCCTGCGGCTGTGAGTACGGTATGGATATATTCTGGCCATATTGCATGTTGTTGGCAGCCGAAACTGAAAAGATAGAAATTTTCACAATTAATATGGGGTTTTTGGTTAAATCGGTCGCGTGGGACAGGAAATAGGAGAGGGGAAACAACATAGTCTTGGATATTTACACATCGTGAACACCCTTAAGTGAAAATTCGGTGTATGGTTGTTTTTCCTTTTGTTTTTCTTTTGTGTGTTTAGTCAGGGATTTAGCACTATTAACTGTTAAAACACTGGCACACGACTTGATTCGGCCGCCGCTCTCGCACAACGCACTCTGGCCGACTAACTACAACCGACTGGGCCTGACTGGAGTTGCTCCTGGTTCCGGCAAATGCTTCCCTTCGCCGACGACCTCCTCGTCCGTCTCCGGCCGGCTCCGAATCGAATCCCGTGGCTCAGCTGGCGAGCCGAATAAAGATCGGGTGCCGGCACAAAAACAACGTACGGCCGACAAAGTAACGACGATATGGCACGACACACGTACGCCTATATACGGATATATATTCGCGTATATATGTATACGGGTATCTAGGGCCAGTAACTGTGCCTGTGTGTAGGTAGCAACATTTTCAGCATACAAAAATATTGGGGCGGACTTTGGTTCGGATAGTAACATGACCTAGTGTTTGCCGGATATAAAATAATTTCTATAAAATTGCGTATACGCCACGTTGTCTTGAATATATTGAATGATGACAAGCTTTTGTTTATTGATTTTTAATGATTAAATTTTAATCAAATTAATATTTTTTATACATTTTAAGATCTTTACTGAGAAAATAAATAGTTATTAAATGTAATATTACAATCATTGAAGACCAATGTACAGATAGAAAATTGTGAAATCAACAAGCTAACAATTTTTACTTTTTTAATATATGAAAATCAAGAAATTGTCGAGAAATTGTCGGAATACAGACACTAGACAGCAATAGTTTAATTGTATTTTATTTGTCTAAATTTGTTTTACCCAGGCATTGGGATATTGGCTCCAATTCATACCTTTCTATAAAGCAAAAATCAGCTGGATGTCCTGTAGAAATGCAAATAAGTAAATGCTGATTGATGGTAGGCCTAGTTCTCAAGCTTAAAAGGTTCACCCTAACGACCATAAATATGTATCGGTGTAGTATAGTTAACGGCGCTTGTTCCTACTCGCCGAACGTGCGTGTGCCTACAAATTGTTGTTGTCTGCTGGCTGTCGTCGCCCTCCCCCCAAACCGCCCGCTTAAGCCTCCCCCTTTTGGGCCACACGCTGTCGTCTGCCAAGGCCAAATTTTCACACATACACACACTCACACAGAGAAAGACGCACACACGTGTTTTCGGGCCCCGACAACGCATACACATAGGAAAAAGGAAATTAAAACTGAAACTGAAAATGCCGGCCGCGCACACGCCCGAATGTATGCCATAGGAAAAGCGCTCGCCGACTTTTTTTCTTTTTCGGTGGGTGTGTGCGTGCATCTCTCCACTTTTCCCCGGAACCCCGTTGCCTGCTTCTTGGCTTTTTCTTAGCCGGGTGCTCGGTTTTATAAATAACATTCTCGGGCTGTTGCCAATTGCCTGGCTTTTCTATATGTACGCCTGCCTCAGATTGTTCCTGTGCCCTCCATAGAGCTGATTCTGGATGGAAGGATTCGGATTCGGGAAGCTGTTCTCTCTAAATTTTATAATGTTATTCACAATTAGGCGAATATAAAAACAGCACTGCCTGCTGTCTGAGGGCGCAGAGAAAGAACATTTCCCTCTCGCTGACGTGGTGAAATTTATGTGTCCCTGTGCGTGTGGTCTGTGCTGGTCTTAGTCTCTGTATAAATTACCATTCGACCTTGGGCCATAACTTAACATATTTCCGAATGCTTTAATTCTTTTCGCCTTTTTTGGGCTGGCTTTCCCCAAAGTGTCACTTTAATAAAATCGTCGAAGTGGCAGTAATTTAAATTGAAACCATATGGTTATGCAAATGATTATGCGTAACCGTCACGATATATCAGAGCAATAAACGTTACATATTTATGCAAAACCGATGGGAATCTGAGAAGTAAAATGATCATGAGATATTGCTTTCAGAATTACGTATATTCAGGGTGTTAGAGCTATCACTAAGGTATTTTAAATACAGAAAAAAGTGTGAAAAATGAATCAAACCAATTTTAAATTGTAAACAACTAATTTACACCAGCCCTGAGACCATTTAATGGTTTTAATACCAGTAGTAACCTCAAAAATAGTTGTAGAATCTAATAAAAATAATTCAATAAAATATGTTTGGTAAGGTGTAACATATTACGGTATACTTTTAGAAACTTTTTTAAATGATTTCAAGTTCACATATATTTTCTGGTACTAACTGATTTAATATAAATTCCATGTTATTTTTTTAACATTTAAAAATGATTATTTAAAAAAAAAAAGATTTATGCCTAATGTTAAAACTTGGTTCACAGCTCTTAATACAGTACTTAATTCTAATGAATTACTGATGCAATTGCCTAAGTGTCAATTGGTTAAGACATCATCATCATCCGGCAAACGGCTTTGAAAAAAATGCAAAAAATTAAAATTGAAAGGTAGCCATAAAAAGGGTTCAAAGGTAGCCGGAAAATACGGACTAGAGTGGCCAAAAACACGGGCGACAACAACAGAGATGGAGACGGAGACATGGTAACAACAAAAAGCGGGATATGGATGTGGATGGCAACCGGCATTCGTCGTTTTCGTCGGTTCGGTCGTGGCATTTCACTTTTCACTTCACTTTCCCATGAATAGGATGACGACAACGACAACGTGGAGGAGGCGAATATATTGCCGGATTCGGACTCGTATTCGGAGCTGGAGCCGGAGTAACGAGTCAAAGTCGGTGAAGTCGGAAATACGGCCAAGCGAGAGTGAGAGAGCGGAGAGAGTGGAGAGAGTGTAGAGTACGGCCGAAGAGTGGGAGAGCGGCATAGCGAGTGGGGTTTCTGGGCGGATGGCAAAGTGGAACAAAATGGAAAGGAATGCGCCAGGCAACGATTTGGAAAACATGGCGTTTATCTCGTCCTGTCCATGTCCATGTCCCTGTCTATGTGTGTCGGTCGCCTCTGTCTGCGTGTGTGAGAGTCAGTGAAAGCGGTGAGAGCGCCAGCGCGGTATAGGAAACAGATGTTATTTCCGCTATTTTCCCGTCAGATTTTGCCTTTTTTTGGCGGGAAAATTGCCTCTCTCTCTCCTAAAAGAAGCGCAAAAAGCGATAGTGACATCACTGACTGCAACCCCTAACGGAGTTGGGCGAAACTTGACCCGAAGTGTGCTGCCAGCGGAGAGCGAGAGAGTGAGAGCGTATGACAGTGAGATGGTGTGGCGGGGGTGGATGAGTAGAAGGGGTGCGAACATGTTACACTTTAAAAACAAAGACAAAATATCAGACAATTAATCATTGATGAAAAAGGAAAATTATACATTACTTATTACTATTTTACTAATTTTAGTTATTATAAATATTTTGTTTTTGTTTCTTAATAAGTCGAGAAAGGGTTAAATAAATATGCTTTAATAATTTCGAACTAATAACTCACATGAAACACAAAATTATACAATCAGGAGAAGAGACTGGAGTAAGCGCATTATCACATAACTAGACATAGCGTCATAAAAATAACTCAAATATAAAATAAAATGTTCAATGTTTACCATAAGATCCAACGCTTTGCTGAGTGTACAGTAACGCAAACGAGACTGAGAGGGGTAAAAAGCAAACGGCGCCATCGCCAGAGTTTAAGTCATCAGCGCCAGCAGGACGAAATAAAAAAAAGTCTAAAGCTCTACGGCCGCTTTAAGCCTTAAAGTCAATGGTGAAACAACAAAGAAATAAATAATCAATTCTAGCTAATATTTATTTATCTATATTCATTGAAAGAAAGGGGCTTTCGGGGTTTGCGGTCTGAGTACCCCACGTAATTGCTTTATCATGCGCACTTTTTTAGTGTTGCATACATCCAGGCAACGATTTGGGGGTGTAACCAGTCATTCACACCCACGAAGCACATACCTCTGTGTACAGTGCACATAGGTACATAACTTCGTACATATGTATGTATTTATGTAAGTAAAAAATGCAAATGTTTTATGGCTGGGGTGTCTGCTGTACATTAGGGGGACGTTAATAAAAGGGAGATCGGAGTGTGTCCTCGACAACAAGATACCCGGTGTCCACTGACATTCCGAATATTCCTATAAAGTTTTAAACTCTCACTCCTAGTGTTTTCATCCAAACAGATTTAATATGTATATTTTATATCCGTGAAATATAATATGATTTAATAGGGACTAACAAAAAAATAATAAATAAATTAAAAGCATTTAGTACTTATAGTTAATCTGGTTGTAATTTTTCGTTCTTCCCTTCCTTTGGAATGAGTGCCTTTTGAGTTAAAAGATATTTTGACTCAATATTAATTTATATGTTAATAAAAATCGGCAGTATTGCGATAAGTAGGAATGAAATATTTAAACTAGTTTAAATATTAAACCTAATCCTGTAGAATTAAAAACAGGAACATCACTGTTTTTACACTAAGATAAAAACAAGAAATCAGCTGCATTGTCTATTATCCTCTTGGATCAACTAAATAGACTACAATGTTTTAATATATGTAATTATTTACATCTTCATCTTTACACATATGTATCTCTTTAAATGCGTTTTATTTCTATCTTAATTATACTTCAAATTTTGGATTTTCCAACAGCTGAAGTCCAAGCAACATTCTCCCAATCCCCTGCAGGTATTTATCTGTTTACATTTCCAGCAAACCATGTCTGCTGCCATGCATTTCCCGGTAACCCAATAATGATTTATACAAGCAACCCGGCCAAATTATCGGGTAGGTATCGAGAGATAAACCTCGAGCAGGTCAGAAAGTCGCAGGGCAGCGATAATGCAGCTAATAAGCGAGAAAAGCAGGAAAATGCAGTGGCTCGAGTGAGTACGTGGGACACCATACCTGCCTGGGATCAGCTTGGGCACTTGAATACCACCGAATGCCGAATACTGAATACCCCGCGCCGCCGACCCGTGGATTATACACACTCTCGGTATGTGTACAGAGGCAGATAAAAGAGCAACCCACAAATACAGGAACAACCCAAACACACACTGGCAAACGCATTTTCCTGTTATGGCAGCAGGTAAAAAATATAAAACGCTAAACTGGAAATATAATGCGTAGCTCAAAAGGCGGGATCAATGAACCTAACCGATGCAGAGGAGTTTGGGTCTGGGCCCGGGCTTGGTTCTCCACTTTCCAATAAATGCAAGTGGAATTAATATCTGTGCAGTTGCCAGGGCAAAAATAAATTATGAAATGCTGCAGTGGATGTGGTTGGGGACGGTGGTTGCCCTGGGAATCTAATTATGCAAGGAAATGCAACTAATTAGAATTGATAAGAAGAAGGAGCCGATGGTTGGGGGATGAACCGAGGGTTTTATGCACTTAATATATCAGGGGTGGGCCCGTCCCGGTCACACCCTGCAACTACAACTACAACAACAACAACGAAAAAAGTTGCAACTTGGCAGGAAGTCAGTGCAATTAAAAAAGCAATGGCAGGCTCTTTAGGGGTTGGGGGTTGTAAACTCGTACACTCACACTCGCACAGAACCAAGTCAACACACGTACATATATGTATTTAATTGTATTTCTATGTGTGTGCTTAAGTAGCTGAAGAGAACGAAACCCACCCCTACGACAAAAAAACAAAGTGAAATGCAGCAAATTCAAAAGTTATTTGAGTTCATTGCATTTTCAAGCCACGCAAAACAACAACAAGAGCAGCAGGAATGGTTCGCACACACTCTCACCAATACACCCCCACTCGGGGGTGGGTGGTAATGACTCAAAACATAGAGCGTCGGATACTCGTATAAAAAAGAGCGCAGAACAACAAAAACAACGACGAAAAAATCGTTATATTCAGCTTTGATGACAGGGTATACTCGTACTCGTACTAAGTCGTCGCTCCACCCCGCGACCAACCCCCAAAAAATTGTAGTGCGGTTTACAAATTGGACTAGCTGCTGCTGCTCGCCCGAGGAAGACATCCTCTTCGCTGGCCAGAATGCCAGCCATCCAGCCAGCGTTCTACATCAGGGTTGGGGGTGGAAAACCCGCTTGATGCCAGTTTCACTTACACTCACACATGTCTACACGCGAATGTCAGTAAGTAGATCCAGATGGAAAACAGCCTTTCACTGGCGATTTACGAAAAGCATTGTTTGAGTCACTCAGGGGGTTATTGTTTTCCAGAAAATAGTAAAATGCATTTAAGATACTAACGTACATTTCAATAAAATAACATAAATTTAATGGTTCCTTCATATCAATTAAATCTGTTAAGTTTTATGAAGCCACATTAAAAAGCCTTACGATACACCATAATAAACCACTGCTTTGTGATTTTAAGCAAAATTTAGACTTTCAAATAATTAACGCTTTGTTTTAGGGATATTATAATTAAATGCATAATAATAATAATTATAAGTATAACATCTCTAAAATAAAGCGTTGTATTTAATAATTCACATTTATTTATTATTTAATATTTTGATGTTAAATTCAAAGTTTGGCTTTGGCAAAGTCTATTCTGTTTTAATTGGTTTGGTTGCATCCAAATAGACTTCCCTTACTTTCTAACAAGTATAATCTCCTGCACCTTATTTCTAATAAGTTAATGCCAAACTTAAAACGTATTTTTAAGTATGTTTTATTATAATTGTTTGCAAAATACTCGTGATTATTCAAAATCAATACAGAATATCTTCATTTTGTGGTATCCTAAACAAAATGTCATTTAAAAATGGGAATAGCTTTATGAATTAGCCTTCGATTTATGTATGACTCAAATTAGTTTAATTGACCATAAAAATGGAGGAACATACTTCGTGGGAAGTGTAGGTAGGTTGAAATTGTAAAAGTTTTCATACTTTTGTGATAGTTTTGTTGTTCTTTTAGTTATTCAAGTTCTAAAGGTATAACTGTATAAACGCAAAATGTACTTATTGTGGAAGTTCTTTTAAAAAAAAACTACAACTTTCCGTTTAAATCATATTTTAACTCAAACTAAAAAGAATCAAATAACTTTTATTGACAGAGCGGTTTAGAAACTCAAGTAAAAGTAATCCAAGTTCTTATGGCAACGTTTTCGCGGTTTGAATCATGATTATTGCTACCCCCACAAGGCCCCCAATAACGAAACCCAGTGTGTAGGGCATTAGGCGAGCCCATAGCCCGACCCTCTCTGCCACCACCTCTGCCGCGGTCGCTGCCGCTGCTCGAGTGAGAGTGTATTCGTTATACCCCCCTGAACGCTATGACGCCGGCGTCGCTGCCCGCAGCGGGCGAAAATAAATCGATAAAAATAAAATAAATTTTTAGTGATTATGTTATACAGACACATGCATGTGCATGTGCATGCGCTTGAGTAGGGGGTAATGTATGTATGGCTTATGTGTGTGATGTGTTTGTGGCAGATGTAATGATGCACTTACCGTTGGGCACATTCTGATTAAAGTGATTGCCATTGGTCTGATAGCGCTGCACATGGTTATCGGTGCCGGCGGCCGCCGCAGCGGCTGCTGCATTCACAGCGGCGGCGGGGGGCGTACCGAAGGCGCCGGGCGTCTGAGCATCAAATTTAGCGGCAAACTGATGGATGCCGGAGAAGGGGCCGCCGAACGCGGAGAAGTTCATCATGTCAGGATCGGCGGGGCGGATGAAGCAATGCGGATGTCGACTCGGCCACGCGGGGCCCTCTTCGGAATTGTAATAATCCTTTAAAGTGGTTTGGTCGCACTCTCTTCGCTCTCTCGATCGGTTTCTACACGAGTCCCGTTTTTCGCGATGACGAAGAGTGGGTGGTGGAAAGTGGTAATGGTGGTGGTAGTGTGCCTTCTGTTGTTGTTTTCTTCCTCTTTTCCGCCGCCGCTGGTGGGGGTTGGTTTTCTTTTATTTCTCCTTCTCCTTCTACTTATTCTCTCCTCCTTTCCTCTTTCCTCACACACTCACACACTGGCGCGCGTACGAGCGCACAGTTTTATGCTGTGCTTTGCTTTTTCGGGGGTAGAAAAGCAGGCACCACACAACAAGAACAACAACAAGCACTCACTCACACTCGCACACGCACACACGCGGAGAACCACTTTCGGTTTCGATTCTCGACTGCGACTCTGGCTTGGTGCTCTGCTCTGGCTCTGCTCGAACTAAACACAAACACGCACATAGACACACACCCCGGCGGAACGGAGCGGAATCGCACTAAAGTCTCGCTTACGATTACGCTTACGACCGGCTCGTCGAGGCTCCAACATCAAACTAAAAGTAACATTACAACGAGGCGAAAGAAAGCGGAAACACTGGGCCAGGCAGAGGCAGAGGCAGAGCGACGCGGACGCGGACGACGGCAGCGCTGCGACGCAAATGACAGTGACAGTGTGCCTAGGGGCACGGCGGGTATATTAGTTCGAACGGAGGTTTGGTTGGATGTAACCGGCACAGCGGCTCGCCTGTCCTATCGTTTCCTCGTGCAAGCTTATCCAGGGTAATTTCCGCTAATCCTTTTGTTTAAATAAACCTGCAGTTTAAATCTGTGATTAGAATACGCTTAAATGTTTGCACCCATCTACATAGTTCTAAATTGCATTTGGTACAGTATTGGTTAAATCCCTTAGTTTTGTATTCCACTATTTAATAAAAATACTATAATTTATGCTTAAGGAAGCTATTGATTCGAATAGTTGAAGCTTGGCTGCTCTTTGTTAATTCTCCCAGTTAATGAGTACCACTGGGTCGAATACCCAGGGCCTGCATGACTGCAGCATTCTTACATGTTTGTATTAGTTCGCTGTGTGTGTTTGTACGAATGTCTGTATGTGTGTGTGCCGCTTTGAGGGTGGAAGTTTTTCTACTTCTCTGGAAAATGCGCGTTTATTTGTACGTTCGTTCCTTACATTTCGCTGCACCGTGCGCCGGGCATATGACACGGCCCCAGGCCCCTGCTCTTGGTCCTGCTGCCTAACCGAGATTAGCCCTTGCTCCTGGTCACTTGCCAGAGATTGCTGGGCGGCGGAAGATACTCCATGCGCGATCCGTGCAGGCGAAGTGCAATTTATGCTGGAACTGAGACGCCAAAAGCAGACAGACACGCAGCGAGACACGACACGAAGTTCGCTGTAAGTTATCAGGATGAAAACCGGTTGCGAGCGTAGCATAAAAACTGGTTTCCACCGAGAGATGAGCTACTTTTTGTGGCCGCCAACAACAACTGAAATGACAACGCGGAGCAGGATGACTTTCCGAATATGTGTGTGGATTTGGATATTGAGTGCGATCCAGAAGAGGCCATAAAGATTGCACTTTTTTATGGGAACGGAATTAAATTATATGTAAGAAACATTGTACTTCTTACACGATTAAAGTTCTAGAATATTTCTTAAAGGGTAAGTAACAGGGCGTAATGATAGATCTTTGTAAACATAATTATCAATACTAAATAGCAGAATTTTTTCTAAGCACAACTTGTATTTCTTGTATAATCTGAACAAAACAATACTACCCATAAAAATTACTTACATTTTTATTCCATCAATTTAAATAAATGAATCGTTAATTAATAATTTCTACCTCATAATCGATTGCAATTTACAATTTTCCCTAATCTTATTTGTAAAAAGAAGTAACATTTTCAGCTAGAATCCCTGTAGGGTATTCACACGTCGGCGCTGGCTGTCGGTAAGAAAAACGCACACACAATGCGCCTTGTATTTTTATTTGGTTTTCCAACTTTTTGGGGTTGTGTGTGGTATTGCTGTGCACTTATACGTTTACATGTGAATGTCTGTTTGTAGCGGCGTATATACGCCGTGTGTTTAAGTATCTATGTTTGGTTATATGCTTGTGTGCATGTATCTGGATCTGTTTGCCCACGGCGACAGGGAGACGGAAGAACGGAGAGAGGCAGAAAGAGCGGCAAGCGGAGAGCGCAGCGTTCTCGAGCTCATTGCTCTCGTTGCATTTAATTCTGCTGCGCTATATGTTGTCTTTAATGAAAGTGAGTCCAGCGGCAAAAGAAAGCAGGCCGTGTGGCTGAGCTGCACTACGACGACAAGTTCTGCCTGCTCTTTCTTGATTCTTATTCTGATTCTATTTCAGAATTTGTTCCCTACCCTTTGGCTTGCAAGTGTTTTCAGGATCCTCAGTGAGATAAATATGAATTCCGGGATTTCAAAACAGTCTCCATAAATGTAAATACACTTCTACATTTTAAAAGTCATTTAGTTAGTTTGTTTTTAGTTTTTATATTAAATTACCTTTTAAAAAGTTCAATCTCCCATTCAAGTTCATTTAATTAATAATTATATTTTTCAGCAACTTTGTAAATTACCTGAGTATTCATTTAATTATTTATTTAATTAGTTAATAAAATTGTTAAACCCTTTTCTTCAAAAGACATTCTTCAATTAACAAAGCAGCGCACTTCCAAGTCGTTTTGACTGCAGCCTAAGTTTTATGTGTTAATGCCACACACACACACACGTGCACTTGCATAAATGACAGTGTATGCACGTCTGTATGTCTTCGCTCATTCTTGTTTTTTCCTGTTGCAGTCTTGTCTTCTACTCGTTTAAATTTAAGAGGGTTGGAGTTTTTACGTTCTCTCGCATTCTCCTTGCTTCGCCTCTTAGTCTCTCTCCCCATCCCGCTCGCTCGCTGGCTCGCTCCCTCCCGCTCTGGCGCGCTTGAACCTTTGAATGCAATGCTTTGTTTAGCTTGATTTTCGAGCGACGCGGCTGCAAATGTTACATGTGTTTATCTAGAATTTATATGCACATTTTCCAATTATGAATTGACGCGCAGCCGGGGCGAAATGTGCCGAATATCGGGCCAGTTTCCTTAAAACTCGATCACCGGCACTGGAATGTACAGACACGCACACACGGGCGTGTACCGCCGAATGTACCTGCAGATACACACACACATATGCGCTTGTTTGTGTATGTTATTATGTTGGTCCCTGAGAGCGGACAACTCGTTCCCTTCCAGTATCCTCCTCTGAAGACATCTCTCACTCGCACCCGTGCAGTTGCATCCCGTACTCCTTCAAAATTTCACCGCTAATTCCCACACTTGGAATTACGAAAACCCACTCTCCCAGGACAATACCCCATCGCCAGAGGGCAATAATTGGAAATGTCAAGGCCCATCATCACTCAATGGGCTTAGGATAAAATAAAAATCCGATTCTTAATGGCGTTTATATTCACTTTATTAATTATCATGAGCTTTTAGTGGGACTGGAGAGAAAAGGCTTACCGGGAAAAGACGGGGGCGTCGGGATGGGTTATTAATCTAAGCTAATTGAAAAGGACAGGCACAGCTTTGCAAAAAAAATATATTAAATCCACCTTTTACACCTTTCCTAAGAAGCTTTTACAAATGTTAATATGTATATTTTTTGTAAATAGCCACATATCGTTATTTGTTTATCGTATATCCTTGGACCAGTCGAGCACCCCCAAAAACATAACATTCCGGATTACAAGTTCAATATTTATGTTTACGTATGTATAATATCTTAGTTTTATGTGCAGTATTTGTACACATGTATGTATATAGTATATAATATGTATTTATAAAAGGTCCGAATAATCAATGTAGAAATCAAATATAACTTAAGTAGACTAGAGAAAAACAAAACGCATACCAAAGATCAGCGATTTTTAAGGTTAATATCACAAAATTATTCAAATGTATAACAGCGCAAATGAATGGGTTGAGTCAAGCGGAGGCAGGCATTACAAAATCATAATACATAACACCGACTATATGTATACGTTTATGTATATAAATATCAATACTTTCTGTTCATTATCTATTTTGAGTATTCAGGATAGAATATTTAACGCTTGAGTTATATGGAAATAGAATTGTCTATAGTGTAAATGGAGTATATATTGCCAAAGCCACGGATTAACCCAGTGCAGCAGTTAGCAGGGGCTCCCAGGCCCTGTTCGTGTCCACATAGAGTTGGGTACACTGCTCGGCCAAGGTGTCCCCGTCGTCCAGTATAGTAATGGGAAAGAGATCATTCTGTAAACACCATAAAAAACAGGGTTAATATATGTATGGGAGACGAGGTTTGCAAGACCAATGGGGGCAACATACGTTCTTGGACTGCCAAAGTTGCTCTAGCAAGCGCAGAAAACGCTGCATCTCCATGCTGCTGGCAAAGAAGATCACCAGGTCATCCAGACTCTCCAATGGTGCCTCCTGGCAAGAGAACTCCAGAATGCACCACCAGGTCTCTGCTCGCGAGGTTATTTTAATGCCCGTCATAGCCTTGATGTCCGCACAGGTGAGTATGGCCAGGCCTGAATCCTTTCCATAGACACTAGTCATCCGTTGCGACTTTCCTGGCGAAGTAGTATCTTCTTTGGTTATCTCCGCCTCATTTGTGTGCTTCGTGGGCGTGGAGCTCAGCGAGGAGAAGGATTGCTGTGTGCCTCGCGTTGGCGTACTCATAGTGGAGCCCATCTGAAGGGGATTTAGCATTATTATCTCTTATGGTTGAGGTAAACAGCACACACTTACCAAGCTACTTGTTTCAAAAACACTGAGTAGTTCCTCCTCTAGCAAAATCTCCTTGTTCTCCGTTGCACCTGCACTGCTATCCGCCTGTTGTTGGCTTATTTGCCGCAACGGAGCCGAAAAGTCTTCCCGCAAGGTTATTAGATGGTTTTGTGTGACTATCAAAGTGCAGCCCAGGGTTTTGTACTTCTCCTGTGGCACAGCAAGCTAAGTGACGGAAAAGCGTTAAAGGAGTTCCAAGTGCAATAGCTTTTCCTTGACTTACACCACTGGCTGACTGTAGGAGGGCCTGCAGCCACTCGGAGGCCACGTACTCGTCGGGCGCTGCCAGTTGCAGCAGCTCACCCTTCAGCACTATCTCGAAGCAATGTGGACGCTCAGATTTAACAGTCCGCCGGGCACCTTGGCACTCGGCCAGGGCCATGGCCCAGCTGGGAAGCCTCTGTGTGGAATCGTTGAACATGTACAAAACGCCAGCCCTTGAAATAAATTTTCATATTAAACCCAAAGCACTAGAAATCGCGCAAGCCACTTACTTCAGTAGGAAATATCCTGGTTGCCAATATATCCTTGAGGCAGCGGTTGTGCTTGTGCTCTGCTTAAACCGTCGGTGCATAAGGAATCCCTTGATGGAGGGACCCAGTGGCTCGCTAGGCGACTCCACTCGCAGGGCCCCGCCAGCTGGCACGTTGACCACCGCGTAGAAAAGCCAGTGCTCGTCCCTGCCCACGCAGCTGTTGGCGCGCACGAATGCCTGCAGGGGAGCCAAATGTTCGAGGGTAAGTTGACCCACTGCTGGCAGGGTGGAGCCACTGCGCCGGGCGCACAGCTCCAGGTTAGCCACCAACGATCCGGCCGGATAAGGTCCACCCGCGAGCAGGACCTGCTGCATATCGCGGGTGCTGTTGCTCAACAACACCGTGTTGCCGAAGGGTCCCATCTTAAGGAAATGGAAATTTTAACATTTAAGTCTTAAAAGCTCGAATTAGCGACGTAGAAGACTCTTACCAGTATAACATCCAGGTCCTTGTAGGCCAAAACAAACCTGGCACGCAGATAATTTCTATCCAGATTGGCCACATACAGTGTTTTGTCCGTCAGTAAGACCAGAACAGGAGTCATTATGCCGTCGAAACTGTAACCCGTATACAGCTTGAAAACCTTAAAGAAAAAGCATTTAATTAATTTCCGTTTGTCTAGGACATAAGACTAGGAAATACCTTCATTAACTGCTCATTCGATTGCTGAAGATTCAGCAAAGTTTTACCCTTGAATAGGTCAATCGAGATCTCTCCAATGCCTAGTTCAAAGCTGGATGAACTGCAGCCTGGTAAATCGGGGTCCAGGCTAATAGCCAGCTCTCGACGCGGCGAGTTTGCTCCACACATCTCAATCTCCATGGCAATCTCCGCATTTAGATCGTCTATCAACTCGTAGTTTTTGGGCCGCGCACCCTTAACGTAGAGATCAGTTCCCGTGTGCCTCTGTTCGGTTCTCAGCTTATCGGCAAAGAAGTTATTCTTGCGTATGGAGGTCTCCATGATTTTCTTCTGCGTGACATTTCGAAGGAAGCGATTTATCAGCGAGGTCTTGGCCGCCGCAGGAGCTGGAGGCTTCAGCAGGTGTGCGTAATCCACGTCGTTGTAGTCAACAATCACCATTTCACTGTCCATTGAGCGCTTGTCGTTGGTTGTGTCTGTTGTGGTTATGGTCAAAATATCGTCGAATTCCTCGCTGAGAATCGTGCTCTTTGAATCGCGTCCACTGCCACCGCGTCCCGTGGATAGGTATGTACTGGGGCTGTGCAAACTGCGGCTCTGGTGAGGATGCTGCTGGTCGTAATACCGGGCTGGCTGCACGGGCTGTCCGCGCTTCTTGAGCGGAGAGGCAAGGTGACGGGACTGACGCTCCGCGTTGCCCAGCTGCGGATTTATCGCAATCTGATGATGGTTGCTGCTGGTGTTGGTGTTGGAACTGGGTTCCGATATGGTCGATGAGGAGTAATTACGAGGGAGCTTGCTGCTGGAGCTGGGAGGAGCTGGTTGCTGCTGTTGCTTCGACATTTTCGAAGCTAAAATTAAATTAAATTTAAAATTGTAATTTCTAGTTACAAGTTAATAAGTAAATGCTTACCAAAATAACTATCTGTGACTGCCTGTTCGTGCTTTTCCACGGGCGTTGCTGCAGCACTTGTGCTCTCCTTGAAGCTGCGAAAGAAGTTGCTGAACGTCTTTGCAATTGGAGCGTCCATGAACGACTTCTTTTGGCTGGCCGGCTCTGCAATGGGTGTGTTCTGCTCCAGCAAACTGGCCACGCTGGTGTGCTGAAGGGAGGACGAGAGCCCGCAGTGTGGCGGCTCACCCGTCTCGTAAGATACGCCCGTGTGTTCGAAAACGGTGCTCTCGCAATTAATGATGAACTTGCTGCGAAACTCCCCGTGTGCGCTTGAGCCCAGTATCGGCGGCCCTGTTTCCTTATCAAACTCCTCTTGGCGCTGCAACGGCTGCGGCTGTTTTGTGTCCATGGGAGAGGCTTCCGTGGAGCTGACACCTTCGTCGCCGTCGTCGTTTTTACGCCGCAACTGCTCATCCACATTGTGCACGAATTTCTTAACTGGTTGTGCCTGCTTGCTGCCATCGAGGCTCTTGCTCAAGAATGGCTTGGCCTTGAGCGGTGGCGATTCGGCCACTGGTCGGGGTTTGTGATCGGGAGTCAGTTCCGGGATGCATTCCACCACGGCCTGCAGGTCCTCGGAGCCCTCTGGAACACCGCGCTCGGGCAGCGGCATGGTGAATATACTCTTTAGCGAGCCAAAGATCATCTTGCTGCTGTTGTCCAGCAGTTGGTGCTTGATGTCATGCACGTTGAACTTCTTAACCCGCCCATTGAGGTCCTGCTCGAGAATGATGTTCGTTTGTCGCTTGGTTTTCTTCAGGCAGCTCGACTTGGGCTTCTTCTCCTTGTTCCAAACAGACTTGACCTTGGGACTGTCGGTATCTCCGATATTGGGCTCCGAATAGTAGCAGTTGTCACCTAATTTTAGTGGGATTCGGTAAGGTTAGTTATTATTTAGAGATAAAGCCCAATCTTACCTATTAGATTGTTGTTGGCATTGCTCATGCCGATGCAGTCGCAGGAGCTGCTCTTGGCCTGCTCGTATTGCTTGCGATTGCCATTCGAGTTTTTGTCCTGCTCGTCCGAATCCAGGCTGGAGTTGGAGCTGCTGCAGACGCACTTGTAGAGGCGCGACGGCTCCTCGGCCTTCGGTCCATATTCGAAGACACCCGATGTGTCGTAGTGCAGACCCGCTGCCTCGTCCGTATCGAAAATATCCGTATTGGCATAGTCCAGGACATCAGAGCAGGCATTCCGGTAGACCAGGTGTCGTTTTCGCCTCGCTCCACCACCGTCGCCGGCCGCATCCTCGCCATCGTCCTCCCGGCCAGCTGCACTCAGTTCATTGGGTCCCTCAGGTCGCTCCCGGTCCGGACACCAGGAGTAGCGACCTGGAGCGCCGGCCACGCCCGCCGAGTTGGCAAAGGCCAGTTTCCGGCCGTTTTTATAGGTGATAAAGCCGTGCTCGATATGAATGTTGTCCGTGCGTGTGTTCTTAAGGATGTCCTCGTGAAAGGACACCCGCTTTTTGGGCGTCTTGGCAGCGGATGAGGTCTTGTGCACCTTGCGACGGTACACGATCTTCTCGGTGGTGTCGAACGTGGAGCACTCGCTGATGGTCATGGACTCCTCAGGCGCCGCGCCGGCGGCAGAAGTCACATTTGAGTTGGGGTCCACCACGGAAGTGAATGATGGTCGCAGGTTTTCCTCATAGGAACAGATGGACTCCACCATCACGTCGCTGTTCTCCGAGTCCAGCATTTGGACGCCCGAGTCGCTGGGCGTGGTGTCCTCCATGGTGCTGCTGCTGTTCAGGCTGGAGCTCATCTTGTCCACGGGCGAGATCACCTTGCCCGAGCCCAAGCCCAGATTGTTGTTGGCCTTGGGATACAGAGGGGATTCCATGGTACTCGGATCTGTTTTTCGCACTTGTTGGAAGCTTTTATTTATTCTCTAACCTTTGAAAAAGAGAAGAACGTGCAAAAAGTTATTGTGTATCTCGGCGTTCTTGCAATTAATCAATATCCACAAGTTGCACAATGCGCCGCAGCGGAATCGCGTCACCGTGCATAAAGGAAAATGATGACCCCTGACCCGCCGCCCCCCGCCCGACAATCGCACCGGGGCTTAAAATTTGCAACACCTTGTTTTACACACTCACCTGCGATTGTCGCGCAGCTTTCCATGTTACTCTAGATGCCAATAATTTTGTTTATCCGTTCGCACCTGTCAGGGGGTCTTTAAAAATAGCTTTTTCGCCCCACTGGCTCTACATTTTAAAGTCGCCAAAAACCCAGAAGTGAACAATCAATATTTTGACCTGCCAGTGTTGCCAACGTTGCGAACAGCTGATTGCGCGCCAGCGCTGCCGGATCTGGCAAGTGGTTGGCAACGCTAACTCGGCCGGCAAGCAGTAGTAGTTTTAACTAAGCAGTTTCTGGCTGGACACGGAGCAGTGCTGCCAAAACAAACAGTTTTAGAGCCGTTGCCAACGTTGCGCCAGCGCTGCCAGATCTGGCATGTGGTTGGCAACGCTAACTCGGCCGGCAAGCAGTACCTTGTTTTAACTAAGCAGTTTCTGGCTGGACACGGAGCAGTGCTGCCAAAAACTTCGTTTTAACAAACAGTTTTAGAGCCGTTTCTGCCGGCAAGTTGGCAGCCTCGCCGAGCGGCGGTTTTTTCAGCGCGAAAAACAGTTTTAGAGCCGTTGCCAACGTTGCGTTAAATAATAAAAAAATGATAAAATAGTTTGTTTAAAACGCAGACATATTTAAAATTATTTTAATTTATATAATTCCTTAAAAGTCCCCAACTACACATAAATACCTGAATAATTAAAAAAGTATTACGTTAAATTGTAATTTTTTAATAAATACAGCTTGCTTAGTTACAACTCAAATCCAATTGAAACCTATTTGGCGAAAGCAAAACCTGGAACTTGCGCGATAAATCATTTTTGCAACCCGTTGGCGCACATTTCTTTTGTTCAATTTCGTAACTCTGCGTCAGTCAAGCTCTTTCTGATACATTTTCGCAGTTATTTTTCGCAAAATTCAGAGTGCACATTTAAATTAATGCCCTTGTCCGTCAGTACGCACACCATTTCCTGTTCGCCGCCCTTTCGCTGGGCCCCGGGGTCAGTTGTCAATTTGAAAAGTGGAAAGTGCGAATGCCAATGAAAACGAATGAAACCATAGAAATTAATTTATCACACATTGCAGCACATCACAATCGTCGCGATAACTCTGCCCGTCTGCCGTTTGTTTATTGGTTTTTGCAACGGTCAGAAGAAGGCGAGTAAAAAATAATTCGCTGCACTCGTTAAATAATCCTCCAATCGAGCTCAGTTCCGCGCGGATCCCGAAATGAGGGACTTTGGACAATGACATGGATTGCTGCTGCTGCTGCTGCTGGGCAATGTGTTGTGGGAAAAAAGCAATATTAAATCCAAAGCTAGTGTGTTCATAATAATGCAAGTCCCAACTGAGAAATTGCTGGCGTACAGATCCCTGATTGCACTGGCAATCTGCCTACACATGCTGGAGCAATCGATCCAACCGTGCCACTGTGTTCATGGTTTCAGGTGGGTGCGACTACCACTGCCCCCAGTTTCATCAGATTTCGCCACAAGGCTGTCTATGTCCACATGTACACGTATTTTCCTTTCCGTTGGCAGAAACAACACGGAGAGCGCCGAGCTGGTCTCCCACTACGAGTCGAGCCTCTCGCTCCCGGACATTCTGCCAATTCCGTCGAAAACCTACGATAAGAACCGGGCTCCCAAGCTGCTAGGGCAGCCCACCGTAGTCTACTTCCATGTCACAGTCCTCTCGCTGGACTCCATCAACGAGGAGTCTATGGTGGGTAATTTTATGATGGTTTTTATAGACAAAGATAACCCAAAGCTATATGGTTATCCCATTCCTCCGGCAGACCTATGTGACGGACATTTTCCTTGCACAAAGCTGGCGTGATCCACGCCTGCGGCTGCCCGAGAATATGAGCGAACAGTATCGCATCTTGGATGTGGACTGGCTGCACAGCATCTGGCGACCCGACTGCTTCTTTAAGAACGCCAAGAAGGTTACCTTTCACGAGATGAGCATCCCGAATCACTATCTCTGGCTGTACCACGACAAGACGCTGCTCTACATGTCCAAACTCACGCTGGTCTTGTCGTGTGCCATGAAATTCGAGTCCTATCCACACGACACGCAAATCTGCTCCATGATGATCGAGAGTTGTAGGTGGAAATGTGACGTATCCCTGATCCCCAAACCGTAGCCAGTTTCCAATATCGCTTGAAGGTTTCCTGCTTTTCGCTTCTTTTTATAAGGTGCCAGAACTTAAGATATCTTTGATTGGCAGTATCTCATACGGTGGAGGATTTGGTGTTTATTTGGAATATGACAGACCCGCTGGTGGTCAATGCGGAGATTGAGTTGCCTCAGCTGGACATATCCAACAACTACACGACCGATTGTACCATAGAATATTCAACGGGTGAGTATTGAAGAAAATGTATATGATAAAAATAATATTCAGGGACCGTTAATAAAGGATATTGGGAATATTATTAAATGAAAAAGTCAACCACTTAGAATCCATTTAGAACAAAAAGGATAATATCATATGAGTCCTTGTTGGATAATCTATCCACTTCCGGCATGATTTATATATTTTCTTTGGCATTTTTATAATATTAATCAATAATAAGATTAAAATTGATTAATATAATACACATTTCAATGATAATTATTATTTTTGATCAAAAAATAAAAATCAAAATATGATTTTTGTCCTACTTTAAAATACCTCAAAAATATTCAAGACATTTATTTTATTTATTTTGTCAGGCAACTTCACCTGTTTGGCCATCGTGTTCAATTTGCGAAGACGCCTGGGCTACCATTTGTTCCACACCTACATCCCCTCGGCTCTGATCGTGGTCATGTCGTGGATATCTTTTTGGATCAAGCCGGAGGCGATACCGGCCCGTGTAACCCTGGGAGTGACCTCGCTGCTGACCCTGGCCACCCAGAACACACAGTCGCAACAATCGCTGCCCCCGGTGTCGTACGTAAAGGCAATAGACGTCTGGATGTCGTCCTGCTCGGTGTTCGTCTTCCTATCCCTGATGGAGTTCGCCGTGGTCAACAACTATATGGGACCGGTGGCCACCAAGGCCATGAAGGGCTACTCGGACGAGAATATTAGCGATTTGGACGACCTAAAGGTGAGCTAGGTGACACTTGAATCTGGCAGCTCTCTCGACTTACGTCTTTTAGTCTGCCCTCCAGCATCATCGGGAATCGATTATCGAGCCGCAGTACGACACTTTCTGCCATGGCCATGCCACAGCCATCTATATAGACAAGTTCTCGCGCTTCTTCTTTCCGTTCTCGTTCTTCATACTCAATATCGTCTACTGGACAACGTTCCTCTGATCACGATGTGGATCATGGCTAAGATGGGCGGCTAAGAAGACCAACAGCAATGAGTAATAATACCAAGGGCATTTGTTTAAAAATGTATATTATCGTTTGTAAGCCACAAATAATTGCATTAAAGTATGTATTATATATTGATTACCATGTAGTGTATATAAATAAAGGAAAGCGTTTAATAATAATAATAATAGGGGTTAGTTTAAACTTTAGAGGAAGCAATCAAGAAATGCATTTCAATTGCGCAACAAAGGTGGAATATTCTTTGGTAAATTCACTATATATACCTACATATATGTATATAGTTTGTGTTGTTGTTTGTTTATGCATAAGGCTACATATATATGTATATAAAAAATGTATGTATACAAAACTTGCGGTCGTGGCGGTTTTCCATTTTCATCGTTAATTTATAATATATGTAGTCTGATTTTGTGTTTGTTTTCTTTTGCAATCACATAATTTATATAGTTTCTTTACATTCACATTTACAGTGGGATTTCATTGTTTAACTAACGCTTTGTTTCGCTTTCTGCTAACATAATTGGCATAATTGTTGCTATAACATTTATGTTAATGGGTGCGAGCGATATAACAGATCAAAAATCAACTAGGGCAGGGCTTCGACGTACGCAAGATAGTTCAGCTATGATGATATGATACACAGATTCGGAATATTAAATAAGTAGTGCTGGAAAAGTATACTGGTTAGTTCTACGACGAAACTGCAGATCGAAGTGGTAGGGAACAAAATGTCAAGGAGATTTTATCTTATTGCAAGCACGCTTGCAACTTTTCAATCCACTCCTGTGCCAGATTCGCGTTCATCGCGTAAAAGTTGTAGGTGCGCTTGGAGGTTTTCAGCTGAAATGGAATATTTTGATTAATGCATTAATTTGAATTCGGAAAGGTGTTGTGAGTTTGTTTCTTTAAGGATAATAAATCTGCATACTACATTTTATAATCATAGTTTTTGGAACAAAATCAGCACTCAAAAATCTATAACTAAGCCAAAAAGGCATTACATTTTATTTGGAAAACTGTTCTGAGTTATTTTTTATGTTTGCAGGCTGCATACTAAATCTGAGTTTATTTTAAATTGAATTTTAAATTTTTTTTTACTTTTTTTTACTTATTTTATCGAAATACCAAATAATTAATAAGATCGATAATAAATGTCAATATTGATATGATAAACTTACATCAAAAAATCCCTTCTCATCCACACCTTTGGCGCCAATTTGTGCAGGTTGTGCGGCCGTTACAGACTGCACCTCAGCCAGTTCTGGAGTATTAAGATGAAATTATTAAACACGGGCTTAATTATTGGCTCTATAAATGTATACCAATGATGCCCTTGGGGGCGGTGTCCTCAGATGTGTCGTAGTAACGGAGCTGGTGCTTGATCGAGTCCAGGACAAACCAACGCTGTTTCCACCCTTTGAGCAAAGCGCCTCGCTTGTAGAGGTGTCTGTAAGGTTTTAATATTTATGTAGTATTCATTGAACTTTAGGGTTAACCGCTTACATTAAATACAACTTTCTTTTAATATGTGAGAAATAATAGTAACAATACTGTTTTAATTTTAAGATACAAACTCACCCTTCGTGCGTCCGATTTTCGGCCACGTTACTGCTAAACTGATTGTAAAAATGATGGCTGGAAGTGCGCGCCGTTGTGGCGGCACTGGAGGCAATGCTGGCCGTGTCGCCTTGCGACATGCTCACATTCGGCGGCCCCACAGCTCCGTCGATGGCCTTGTACTTGGTGCAGTTCTTCATGGACAGTTCGGTGCACTTTTCGTGATAGGAGTTGCCGCAATCCATGCACCGATAGCCCACTGGGCCCCAGAGGAGCTTGGTGCAGTGGTTGCAGTTGGTGGGCGTGGTGTACGGATGCTTCTCGAAACGATGGGGATGGAAGTACTTGTCCTGGTAGCCGGCCAAACGACCCTTCATGATGATCTCCAGTGTGGAGCGCTTGTGCTGATGCGTTTGCACGAAGATCTTGCCGAGAGAGGCGTTGCGAGCGACGGGCTCCACCTTGGGCACTTCCAGGCTATTCCACACCTGAAGCCACTTTTGGGGTAGAATTCCCCGCTCCGTCTCCGCCTGCCTCACCTCGCTGAGCAGGCATACATAGGCATTGGGATTGTACTTCTCCGGGTTGTCGTAGCCGGCTGTGATGACCATGCGCTTGCCCTTCATCTCGGACAGATCGATTTCGTCGTCCACGGTAGTCACCTCCAGATCGTACGGCGGTCCCTGGGCCAGCTCCTCGTTAGTGTAGTAGCTCCACAGGTCCAAGGCAGCCACATTGTTTTGCGGCCGCAGAGTCATGTCCTTGTCGCCGGAGTACAGGAAGTTGTAAAACACGGGCGTTTTGTTGTGCTGCCTTTCGATGTAGTCGAAAATGGAGTGACCAATGCGACTCATGGGCGCCGGGGTCCTCGGACTCCTCAGATCCAATGGGTACACGTTGCACTCGTCATCGGAGCCATTCGACGCCATGCCTCCGCCGCCTCCGAACAAGTGTTTGGCGTTCAGGGATCCGCGCTTGTCCTCCATGGCAGCGATGCCCGAATCCGAGCGCTCCAGTTCGCAGTCGAAGAGGAAGGTGCGGAAGCGGCAGGACACGGCATGGTAGGCCAGGAATCTCAAATAAAAGTCGTTAAACTCAAACGCCATGGGAAACTGGCTCTGCAACTGATGGACCACGTCCAGGAACTGCAGGAAAGTGGGTGCAAACGCGATGTTTGTGTTGGCATGCGAGGGCTTCAGGTTGCTGCGATGCGCAAAGCGGTGGCCAAAGGCCAGCCACTCCTTCTCCACCAGCACCCGGAAACCGTCCAGTGTCCGGTAGTAGGGATCCAGGCAGAGCTGGGCTATCGAGCTGAGCTGGGCGGTCACATCGGAGCCATCCTCCAACGACAGCATCACGCTGCTCTCTTGCAAATCGATGAGGTCCACCACCGCCCCCGACAACTGCATCAGCGAGGAGATCTGCTGCAGCCAGTCGGACTGCTCCACCATCTTGGCGAAGCTCTGGCCATCAGCCTCGTTGGTGTTGTGCGACGGCATGCAAGCGCGTATCAGCTTCTTGAAGGCCGGACGCGACTGCCTGATGTCCGGGTAGTCGACGGGAATGAAGTCCGCGCAAAAGTCCACATTCATGTTTGACTTGGCCTGCGACTTCTCACCCAAGGCGTACAGACGCATCTTGCGGAATGCCCCATGTGCGTTTGAGGCGCTCTGATTACCCTTCATTGTCCCACCTTTGCCTCCTCCTCCTCCCTGGCCTGATTTGCTGCTGTCGCTGACCATGTCCATGTTGTTCTTGTGCTTGCGCGACAGCTCCGGCGTGAGGCACTGCCGATCGTCGGAGGAGGGGCCGTGGCCCAGCAGCGAATTCATCGAGAGATTCATGCCCGAATACTGGTTGATGGCCAGCGGCGTGAGCTTCGGCATGGTGTTGATCAGGGCCAGGAAGTACTTGTCCTGCTCCGGGTAGTGGGTGACATCGTGATGGGCGTTCGTGTTGCTGCCCGTCGTGTTCTTTAGCATTCCGATGACCGACTTGCTGTTGGGCTGGGCACCACGGATGAGCAGGGCTCCGTTCGCGTGCCGCCAGGTGGGCAGCGGGATGCGCTGACCCTTGAAGCAGCGGCCCAGATGCATAATGGCCGCATCGCTGCACTGGACGGGCGCCACAAGTATGGCAGGATAGGATCGGCAGGTGGCGTAGCTGGCGTTCACATTGCTAATGCGGAATCCACGCTGCGACTCCGCATCGAAGCCGAGTCGCTTCCAGTCCTGCACATAGCTGCGCTCCCGCATCCGTTCGACATCCTTGACGGTGAGCAGCCTGGGCATGGCGTTGTTCTGCGTCTCAAACTCATCGCCATCCTGCAACTCGTCGTCGATGGATTGCGTCTCCGCTCCGGCGTCCGCTCCAGCACTGCTGCCGTATTCATAGTCCGAGACCAACTTGCGCTTGGTCTGCTGCTTTTGCTTGTAGCCCGCCTTCTTGGCCGTGCGCAGCAGGGTCTTCTTGGCGAATCCCTTGATCGTCGAGTACTTCTCCTTCGTCTTGGGCGGAGCCACGCCCTGGAGTATGGTCCCGTACGACTGGAAGGCAAAGTACTCGAACTCATCGAACGGATGGCGCGCCTTGCTCAATATCTTCCTAAAGCTTTCGATTTGCTCCGGCGTCACCTCCGGGTCGAAGGCAACTTTGAGCAGCTGGAAGCTGCTGGAGCGCAGCTGCAGCCCCTCGGGCAGCGTCTGGTCCAGGTGGGCCAGGTACAGCACCGATATCTTCTTCTCCTTCAGTAGTGAGGCGATGGGAAAGGAGCGCACGATGACCTGCTCGCAATAGAGCGGATCGCAAGGCGAGCCCTTGAAGACCACGCGATAGTTGGTGAGGAACAGGGCTCCCTCTGCGGGTATCAGGCACTGGGTGTCGTCTTCGCGTCCATCCGGCATTAGGAAACAGCGCAGATGGTCGGTCACGAACTCCTCCGCCGGGAGCAGGCAGGGCGTCTGAATCTTCGGTTTCTGCACATGCGGATGACGCTTCGCCTCGAGGTAGACCGGTTCCAAGGACTCGATGTGCATGTGCACCACACCCGGCACCATGTCGTGCAGGTTTCGTATGTGGTCGGAGGTCACTCCGCCCTCGGTGCACACGCAGTCAATGAAGCGCGAAATGGTCTTCCCGACTGAAACCCCAATTTCCAAGGCATTGTTCTCCTCGAATCCGTCGTCGGAATGTTCGCTCAGGCTGTGAGAGCCAATAATACTGCAATGGAAAGGTCAATTGAGCTTTAAATCGAGTTCCTAGCATTCCTCACCTATTTGAAACACTCTGATTTTCGTCCAGGCGAAACGCCGGCTTTGGCTTGCTGGCGGCGTCCACGTTGACATCCAGCGGAATCAGCAGGGAGACCATGCGGTTGGCAAAGTGTATGGCCTGACTGTACAGCGTCGACTCCTCCGACTTGGCCAGCTCAGCCTTCTTCTCCTCCTCGATGGTGGGACTCTTGCGCAGCTGCTCGGCTGTGATCTCCAGGGCAGTAGGCTCCTCCAGGGGGACCTCGTCCAGCACACAGTTGGCCTCCTTTTGATGCTCGTTTTGACGGCGATGGAGCAGATACAATGCCTTGATCTGGCCCTGAACATCCTGGAAGAATGTGGACTCCCAGAACTGAATGTTCTTCCATATGGCGTGGTCCTGGATTTCCGTGTAGGCGAACTGCACCACCCCCGTGGACAGTTTGCGGCAGAAGATCGTGGACATGGGGAGCAGGGCCGCTGCCACGGTGTACTCGTCAATTCCCGAGGAATTCTGCAGCGCCTTGTTCATGAATCGCACCACCAGCTCGAACTGTTGGTGATCCAGCACCGCCTTGTTGCCATGCACATAGCCGAAGAACTCCCGACAGAGGATCAGCCTCGCATCGCGATGCTTCAGCGTTCGCATCACAGCCGGCAGCAGCTTCCTAGCGTCCGCAATCCGGTTCTCGAAGATATAGGACACGCACGTGCGCAGCACCTCCAGCCGCCGCGCCGAGTTCTGGACATTCGGACGAACGTCCAAGGCCTCCGGCAATCGGGGTCCCATCGGTATGATCCTGTGCTGATTGCGCGTCACATGGAAGCGCTGTGGAACTCCGTTCTTCCGTATTCCCTCCTGGATGATCAGCTCCACCTTCTCCGAGCTGATGCGCGGAAAGGCGGGCTGGTGGATGCGATGGAAAGAGCCCTCGGGCGGACGTAACACCTTCTGGGCGTAGCCCGTGTGGGCCAAGGTGCCCTCGTTCTCGAACAGCGTGCGTCCCAGCTCCTGGATATGTGTGAGTATCTGAAAGGTGAGAAAGGTAAGATGCTTTCTTGCACAATGCTCCTTGCCAATACTCACGAGATTCCGATTCTGCGCCTCCGACTTGAGCAGCTCGTTCATGGAGCTGTAGAGCTCGTCCCAGGCATCGGAGGCTCGCCAGGGGGGTCCTCGCTCATTGACGAACGTGGTGAAGAACATGCTGTCCAGGACGCGGAACAGGAACTCACTCTCGATCAGGTCCCGGGCGCCGAGGAAGCCGGCCTTGTGGAAGGTAATCACTGGCTTGGGATGGATCCTAATGATGGTGAGGCAGGAGCGATAGCCCTGCAGTAGCTGCGCGAAGAGTCGCATGAATATGGCGCGAAGTTCCTTGTCGATTTGTGCGTCAGTCTTGGACAGGGCGCTCGGCCGCTCCTGGGTGGGAAAGGCCAGGTCTGCCTGCGCTAGATTCGGGAACAGGATCATGCTGAGCAGCTCCTGGGTCTGCTCCCACAGCGGTGACGGCAGGATGGGTACTGGTGGGGTAAGCGACGCCGGTATGGTCACCAGACCGCCGTCCAAGTCCACAACAATCACATCCAGGAGATCCGTAATCTCCGTTTGCAGCGAACTGTGTATGCCCATGATAAACGGTGTGGGCGTGGACAGTACCTCCGTGAGCGGCGCCGGCAGAATGGGTATGTAAACGTGCGTGTACCGAAAGGGGTACATCAGGGCCACCAGTGCCTTGCAGCTCTCCGTGAGGTGGCAATAGCACTTGGACAGGAACAGTATCTTGTTCTCCGTCATCACCGCACAGAGCAGGATTAGCACATTCTTAATGCCCAGCTGCTTGAAGAGGAAATGCACACCACTGCCCGTGGTGGGCAGAGAGGAGCTCTGCGGCGGCTGCAGCGACTGCTTGTCGCCGGCACCGATTGAGAAGCGCACCTGCGGCCCGCCAGCCGGCGGCACTTGAATGCAGCCCAGAATGTTGCCGATGAGTGTTTCCATTCCATAAGCTAGGTTCTCAATGTACACCGTGTATATGGTGCCCAGACAGTTCTACAAGAGACGAGAGGGTGTTAGGGAATATAGCTAGAAGCCAGGTCAGATATGTATATACCTTGAAGGTGTCGGCACAGTCCAACCGGGATATGAGTACCAGGCACTTTGGCGCATACATGACGCTGTGGTGCGTAATGGAGGTTGCCGTCGTGACGCCATCGGTCGCGGAGGGTGGGCCGCCCGGCAGCAGCCTTGTGCTCCCAATGGTCTCATCCTCGTCGTCGACGCTGCGCGTCTGAGTTATGGCCAGCGTTTCGTGGAAGCTGAGGCAGGCGCAATAGTGCTTGTTCGTGTCGATGTCCGTCAGCACGGAGACGAAGAACTTGGGCTCCTGCTTCTCGTACGATAAGCTCCAGCCCAGCGGTTGGCAGAACTGCGGAAGAGGGGAACACCGATAAGGTGGGGCGTAAGCCGATATGGATATGTATGAGCTGGCGGGGAACGCACCCATTCAATGCCCTCGATAAAGGGGGTGTCCGGCCAATCTTTCTCGGGAAAGCGCTGCACGATCTTGCCGCAAGTCGGCTGCCCGCCCACATTGCTGGCGGTCTCTGTGGAAGGAAATTGAGGCGCCGTTGGGGATTACCATTGTTTGCAGGGGGAATGGGATTCAACTCACTCTCCTTATCGCTGTCGTAGCCGACAATTACGAAGTAATCAGCGAGTCGAGACATCTTGTCCAGCACATTGCCGACCCTGGTTGGAGGAGCGATGCGTCGTCAGTGGCCAAAACTGGGAAAACAGGCAAGCAGAGATGAGATGTCTTAGTCGGGGTTTCGCAGGGGGAAGATGACCGCCGTCGGCGGCAGCAGCAGTGCCGTCATCCAATTTGATATGCTAATTAGGCGCTCTCTCTCTGCGTTTGGCATAAATGATTAGCCCAGCTCCATGCCGATCGACTGGACAAATTGTTATTGTATTGTGCGTTCGCCCCGGAGGCGTTTTTTCAGGCTTCTCGGGTCTTCGTCTTCGCCTCTTCTTTTTTTTCTTTTTCAACCACACCCCGCGCCACACAAAGTGCGACAACAGCGCCGGGAACTCAGTTGCACTATCTATATATATATATATATATTGGGGCACACACCTCGCAGCCGGCTGCAGCCTAACCGCCGCTCACGATACAAATTTAATTAATTATAATTATTTTTAATTATAATTCTATCATGTCCCCGCTCACCAGTGCTGCCACTTATTTCAGGTTTTCAACTAGCTTATAGGTCTTTTTAATTGGGGTATTCTTCCAGTACTGGCAACTCTGGCTGAATGAATATATCGAAAGTGGAACAGCTGTTTTCAGCGGCCGATATTTTCAGTTATTTAATCATTTACAGGGAATACCGCAAACAATTAATCTTGCATATTTGGTTTTTTAATTATTTTATAACGTACAGGTTGTTTTAAAGGCAATATATCGATGTTATTTTCTAGCATCGATGTTATTAAATTGGTACCTTCGCTACCCAACACTGCTTTTACGAGCCGATAAGTCTATCGATTTTTCAATACTTCCGTTAGTTATTGATCGTTTTTAAATTGTTTAAGCTGGTATTTTTAAATGAGGCTTATTTGACAAGTTAAACTCTCTAAGAGCTCCAAATGTATTCAAAGAAATTAAGCTAATTACGTTTATCACATCAGAATGTCCCTCATCAGTAAATCCAAATAAAAGCCAGCAGTAAAGTTCGTTTGGTGACTTAATTTTCTTTTCAACTTATATATAAATCACGATATCTTTGACATTATGAACTAGCGAGATATAAATACATAATAACATTGATGACTAACTCGTGTAAGAAATAACTTATGATAGGTTTTCTTCTAGCTGATCTTTACAAACATATGACGTATACGTAACGTATGTACTATTCTGCAGGCGGATCTCATCTGCGCTTCAAGCATGTCCGCCGTTCTCTGTGGCTTTTGTGTCCGCCGTTGTTGGGCCCTGGTTAGATGCTTCCTGTGACGGCATGGTGAGCGTCACTGCGCCCTTATCCGTGTGCTTTATGTGCTCCATTTCAATGTCCGAACAGTTCTCGGAGTTGGACAGGGCCGAGTCCATCGAGGTAACGGTCATATCCACTGCCTTGTCGCTGGCGTTTGACGACAGCAAAGGCTTCTCCACTGCAGGCTTCTCCTCTGCATCTTCGTCACGGGTGGGGGCCACGAAGTTATTGCTGTTGATGTCCTCGATGGCCTTGCGCAACTGTTGAATGGAAATCGTACAATAAGGACGAGTTCTTCTATAAATGATCCTTTAAATCTTACCTCCTTGAGGCCCACCACGCCTACAAGTCGCCCGATCTTGGTGACATAGGCGTGATTGATTCCCACCATGGAGAACAGCGAGTGCACCTTGAGGATGGAGGTGCGTTCCACCAGCTGGAAGGGAGAGGGATCGATATGCACATTGGCTTTTTGCAAATCGATGGGCTTTAACATCTCCTCGAGCTCCCACTGCTTCTGGTCCTCCGGCGACATGTCAATGACTCGTTCCCTGGGCTGCAAATAAAAATAAATTATATTTAATTGAGTAAGTAATTGCAAAATAGTAATTAATTTATCCCAGACCTACCAACTGCACTGACTTCGTCTTTTGAACGCTCTTGTTTTGGATTAGTCAAGACAAAAAAGAATCAAAATAGGGTTTTGTTTAGGTTTAGTTAGTAATTATTACTATTTTATTCATTGTCTCTCGAGCATAATGAATATAATCACCTGGCCTTCGGTTTCCGGATTTTCTACTTCATCGATATCTTCAATGGAGTAACCCATACCATTCAGTTCTTTGGCAAAACATTTCTTATGCGAAGGCGAACTCTGGTCTTCAACTTCGTTGGCAAATCGAATTTTCGTGCACCTTTCTCTGGGAACTATTTGTGGCGAATTATTTACATCTGCTACTTTATTTGTTTTAAACTTAATGCTCCGCCGATCTGGTGATGGGCTTGACTTATCCCCACTATTTGATAATGCAATTTCCGTGCTATCCTTTTCAGCAGGCTTTGTGAATGCATTAAACTTATGTATTACTTTGTAAAGTAGTTCTACCTTTGACATTTCAAGCTTTTCTACTATTATTTATACCATCTTGGCTTACCAATGTTGTGGGTTCCGTTGAAATGGGGTTTACTTGCTTGCAGATATTAAATGGGGTTAACATTTCTCTTTAAGACTTTTAAAATCTAACTGGATTTTTAATGAATGACAGGAGAGTGAAGTTGGTTAGTTGTTATGGAACCTACTTACCAGCATAATTTGATCGGTAACAAAATTCCAATTACTTTGTGCATGCTTGAAATGAGAGATTCCCAGATTGACATTCCGGAAAACGCAACCCACTAACCCAAAATAACTTCCATTATGTATCAACTTACCAGCTGAACCTTTTTGGAAACACCCGGAGTGCTTGGAGTGCGCTGGACCTCCACCTCGTTGTGGCTGGCGGCCGGCGAGAGAGAGCCCGTCTCCGGATCCGGCTGGACGTCCTGCAGCGTGGTGGACTTCTTGAAGATGGCCTCAAAGGCCGAGCGGATGCGGAACTCAGAGTTTCCCGTTATCGTGGTGTACGGCGTGATGCTGGGACTATGGGCCAACGGCTGCGGTGTATACGTCTTCAGGTTGAAGGAGTTGGTCTTCTTCAGGATGGACTTCCTGGGTGCCAGCGAACTGTGCATCGTCTCCGCTCGCTTTTTGGGCGGCAGCATCTCATCGTTGGCAATCTGCCGGAGGCTGAGAATGTCCGGAGCCGGGAGCACTTCGAATCGTGAAGGACGTCGCATCTTTAGCTCCACTTCCTGCTTCTTCTTCTCCTCCTCGAGGGCCCGCTCCTGTGCCTCCTTCTGCCACTTCTGGGCCACCTCCATGCGCTTCTCCCGCCCGATGTGCTTCTCGATCATCTTGATCAGCTCGTAGCGCTGCACGGAGCCCAGCAGGATCATGTTGTCCGGACTGTCCACCAGCGGCAGCGAGCGCAGCGTCTTGTTCGCTTTGAGGACTTCTTTGAGCTTCTGGTAGGAGATGCCGTGCCATATGTACTTCACGTCCCGTACCATAAAGTCCTCCACGAATATGCTGTACATGCCGGAGCTGGAGGGCAGGAGATCGGGCAGGTACGGCAGCTTCTTAATCAATATAATACTGTCGTAGATCGACGGTTGCAGCAGCGCCGCCACGGCATTGGCCACCAGCACGGCAATCATCACCGGCACCACATGTGTGATCTGGCCGGTCATCTCAAAGATGATCACGGCCACAGAGACCGTGTGCGTCACGGAGCCGGAGAAGGCGGCCGCCCCGACCACGGCATAGCCCCCGGGCATGATGGGCGACAACCGACCGCCGTACCGGACGCCATGTGGAAAGGTAACCGCCATGAACTCGCCCACCAACCGACCGAATCCAGCGCCGATCTTAAAAACCGGAATAAACATGCCCGACGGCACTGGTATCGTGGAGGCGATAATGGAGAACATAAACTGCAAAGAGAACAAGGGTTTGCTCAGTAACAGAGTTACTTCCCTCATAGAGTCACACCAACCGTGAAAAGGGTGTATATAACCAAGTTTCCAAACACGCTGGTGTACCCGGTCATCCAGTGGGTCACCACTGCCGCCTGCTCCACAGTCAGGTCATCGCGCGACCATGTGAAATTGCTGAAGAGCTGCGTCACCTGCTCGTGGGTGCTTAGCTCGCCGGCCAGAAACTGACCAGTGCCCAAGGGAAAGGATATGCTGGAGACCAGCAGAGCAAGGAAGCCAGGATACAGGAAGCGACTGTAAAGTTAAAAGGGAGTTAGCTTAAGGAACACCGCAAATGAACAGTAGTTAGCTTACTTCTTCTGCAGGAACTTGTTCATGCGCTTGTTGGAGCGCATGAAGAGGACATATCGCCTATGGACCCACACGTAGGAGGCGCCACCCAGACCGCACACGAGCCTGGAACGGGAAGTAAAACCTTACACTCTGAAGAAAACTCTCAGACCAAAGACTTACCCAATCAAGGCAAAGACAAACAGCTCCTGGGGATCAAAGGGAAACTCGGTGGTGAAGTTCGTGAGGAACAGGGCCCGTACAGTGTCGGCGTTCTGGAACCAAACGGCCAGGAGCCGGAAGACAGTGGCGCCGCACACCGCTGCAAAGAAGCCGCGCCAGTAGTTGCGCACCGCAAAGTACGTGGTGGTGACTTCGATGCTAAAAAGCACACCTGTGGGAGGATCATTATCAGAAAATCCTCAAATGTAGGAGGGAAGGCTATCTCATAGAGATATCTACTCACCACCGACGGGCGCGGCAAAGCAGGCGCCCACACCGACGGCACAGGCTGCCGCCAGCATTTCGGAGTTTCGCGACTCATTCTCATATATGCCTTGGAATGATGTGACAAGTTTACTTAATAATTGTGCTACAATACTTGCTATATGTACGAAAGGACCCTGGGGAAGCACGGAAAGAGACACAGATACGGATGCGAGACTTGTAGATAGATTTTCCAAATTGCACTTGCTGCGCCTCAGCGGCATGTGGCATGCAGTGTGAGATCAATTTTTATACTTACTTCCTTTCCTAATGGCATACCGCTGCCCAGAGTTGCCGTTAAACCAATCACCTTGGCCACTAATGTCTTAAATGTGAGATACTCTTTCAACTGAACGCCGCGCAGTATGGTCTTCATTTCGGGTATACCGGAACCTAGACACAGGTTTTGGTTGTGGTTATATAGATTTGCATTGATCATACTCGCATGGATTAGTGACTAGTAGAGGAGTTGAGGAGCAAGAAGCTGAGTTGTTAGTGGTTCGAGTATTTAACATACAGACACAGGGGGGTCACAGTTTCTTTTGGATGGTGCCAAGAGTGCTTGGAGTGGGCAGCTGCCGGAGTGCAGTGGTACTATGTGTGGGTCAATATCAATATTATATCTTCTATATCAAACTTAACAAACCCCTGGGGCCCTACGAGATCTCTTAGAGCTTTTTGTTGTGGGAAAAAAGAGCCTAGTCCACTTGGAAATTGTTCTTAGAGACTTCAAACTTTTAGTTCCTTTACCCTAATCAACCATAGAAGTAAAGTAAGTAAGCACAAAATTCATACAATTTCTACAATTTTGGAAAACCGATTTCAGTTCAAGAAAGTTATGAGGCCATTTAAGTAAAAAGTTTATTTATTAAATCAAGCAAACTACGTTTGAAAATAAGCTCAATTATACAATTTATGTAGATATAACCTTGGAAAATTAAACTACTTGGCATTTGGGATTGAATTATTGATTGTAAAAGTGGGTTAGGGACTGAAAATAAGTCTATAGTATGTTGGATATAACCTTAGGAACTGATAAGATTTCTGGGATAATAGGATTTTCTAGGAAACTAAGACATTTTTAAGGTGTACAATTGGTTATTAGGGGTAGGAAAACTTTCAAAATTAAACTACTCAACACTATTGCATGATATATGAGATTCTAAAACTTGTTAATCCAAACGCTTACCTATACTTTGCGGTGCGATGAGATGGACAAAGCCGGCCGAGAATAATATGAGGCAGACTGGGAGCGAGACCCACGCGATGTACTGAACAAAAGGCTGTGACGTCAGGTCGCGATACAGCCAAATGCGCGCTGGAGGTATATAGATATATAGACACGTAATGGGTACTAAAATCTGGCTAAAAATCGATTAAAATCGACACTACCGTTTGTACAGATGGATATGCCCTTGTCCATGATGAATGAGAGCAGCGCCATAATGATGCCCAGCAGCGCCAGGAAGACCCAGTCCTCGCCCAGCCGGGCTATCGTGTGCTTCCAGATCCATGAGGACACCCGCTTCGCCCGCGTCGAATGCTTGCCTAGCAGTTCCTGAAAATATTTCCCAGCACTGCTGCTTTATAAACTGATACGTTCTCGAGGATCCCCACAGATGAGGTACAGGCATGGGACATGGGGCCACCTTTTAAATTTACTTGACATGATGATAAATATCTCTTGTATGATCATACCTTTAATATTTAGTTTTCTCGTATAGTTTGCATTCAAATCGAGAGCAAGTTCGTGAATAATAATATATTATCTGTAAGTGGGTGAGAGATGCTAAAGCGTTCTATTTTATTTTACCTTATTCCTTTGTTTATCTTCCTGCTTTCGTCGCTTTTCGAGTATTTTGAGCTTTCTGGCTTCATCCTTGGCAAATTCTCCTAGATCTTTGGTATAACGACCATACATCTGTTAAGGAAAATTATAAATTCGTTAACTGTTAGGCATTGCGAAGAGAGTCTTTAAATGTACCCATATTTTCACATTATAATCAACCTAAATAAATATATTTTTGTTGTATTTTTTTTAGAAATAAACAAAAACGTCTGCTCTAAGCATTCTAGACAAATGCCAAGAGCAAGAGAACTGATGACAAAGTAGAGGAAATGCACAGACAACTACACTAAGCATTTAAATTATAGATCATTCGTTTTGTTTTGAAACTATAAATTGAAATCAAACTATAAAATTTAAAAATAAACTGAAAAAATACGAATTAATTATAAGTTTTGTGGTATCTCATGGTTAGACTGTCTAAAGTGAAAGAATAAATTATTAAGGAATTTTTAAGATTGAGTATATCAAACATAAAAATGTATTCAGAATGAATTCGTTCTATAGAATCTATTTACTAAATTACTTTCTGTTTCGATTTTCCACATATAAAATTGCATTAGTTTCGATAGCGAATCAAATTTATATTTCTGATTTGAAGGACAAACTTCAGGGTAAATTCTTTCTGTGCATGTTCTTTGATGGTCAGTGCAAGAGGTCTGTTGTGAACTAAAGAACAAATACCTTTTGGGTTTATTTGAGAATTACATTTTTCTATACATGTTTAGAAATGAAAATAATAAAGAAAGTTCGATATACTTTACGAATCAGGTCGTAATGAAAGCTTAAAGTGTTATTTGTAAAGAATTCGGGTTTAATTTAGGCAACAAAAATGGCCCAGATAGGGGTATTTAAAGAAATCATTTTACAATGTAGGATTAACCTATTTAAAATATTTGCGTTTAAAGTAGAGCTGGAAAAGAACAAAGCTTGTAATATTTCTATATAGAATTTGTGTAAAATGTTCAGTTTTTGTAGCATACTTTTCGACACCATTTATATTGATTTCAAATCCCTAGAAATTTATCAGTTAGATTCCTTAAATCTGTTTTTATATTTTTAATTCAACAGTTTTATAATAAAATCACCTTGCCAAAACACTTTACTAACTACATATGTAATTCCGTACCCCAAACTAATATCATTATTGATTTTAAGGGTAAAACTTCAGGGTGATTTCTTTCTGTGTTGCGCTTTGAGGGTCAATGAAAGGGGGTATATGTGTCGCTGCATAGTGGCCATGAACACGGATGCGGACTACGGCTACGTGGCCCTACCGGGGGCCACTCACATAGTAGAAGGCCTCGATCTCGATCTCGATCTGATTCTTGTCATCGCCGGGCGGATCGATGCTCTGATTGCGATGCTGCTCCTTCTGCTTGGCAATGATATCATCCCAGCGCTGGCGCACGGGCGTGGAGTGATTTTTGTGGGCGCGCTCTCGCTCCTCCCTGCGCCGATAGTCCTCGCGGTTGATCAGCAGCTCCGGCTCGAAGGCGTATTCGCGAATGTACTCATCCTGGTGCGAGTGGCTGTTGTTAAACATGAAGCAAGCGATGCACACGAACGAGGTCCCGCACTCAAACTCAAAAATCACACTCAAGTCACGTCACACAATCGCAGTTGCAGTTGCAGTTGCAGTCACACGAATTCGGGCGGCGGCGGCGGCCTTTGACATGCCCGCGGCTGTTGTTGGCTGTGGCTGTTGGCCGAATATTTGTGTCGCATCTTGTTGGCCAATATTATTTTTAGTTCTCGGTTATCTCGGCCGCCGTGGTGGTAACGTACGATGAGTCCCCGATTCTCACTGCCAGACGTAATTAGAGGTGGACGACGCAGCTGCCCTTGAGCCCCGTCTCGGAAATGCGGCGGTTGTAAAATTCATTGCAATTTTATTTATAACATTTCACACAGCAGCACCCCGTGCACGGGTTTCCTCGAATATAGATTTTTGATTTATCGAACTGATCCCCGAGCACTGGCTTGCCTATAGATTGCCTATTAATCCGCTTTTCCAAACGACCGTTTCCATTATCTATTGATTTCCGATCTCGCTAGACTTCCGACCGCCACGAAGGAGGCTTCTTGCGGTGGCGTAAACTTTTTTGAAACTAAACTGACTTGTCGAGCTTTCGCCGCTCTGTGTGTGGAAAATTATTGAAAATTTCTTTTGGCTAGACGCTGCGCCAGGGTAGCACGCTGTGTCGAATATTTTTAAAAAACGGCCCGAAGGAATACTTATTCAAAAACGCTATGTTTACACAAATATGAAAATCGGGGAGAATTGTTTTCCAATTCTGTCTGCTGCTCGGCCATCAAAAGCAATTGCCTTGGTATTTCGAAATGGCTCATAAATTTAATTGCACGATAATGTATTATCAATTTAAGATGTGCTCTTGAAATAATCGCATGTTTTTTGATTTGAGTGTTTTGGGGGTTCTCTACAATCAAAGGGGTTTTTGCACAGTGCTCACCTACTGTTGGCCACTCTTTTCCGGCACCCTACTACCCTTAGTGGTAGTGGCAAGAGCAATAGTTGTTGCTTGTTTTAAATATAATAAACACTATTCATTATAATCGGATTAAAAATAGCTAATGTCTTTTGTCTGCGTTGTCATTCGTCGCACACCGCTTTTGCATTGCTTTTACAGAAGGAGGCCCAGATGCGAATAGACGCGGGAAAATGGCCAGAGTCAACTGGGGAACTGGCAGGAAAGGCGGCGAAAGCGACCGAAAAGCTTGGAAAACCATTCAGAAATCGTAAAAAGTTTTTGTTTTGATCGATGGTTTCACGGCAGATGTGTGTGCCGAATAAAGTGCAAATAAAACAGCGTCTGGCTAAATTTCAATATCGTTAAGACTCGAATAATAAACAATTCAAAATTGCGAAAATTTATATATAGGATAAATTTTATTGCAAAATCTACAGTGCGAATGAAAGGAGGCGCGTTTTCTTGATTGTTTCATTGAGCTTAATTTAAATCACTGTTGATCTGGCATAATTATATTTTACAATAGCTAAACAGATGTTCATTAAAAAAATAAAGATATTTTACGACAGCCTCTACGTGAGCATTGATAAAAAAAAAACTGAAGCTCTTTGCGTCACCGAAATTGGGTAATAAAAATAATATGGATAATCAGACTTATTGGTAGTACTATCACGACGATACAAGACGTAATGTATGTCTATATATACAGTCAAGGTGAAGATTGTTATGCACAATTTTTTAATCGAGAAATTATATATTTTAATAAAATATTTTTAAAACAAAACTTAAAAGTGAGTTTAATTAAGTAATTTTTGTTTCATATGAAAATAAGTCAAATAATTATATATTAGATACAAATTATACAGGTTCATTGCCTCATGCCACAAAAGTTTGTGTGGGATTCATTTAACCTCAGGTCAAACAATAATTCAAAAGCTTTCAAACGGATTTATCATTTCCTGTACAATTAATTCGTTCCTATAATGTTTTATTTTAAAATTTTCCATTGAAAAAATTTAAAACCTTTTTAAAATATTTAATTTTTGTATAGGACAAGATATAATAATAAATATAAAAAAGTGTCCTAACGCTTAATTTAATCTTTAAAAGTTTTTTTTTAATTAAACATGGAAAAACACCAATACTTAGCATTTCAAATCGATTTTGGCTTCGATTGACTTTCAATATTAATTAATCCTTTACTGCTTTTTATTCTATTTATAACTTTTAGCAAAAAAAAAAAATAATAAAAAATAATATAAACAATATTCTTCATATTTCATTATTATTATTTTAAATCCCATTTCTTTAATTTTCACCGCAGCTGTACAAGCACTTATAGAAGTAGAATGCAAGTTCCTGAGACAGATATACCTATATATATAGATAAGACTTGATTGCCCTGTGTTACCAAGCAAAATCTTGGATCTGCCTCGTAGTAATCGTATTTCTTTCACAGATCCTCCAGAACTTTGGAATGCTTACGAGAGTATCGATGTATCCAATGGGATCATCCTCGTCCGACGAGTCCGAGTCTCGGGCATTTTCGGCGGGCGGAGGACACGGATAGAAGGCGTGCGACTTTATCTTCGGCTGACGCTGCACGTGGCGCAGCTCTTCCTCCATGGACATGGCACTGCTGCGCCGTTTGCGCAACTGGCAAATGAACTTCTCGAAGTCCGCCCACTCCGAGTCTACCAGCTCGACGTTCTCCTCCCCGAACTCCTCATCGTGGATGATTCGCTCGACTTTCTGATTGTTTCGATCGCGATTGCGATCACGATCGCGGTGCCGATCGCCGAAGTAAACCATATTGCTAGGTATCCGCTGTGGTGGATCGGGAAAGGGAGCGGAACTTCGGGACAGACGATCGGATTTAATGGGTTTATAGCAGTTCAACGCGATCGATGGCGCACTATCAGAGATGGGACCGATACGGACACGGTTTCGTCACATCCATGGCACAGATAGGGCTCATTTCCCGAATTTAAATTCCGATATGGCCAGATATTCCCGGCCGCGTGTGACCCGGGCAAAGTTTTCAGTCCAACTGAATAGTGTGATGAGGATGGAGACCAATCCGGTGCCGCTTAAACTCAAGATTCCATTAAATTTAGTACACAGACACCGACGCACTCGTCTGGTGCCGCAGTCTCAAGTCTCAAGATATACTTATAAGTAGTTCACATCTACGAGTACGTATGGGCCAGTGAGTGACTCTCGAGCGGTCAAAGTTTGCGTGTAAACATCAATAGAATTTCATAAATTTAATAATCTGGGGTCTGGTCAACGGCAAAAAAAGTGAAAATGCCAAGCGCTTGGTTGACACTAAATGCGCACAGTGGGTTGGGTCTGTTGTTATGTGTATATGTTTTTTAAAACAAAAACTTTACCCTAATTAGAAAACCACATATATGGAAAAACGCTAAATGTATCAATAAGTTGACTACATTCTTTAGAAATATCCTGAAGTTCAGCAAGCCTTAGAGTTCTAAACTAAAAAGTTCAAAGTATAAGCGATGCTATACAGGATTTTTAATGATTGTATTTATGAAAAATAATCTTGGGTGTTTTCAGGGCTTACAATAATAAAATACTTTCAAAATAGTGGCATCATCAGAAATCGTGTGCTAAAATTCTCAACTAGTTTATACATCATGGTATCAATTCATAGTATTTATTTAATAACTTGAAGAGAGCAGTAACTTTTTACGATCTCAGTGATCCATGTTACCAATCCTGAAGTATTCCAGGATTTTTAGAGAGCCTTTGCTAGCATTTAGCCCACTGTGTTGGATCACTTAAGCCGCATAAATTGTGATTACTTGCTTTAATAGTCTCAATGTGTAGACTAGGCATTGGGTCACATGTCTTGAAGCATCTCTGGGATTTATCATATTTAAGTGAAGCGGTTGTTTTAGTACAAGTACGCCTGCACTATTTTAAATTTCATTATTATTATTATTAGTATTGTCTTGGTCAATCCAAGCTGCCTTCTCCCTTACAAGGTAGCCCTAAATGGGTATAGATTGTTAGTCGGGTTGTAAACAGAACCCATAATCTTTGACTTTCATATTTTGCAGGAAACTGATATATGTATGTAGGAATAATCTGAATCGACACTTTAAGAGCGACCGTTAAGAGAGTGAAAGCTTTATCACATTCTGTTAGATATCAGTGAACTGCTTAGCCCATTAAGCAGTGTAGGGCGGACATCGGGCATTATGTTTCTGTTACGTTAAGTATAGTCATAATGCTACAGCTTAATAGGTGTTTAAATTCGAGTCTTAATAATAAATATTGATATTTTTAAAGGAACTGCTAATATCAGATTACCTATAGAGCAAGGATCTCTATGTTGGTTTTAAAAGTATCAAAATAGTTCATATTTTTATTTTAGCATTCTACTAACATATTTTTTGCACTAACTCAATCTCAAATCTGGCATAAAAGACACCCTATTATGTTATAAAAGACACCCTATTTTATGCCAAATATATTCTATAAAGATAAAGGAATGATTATTGAAGGTTCTAAAAATAACATATTAAATTGAATCTTTTGTAGTCTTAACTTGTCTTTAATAAGGTTTGCAAAATGTTTTACATTTTATGCCTTTTTAAAGAACTTTAATAATAAGAAGATATATATATTAATTAATTATATTTGTACGTTGTTATAAGGTGTTGTTCTAGCTATTCTCAGGCTAGTCTCCATTATTCCATTTCCATCCATCTATCCCTTGTCTTTGAGCTCAAATAACTTTAATAAAATCTATAAACATTTCACTTAAACTGGCCTTGGTAAAGGTTATATAGAATTACCATGAGCAAGTCTATGTAATGAATATCAAATGATGACTCCAACTTAAGGAAACGTTACTTGGAAGTATTAACTTTGTGTCATACACAAGGAATTAACTTTGATATATTAATTATTCCCCAAATCTAAGATCAGTCATCGCACAAGCCTTTACATCCAAATATAGAGAGTGCGAGAGATTCGATGTGTATGCGGGCTATATCGGCGATATGATAATTTTACTTACTTTTCTGTGAGGCGACATTTTCGAGCTCATATGATAGAAATTAGCAGTCTTGCGATAAAACAAAGTGATCTTGGCTAAAACTGTGTGGCGACTGGGGAGCCAGCATCTCAGGCGGTGCTAGAGACACCTCCCAATCCGCCAGAAGCTGCGATAAGGGCCGAATGGCAACAACACCTGACGCACACCCAAAAGGATGAAAGCCGCAAAAGCTACCGAAATTAATTAAAAATTGAATGAAATCTTTGGGCAAATATCGCGTGTGCCTAAGCATCTCGCGGTGTGTTGTATGTGGGCCATTCGCCAAGATCCACGGCCAGAAGATAAATCCCCAGCGCGTGAGCGCAAATACCAGGCCATAAAAAATATATATAATTTTAGCTAGATTACTTTATGATCCAAGCGAAAAAAGCATATCTCTATGGCCCATTAAAAATATTAAAGCTAGAGCTCATAATTCCCATCCATTCTAATGGTAAAACAATAAGACGGCTCTCATTTAGGCAATCCTCAAACAAACTAACTAAATCGAAGTGATTATTGATAACGACACGATTTTGATGGATGGATCGTGATAAGAGTGGAGTGGATAATGCCTTATTCATGCTATCGGGTGATCAATTGCTTGAGAAGCTCATTTCCTTTTATAAATTGCAGTTTATTATTTTGGAATTCTTTGTTGTATTTTTTTTTCAAGGTTTTTCTCTGATGCCTAATTGGATGCTCGAGTGTGTAGATACTTTATTTTTCTTTAATTGCCTCTGTCAAAAGATAAGCTACATTTCCCCAGATTTATTGTTGTTAATTTCTAAAGGTGTTAATTAGAATATCTCAGATGATTTTGGTTTGCGTTGGATTTATCTGGACTACAAGGGAAATTCATTAATAAACATTTAACCAGCAATTCCATTTAAATAATCAATCAGAAACCCTTTTGTTTTACTCGGGGGAAGTTTTCTTAATATTATAAAAAAACTGATCAACATTTTCCTCAGGCGGATATTATCTCATTCCAATATTGGACAGGCACATGACAAACTACAAACAAAAAACGAGCAAATAAAATGAAAAAACAAGTAAATAGTCACATGTTAATCACATGAGCGGAAAGAATAAAACAAGAAAACATGTTTGTAAAGGCGTATTGAACTCAATTATACCCTCATCGAACATGTGAGCAGTTGAAATATTAAATTATGTTTAATTATAATATTTTTCTATAGTATATAATAATAATATAGTGTATAAAATATTTTTCTATTCCCTAAAAGTTTCCTAATACAATTAGAATTTACTTTTTAGATCAAGACGCCTTTACCTCAAGAAGCTGCATCTCTTAAGGCATCATCTAATTGTATTCAGTAGTAAGAGCATTCACGGATTGGTGACAGGCCTTAAATCTGTTCTAGTCAACTAATTATAATCGAGTAAAGCCCCCGAGCTAATAAAACCAACTGTGACAAGGCTGGAATTGCCGAATCTAAGCGCCATACCGACGTGTTTATGTAAATACAAATATATTATATTATACACAACAATTCATTATCAACTCGGGAGTTTCCAGTCAACCAATTACGATAAAAAAAAAATTAATAACAAACAGGTGCTGGTGTGAGGTGAGTGGGGGTGTAGGTGCTCTAATGCAAACACATTTGTGGGCTTTAAATAGATAAATGTATTTTCCTATTAGCACGGGTATTTACGGCTCAGTTAATAATCGAATATTTATTTAATTTTCGTTTCGGGAAATTCGTCATGGCATTAACCGACTTGATGGATTAGCACTTGATGCGCTACCGTTGAAGGTATTTGCCACGGCAATATACCACGGTTCACGCTTATGAATCGGATTGCCATTGTAAAACAATCAATCAATTCTCGATCAATAAAAATGCCGTCGTGATAACTGACCGATTTCAGCGGCGCCCTCAATAAACCACATTAACGATAATCATAACTGGGAACTAAAAAAGGTGTTGTGATTCACAAATAATTCAAATGAGCGTTGATTAAAACATGAAGCTAGTGCAAATATTAGATAAATCATTATAAAACATTCACTTTCCTACGTCTTGGCTCCCTTGAGTACAGAATAGAACTGACTCACATTGAGATTATTGTTTCACCGACTGAAGGAGAATATTTTAATTTTTTTTTTGGCACAACGAAAAACGCAAGAACAAAAATTGATGTGGAACCTAACAGAATGGGGCGATGGGCCCGGGGGAAATGCGGAAAATATAATGGAAAAACCAGCATCGATTCTACTTCTGAGTAGACGGAACTATGTTTGTATTTATGGTATTGCCTAGCATTGAACAACATGCCTTTGATCAGCATTGGAGAAATATTGACAACCGAATGCAACTAACCGCAAACAAACAAGTCAATAGAGAGTGACGCCGTGTCAGGTGATAGCATCTTGATGTAAAAATTACTTGTTATATAATCTTGAATTAATGATGATCGAAATTATCTTGAATGGGTAATAGCGTAAGCTATCTAGATACTAGATACCAGATAAATCTTGAGCTATTAGAAGGGCTAATGATATCTTGATAGTTTCAACAATAGTTTAGGTTTCGTTTTACATTGTATAAAAAATTAGATAGTAAACATGCTAGCTTTTATAGCTCTTATATACAATCTTTAATATCCTTTCGAATTGTAAACTTTGCTACCTTAAGTCTTAAATGTATATTAATTTCCAGGACATCCCTGAACATCCTTAGCATATTTTCTAGCCCCTTTTTACTCACCAGCGTGTGGGTATAGCCGAGACCTCCTTCTTCGTCATCTCCCTCCGGCAGAGGACTCCCAGGAGTCCTGTCATGATGATGGCCCAAGGACGAGGCATTGGAGTAGGTGCGCAGGGGCGTAAGCCGCGCTTGCGGCGATGGTGCAATGAGCAGGGTCTGCCCTCCATTCCTGGTCACCTTCATCTTCGGACGGCAGTGCTAAGCGGCGACTCGGAAGTGAAATATCTGGAGCTCGGTCTCGATCTCGATCGCGCGTCAGCGGCTATGGCACACAATGCAAGCTGAGGGATTGCATTCGTCACTGGTGCATGTGATTCGTATGGCTTTATGAAAGCAAATTCCTTGGTCTCATTTGTGCATTAAATTCAATTATCTGCAACGCGACGAAGTCACAAGACCGACTTCCTTTTGAATGGCCACTACTTGGGAGTGGAGTTGATCCGCCGATCTGCACCGATGTGGCCGCGGCCAAAGATTATTTATGAATATGCTGCTGCTGCCGGCAGACGGCGACTTGGACTGGGAAAACTGCCGCTGCCTCTGATACCGATACCGAATCTGATTCCGATTCCGCGGCGGCGTTATCTGTGAGATCACTCTTTACTTTTGTCTACACCGTTGGCCGAATCCGGCTGGCGATAAGGCGGCCTATGCGACTGTGTACATCTCAAGTGGCACACTTAAGTGTGTGAAGGCTTAATTAACACCGGCAAAAGGCACAGGCAGCAGCAGTAGCAAAATTGCCCATCAGGGAAATGTATTACAGTTTAATTATCTTCTTATCGGAGCGATCGGGGGAGCAGGCGCTGGTTGCCAGGGTAGAGAGTGTCTGCAACGAATCGGAATAAATCAATATGAAACACAGAGTATAAACAAACGTATCGCATCGTATCGGCTATTGAATTCGCCATGGGCGGAGCATGAGGGCCTAACAAGCTGTGCAAGCATCTCGACTGATAAGTGCCGCTAAAATGGGCGAAACAATAACAAAATAATAACAGGTGTATAACATGCCGGTGAGCAGGTAACACAACATCAGCGGTTAATTCAAAGCGGCACGATATATCAGCGATTGGAAACTGTATTTTCTGCTCATAAACGCTCATCACATTTGATTTCCGATTTCTGTCAGGGAAGATTATAGCTGAGAGCAGGAATTCTGATTTATGTTTATTGAAAATATATTTAGAATACAGATCATAATAACAAATACAAATAGTTCTATTTGTTTTACTCTAAAAATCTTAAAAAGAATAATATTATTTTTAAATTCGTAGTACTTTATATATTCAATATCTTTATAGATACTTTCCCTTAAAAGAAAAACCAACTAGAGCTGGGAAAAACTTCGAAGCAAATCGATTCAAAATCTCCAATCCATTGTCTAGTTTTTCCAAGTGTTTAATAGCGAAACGTGTCTCATTTAGTAGGTAGAATGTTTGTTTTGATTCACACAAATTCCCAACTGAGCGATAGACCGACAGTAACATATATACTTATGTACATATATGTTTGCCTTATCATTGGGGCAACCTGACACTAAATACTAGAGCACAGGAGCTGTTCTGCCCCAAAGTGGATTATGGCGGAATAATTTATGAGGGTATTTTTTGCTATAAACGCCAAGCTCCCATGACCAACTCTTCAATATACTAAAGATTTATTACATTATTTTAATCTTTTGTCACTATTATGGCGCCTATTTTTGCTAATTTATTGGCATGCAGTTCTCATTGATTTGGCGATAGTCGTCGACGAGGAAGTGGCCGTATAGCGAGTGAAAAGTGGATTTATCAGGCTCTCTGGCACTGATTTCTGCTGTTACTTGTTGAACGAAATACATATAAATGAGCTTACATATACCTACGTTTTGTATTTTTCCCATGTTTTTGTTTTGGCTGCGACTGAAAACCAGATGATATTCATGACGAATTTAAATGGGTCTCAAATTATAACTTAATAGCTTTGCGAGTCTTTGATTGGATTCGTGTTCATTAGTAATCCAATTAGGGCTATGAATTCGATTCGAAAGCCTTTCAATTGGGAATGCACGTTCCCTGAATTCTTTGCAAACACTTTGAAGAGGAAGTGAATTCTTAAACGGTGGGCAATGGGATAAAAAAGAATGCTTCACATAGCTGAAATGCCTTGATAATTGCAAATCTGAGTCAGGGCATTACGACACGGATTTTGCCAAGTACTTGAAAAGCATATATAAACACGAGGGCACACACATCCGAGTATTTGTTCTAGCAGATAACAGAAACCTTACACTCTCCGCTGGGGGAAGAAGAATCTCGTTGAAAGCGGAATGGGGCCAGTTTCAAGTCTCTGGAATACTTCTTCTAATGGGGTCTTAAGCCAGCGCCCCTCAAAACTTAAGCCCTAATGAATTACCACACTTAAGATATCTCTCGAATCTGCAGTGCTCGTCGACTGTTGCTGTGGGTTAAAAATACAACACGAACATATTGTTCCATAAGTCCAAACACAAAACTCAAAGCTTGCCAAAAATATACCTAAATTATTTTTGCAAACACAACAGAGGCCAGGGCCGGCCAGAAGTATTCCGTTCAACAACAAAACATTCGCACTATATAATTATACTTTTTATTTTTGAATTAGTTTACGCGGGGATTTACAATGTAGATTCATTCCATTTAAGGTGAGAGGTTTCTGGTTGGTTTTGTAAGTTTTTTCAGCCACATTTACTCCCAGTTAAGATACTCCCTTGGCTTGTTCAGTTATAAAAAATCAATTAAAGTGGCGCAAAGATGCAAAACGAAAACGTCACGAATACGAAATGCGAATAATGAGAACAGAGACCGCCGCCATCACCTGTGCACACCTGTAGCGCGTGTTTTGGTCGCCTCAGTTGTTGCTGCTGTTACGGCGATCGCAGCCCCAGGTTCCACATACCAAGTGGGAAGTGGATGGATGGGATTGATTGCACTGACACTGACACTGACACTAGTAGAACTTGGGAGCTTTGGATTGATTGGTAGTGCTGATGGATCCGTTCATCGGATCCCCACTGAGTCTGTATCACAGCGCGGCAATTAGCATGGGCGATTGCGTTGGAATATTATTGGAGAATTATTGGAGAGCAGCTACCGATGTCAACGCGACCGCTTCGCGCTCTGGCATTGACTGGCGTCGTCGTCGTCGTCGACGCTGTCGTCGTCTGCCGCTGCTGCTGCTGCTGCTCATTCTCGCCAAATAGGTGTTGTGCTGGAGTGGAGCCACTGCTGCTTATCACCCGCAGTCGCGGTCGCCCTGGCGGTCTCGGCCAAGATTAATGACGTCCCCAACGTTACAGTATTTTCCATATTCGCTCGCTCTCTATTCGTTCGGCCGTTCGTATTGATCAGCTGGCTGACTGACAAATTTGGGGGAACTTTCAGCCATTGCAAATGTTACCCAACCCACATTGGTCAGGATTTCCCCCTTAAATCGCTATTATTTGGCGGAAAATTCACCTGCTAAGAGAGAACGGGAGCTCGTAACAATTCTTCATTCGTAGCGCTTATCTGCAGTGGGCTCTTTATGGGCCCAAATAAAAATCTGTGAGTGTTTGAGTGTGACAGCCCCTGGATTTGACTTTTGGGCGAGTTTATGAATGGGATTTGGAGGGCGTTATAAAAACTCTTAACGGGCACTCCTTGGACTTGGTCTGCAAACCAAATAAACAGCCATTAAAGTGGCTTAATATCTTGTATTTTATAAGAAATACTTTTATTTTATTTTGTTAAGCTGTTTAGGTATTTCTAGAAATATATCTTCACTCAAGATGATATTTCAGGCAATAATATAATAACTTAAAAAATAATTTTAATAATAAGCTAAGTAATTGAAATGTACGTTTTAACTAAAAGTTATCTTAACAGAATTTTAGGTTCATAAATACCCATTTACCTATTTGCTATCTAGTAAGGCGTTGTTTTTTCAGTTTCTTAAACCATTGTCATTGTTATCGCTTGGAATACGATACCCTTTCCATTCTTCTTGATCCCGAGATTATCTTAGATTGCAAGTGATTCGGTTTCTTATCTTATACATTTCGAAGAAATCTGTTTTTCTGAATCATATATCATGATAATGTCCGCTCTTGGAAAAAGTTAGGTAGCCAACATTTTATATTTCCAAGCTTTCTCGTTCAGAATATCAAGTATAATACAAGATATTTATTTTAAATATATTATTTTCAAACGATTATCATTATCAGATGATCTATGTAAAGTTTTAAGCAATACAGATTTTTTTCAGATTTACAAGAAACTAAACTAGATTAACTCGTTTTTGTAGGTGGTTTTCCCAACAATCCGAAAATTCCTAATTTATTGCTTCTACTAAGCCGGCATCTGAACGCTTGTTGCGCAAATTTAAAATCAGCCTCTCAATAAACAAATCAGCGAACATGTTTGATTCATTAGCACCTGGCGTATAGCGACGATATACGAGGGTGGAAAATATGACGGGAATGTACGAAAATACACAGTACCGGGTAAGGCAGCAATTTATGAATACTTACGATAATATATAATGCCACAAAGTCAATATATTATTTGCAAACATTTTTTTTTTTCTTTTTATAGTTTAGAGGGTTGTACAAAATGTTTCACAATTTTATTGAAAAATACGCAACAGTTTTCTAAGAAAAATTAAGGAGTAAAATTATAGGGGAATCATTTTGGTAGTCGGTGTGCATCTACTTTCTTTGTAGCCGACACGCGCATCAGACAAGGTCTATCAAATAGATACAACTGATTAGCGTGATATAATTTCTGTATCTTAAAGCTGAAGCCATAATTAAGTAAATATTTATCGCAAAAAGAAAAGCTGTGTCACCGCGTCGCCTGTCAAAAAGCTAAAGTAACTTTGAAGCCGCCGTCGGCCGCCAGGCGTCTGCCAAAAACCCATCCGAGAGTATAAGTATATTTAAATACGTTTCCTTTATTTTACGAGATCTCATAACCCGCCACAAGCAAATTTCTTGATACTACGTAATGCGTTATCTATTTTCAGCATACATTTTATTGGTACAATTATGAGAAATGATCATTGGATCAAAATAGACACGAGCCTTTATTGACAGGTCGCTATCTATGTATCTATCTATCTATCTATCGCGGTTGAGATACTGGGCTGTCAACAATGTCTTAAAGAAAGTGATATGTGAGACTTAGTAGACTTTTGTCTCTTCTCTGTGGTTCGCAAATGGCGTAAACGCTAATGAGATATTATTAACTTGGAGAACCGGAGACGAAAAAGGCCGTAAGGCCTTATAGTATTTAAGAGATACTTTATTTTGAACTAGAGAACTCTCAAGGAATTCCACATGGAAAATTCCTATCCAAAGTTATCTTTGCAATAGCTCTACTTTTTGTGTGTTTAATTTACATACATAGTATATCCTCTCGACATCACTTAAGTGTCCAGAGTTTACAAAGAGAGCTTGTTTACAATTCAAAATCCTGATCTCGGAGCTCCGCTACTACTTGTTGTAATTACTTGTTATTTATTTAATATAATTTATATAAACAACTTAGATAAAGCGTAGAATATTAGGATATACATTCATACCAAAGACCGGAATTAAAATAAGGGAAAATTATAGTTTGTATTGAAAAGAAATAAAAAATAATAATATTTTAAGGGGTTTCATCTGCTTAGAACAGTGAAAACGCTCTATAGTAAATTTTTAATGAGAATTTTTATTAGGATTGTAATGCCTTTTGTGTGACCTACTTGAATATATTTTTATGTTATGAATACTTGCACACTATGAAAGTAACTAAGAAAGTTGTTTAAATATTCTAATAGACTTAAGCCCTTAAGTTACATCTTCTTCCTCATAATTTCGTATTTGTTTTCCCCACGATTACCTTTTGTTGGTGTGGAGCAAAACTCGTTCAATCGTTACACCCACAGCATGTGTTACGCTATATATCTACTTATTACATAACTTACCTTTGTATTTAAATTGTTTGCCGATCGTCGTAAGCCAGAAAGGCAATGTCGAAGGCTGTAACGCAGCTGTGTACCAATAACATATCTAAAAACAGAAAGCAGTACTTAGTACTCTTCGGCTTAATAACACTTGATACATTTACTATTTTGTGTAAAAACAAAGTTTATTTTTTGAAAAACTTAAATGTACACTTGAAACTTAGATATAGGGATTGAAATTTCTAATGAAGAAATACATACTTAAATAAAACCGAGTTTCTTTCTCTTGTATGAAGTTTATTGGCTTGCAATCAGCAGTGATTTCCATGTCTGACCAATCTTGTCTGTTCTAAAATCAGTTGGTTAGTTGTTTAGTGCCCTACGTGGATGTGGGAGCCTTAGCGTTTTATAGTTGCGGCTTGTTCATAATTTTATTAAATACTTGGATCTACATTAATTTCAATGTAATCGGGACAGAGGAAGAGCTTCAGATGCGTCGCGAGAAGTTGCCGCCACCGTTTCCGCCCCCATTATTGCCCATTCCACCGCCTCCATTGCCTCCACCGTTGCCTCCGTTGTTACCACCGCCGTTGTTTACATTAACTCCACCTCGGGTCTTGCCATCGTAGAAGAGCTCAATATAGCGGGAGCCCATTTGCTCTCGATGGCGCTTCATGGCCACCTGGGAGTCCTCATAGGTGTCGAAGTAGGCATCAGCAGTGCCGCTGTGCAGACCCTTTTTGTTGTAGTTGATGCGCACATTTGCTGGCCGGATGGGCTCGAAGAACTGCAAAAGGAAGACGATTAGTAACCTCCAAGGGAAATTACAAAAAAAGAAATTTACCTTGAAGACGTCATTTTCGAACGAGGTGTACGGAAGTCCTCGCATATGGATGGTGTAGTGCTCGACATCGTTTCCACGGCCTCCGCCAATGGGCCCGAAGTTACCGCCACCTCCAGAGGAGTTTCCGCCGCCAAAGTTGGAGCCATTGTTGAAGCCACCACCTCCGCCGTTGTTGCCACCTCCGAAGTTTGAGTTGCCGTTTCCATTGTTGTTGTTTCCTCCAAAGTTGCCAAATCCAGTGTTTCCAAAGTTGCCGCTGTTGTTGCGACCGCCTCCAATGGGGCCAAAGTTACCGCCGCCGCCTCCGCCACCTGACGAGCCGAAGTTGTTGCCGCCATTATTGAAGCCTCCTCCGTTATTGCCACCAAAGTTTGATCCGCCATTGTTGCCAAAGTTGTTGCCACCACCGGGAGATCCAAAATTGCTGCCACTGTTGAAGCCTCCGCCGCCGTTGTTGTTGCCGCCGAAATTGCCGCCTCCATTGTTGCCGAAGTTACCAAAGTTGCCTCCGTTGCCACCGCCACCGTTATTGCCACCAAAGTTGCCAGTGTTTCCGCCTCCGCCGCCACCATTGCCGCCACCAAAGTTGCCGAAATTGCTGGGTCCAGAGTTGTTTCCGAAATTTCCGCTATTTCCCGGGTTGTTGCCAAAGTTGCCGGAGTTCATAAGGCTGGGCAGATTGTTGAAGCCTAGCATATTGTTGGCGCCAACACCAAAGTTACCATTGTTGCCCCAATCTATGTGGAATATAAAAAATCCAGAAAAAGGTTTAATTTTCAATTCATTTTAGTCAATTATTCAATTTAACAGAACAAAAACTAGAAGTTTCGTCCGTTTGCTGGTCGACAAATATATAAAGAATAATATTTAATATAAATAAATCACAACTTTACCATTGCGTCCGCCGCCAAAATCATTTCCACCTCGATTGGCGCCACGATCACGGATATCATATGGGCCAGGGCGTCCACCGTTTCCACCGCCGCCGCCGCCGCCCGTGGCTCGCTTCATCTCAGCCACTGAGCTGCGGAATATCTCAATATACCTATAGAAATTAGACCAAATTGGACAAGCATATTAGAAGTTGTAATCGCTCGGTGGATGCTAGGGTCGGTGGCATTTTCTTTTGATCGTTAAGTGTAAAATTCGTAGAATCAAACCATAAATGCAAATGCAATTTAAAAATCTGGATAAGCGCGTCACAAAGTGATCGGTTATAAAGACTTTGAGTTCATATTAATTATGGTTAGAATAAGCTCGTGTTGGCGCTTTTTCAAGTACAAGTATTAGGAGCCCCACCAGACCCGTAGCTATTGGAGATTTCTTGCTAATTTTATTGTCGGTGACTGAAATAGAAATTATTTATGGTATAAAGGTAGTTTTTTTTTATTGTAATATTTTTATGAGTATATTCTATGAATAATAATTGGTGTTCTATTTGCTCTTGTGTGTTTCAACAAGTTCACAATTGATTACCACTTTTAATATGTTTTTTTCGGTTTTTGTTGTAGTAGAGATATGATGAATAAGAAACCCACCTGTGCCCAATTTTTTCCCGATTTCGGCCCAAGGCTTGTTCAGTGTCATCCTGGCTTTCGAACTGAACAAAAGCTTCCCCAGTTGCACGACCCCTTCTGTCCATAACAAAAAGTATGCCCTCCCGATCCGTTTTGATTTCCAACCCTGCCCATGACGATAACCAACAAAGATTTATACAAATATATAGATTTTATATATATATACATTATGCAGGAGTATTAAGCTTAGATAGAGAGAAACAGAAATACAGAGGTTGATAAATGAGGTTACAGTTTGCTTCTCGCATCGCAGAACTTTGGCAGGTTCTCGGAATGAGCAAGTTTTTTTTTTAAATAAAAATTGTAAACAATGCGGCCGCGCAAACAAGGTGAGGAGGTGTTGCAATCGAGAAGTCCCGACCACAATGTACACTACAGAACCCAGTTCCTGAAGCTCTCGTAGATGTGTGAATAATGATAGGGGTTGTACCCAAAATCTCATTGGGATATGCCAACAAACAAAAAAGAAGTAAAGATTTACCGGACCAAACGGACGTGACTTTAGGGGGGAGCTGCGTGGACCGCTAACCCCACAACATCCACAAAAGGCAGGGGCCCAAATCGAATATAGAGTTTATGCAAGTGTGTAGTTAATATGAAAAGTGTAGAGTTGAAAAAGGGACCGCAGACCAAATCTCAACGAAGTGCAAAAATAAGTACATGCGGTCAACCACTGTGTTTGTTCCTTAAGGGTTCCTAGAGTACGGAAAGTGGGACAGAGTAGCGGATACTCACCCGAGAAGAACTCCTCGATCTGTTGCTCGGTGACGGCGTACGGCAGACCGCGGAGCTTCACCACAAAGGCATTGCCATGGCCGCTGATCTTTCGCATGGCTTCCTTGGCCTCCTTGGGTGTGGCGGTGAATACTGATTAGAGAGAAACAGATATGAGAGAACGTATAGTTTATAGAGTTGTCAATTTGGCAAAATAAATATTTTTAGAATTAAAAAGACTTTAAAATAATAACTGATTTGTAATCTAGCTTTGTCGCACTTTCATTATTACAATCTCTTTTGCTTGTGAATGTCACCTAAAAGCCCTTGAAAATATATATATTATGCATATTTTTATTACAATTAAACTTGATTAAATTTCAAGATAATATTGCGGTTGAAACCAAGTGCGGGCCTTTACCAAACCGCTATATTTTCAGGAAATCTCAAGTTTAATTATCAAGTACAAATACATGCAAAACCAAACCGGCTTGTTAATCAGATAATTATTCATTTCTTTAGAGTAATTCCCCAAGAGTTTCAAAGAGCAACAATTATTAAAAACGGAAGTGAATAAATGTTCTTATTTTGAGTAATCTTTCCGTATCGTCTTAGTGGTATCAATTAAGAATAATGATTTTTTTTACGTTACAATATCTGAAACTCAATAAAAGTCTTCAGATATTCGTAAAATTAAAAAATGTATCGATGACAGATCTTATATTAATAATTCGTATAACATCGGGTTTGATTTCAGATTAAGATTTTTAAGATTTAAAGATTTTTCAAAATGAGTGAGGCGAAAAGAAATTGTCAAATTCTAATAGTAATAAGGTACAGTCTACTCCTTTAACAAACCCTCAATGTAGCGGTGTCCCATGCTGGCCTTGTTCAGCTTCCGCGCCTCCTCGACGTCCTCCTGGCTGGCTACCTCCACATAGGCCTCGCCGGTATTCTTGCCGTCCACCCTGCTGGTCACCAGATGGATGCCCTGCGAGCCATTCGTCACGTTCACATTCTCCAGGAAGTCAAGAATCTCCTTGTGCGTGGCTGACCATGGCAGGCCGCGCAACCGAACGAACTTGGGGCTCTCGCCCACGTTCTCGATCTTTACGTTGGCACAGTCTCCGTCATATTGGTCATCGTCCTCCTGCTGCTGGTTGCTATCATCGTTGTAGTTGTCGCCATTGTCCTGCTGGCCGTAATTGTACTGCACGTCTGCGTTCGCCATTTTCTGGGAAGGAGGAGGGGGAAGGTGTATGTATAAGCCGGATGCATCAGATCTCGAAAGATGTCAGTTTTAACTAGTACTTCAATTATTGTAAATAAAAGCTGCGCAATTTGCTTGCCAGATGTTTTTTTTAGCCGGCGAATTAATAGCTGCGACGCCTTTAGCTTCTACCACACAAATTTTCGCACCGCGTTCGCCATTTTGGATTTCATCCACCCCCGCACAACGCAAGAGGTTATTGAAACGCTTTTCCACAATATCTACGCCAGTAACAAGCTCCAATTCATGACGCCACGACAATTACCTATTCCTGATTTCTTGCAAGTTGCTATAGCCCCTGTTTGTAATCCAGATCGCCTATTTTTCACGATTTTTCTGAGAGATTGAGAGCACGCGTCCAATTTTCTTCTAGAGATGTTAGAAAAGATGTCGATATTTTTTATAAACAAAAGAAACGTATATTTTCAGACCCAATATCGAAATATCGATATATATCGCACCGTTACTTCTAGGGCTGCAATTCTGTTTTTTTAACAACTACCATCACTAGCAAGATGTATTATTTTTTAAATTAATTTTTTTTTCAATGCAAATTTGTCTGCCAAATAAGACTATTTAAATTCAAGCTCATTTTGATCATTTTGCGGCCTGGAGCAGAAGGCTACAGGAGACTTGTGTACATATTATTATGTATGCCCTGCCTGATTATTAATGGAAAATTTACCGGTGAAAGCATCTTTGGTGAAATGTTTCACAGGTAAAAATACAAAAAATACCGCCTTTAAAATAAGCTTTTCTGTTCTTGACTTGGTCACATTGCTCTTGAACTTTACAGTATTTCTGGTATTTTTGGCCGGCGACGGTCACCCTGTGCACGAGGCTTGTTTGGGCAAGAAATTGAAAGATTCCTGTAATCTTTGTACATTTGCGTGAGTTGCCAAACACAGGACACATTTACATTTCGTTCCGGACAAAACCCGTCTACAACCGACTTGTATATATCCAGAAAACACCCGTAGCAGCGGCAGAACAGCGACAACGGTCGCGGGCAGAGCAACCGCAGAAACACCTCTTCGCTGCGAATTCACGCGACTCGGGGAGCGTGTCGTCTATCTTAGTCGTGCAGCAGCAGCAACAGCAACAGCAGCGGCGGAGAAGCAGTAGCAGCGGCAGCAACAGCAGTGTCAATTAGTAGTTTCGCATACCACCTCACTCGCACACCGCATACCACACCATACGGCTCTGCCACCCCCGCCCGCGTATCGTTTTCCCCCCGTCGTCCCGTCGGGTCCGTGTTATACAACAAATTGTTCCGTGCTCATATCGTTACGCCGGCTAAAGTCGCGCAAACTGCTGACCAGGCAGCGTTATCCCCATCCCGGCTCCGGTTTATGTGCGTGCGACCTGGTCCTAGAGGAGAAAGCGGCTGCAACTGTGTGTGCGAACTGGAACTGGCTCTAGAACTGGTCCGGACTAGCAGGTCATCGTCGTCGTAAGGGGAGCAGCCACAGCAAGGGCACAACCGCAATTCATAGGCAGCCAGCAGTAGAAGTAGTAGCAGAAGCAGAGGCAACGGCAGCAGCCCCACCGGATTCACCATGAACATAGACGACTACGAGTCGCTGCCCACCACCAGCGTGGGAGTAAACATGACGGCGGGAGGAATTGCGGGCGTGCTGGAGCACTTGGTCATGTATCCGCTGGACTCCGTCAAGGTGAGCGCCCTTCCAGCGAACCAGCTGGTAACCGGAGGAGCGTAAACAAGCAGGCATACCTAACCTCACAAATGCGCGTACACAATCGAATTTTGTGAGTGCCAAGTGCCCACTGCTTAGATATAATCGTGATGTAATTCCTCGGGCACCTCGAGTGCAGCCAAGAGCTCTCGGGGCTTCGGTTTTTGGGAGCCATAGCCACTGCCACTTTTGTGCTTATCGGAGCACGTTCCATTGGTTTATGCTGCGCCGATAAGATTAGCCGCATTGCTGGTGACAGTCGGCATGCCACTACCATTCCATTATCTCTTATCGAGCCAGTTGATCGCTTACCCTAATGTTGGTGGAGCCAGGTGATTCGCCACTTATGCATATGCAAATCTAGTCACCTGCGTCATGTTCTCCCTGCATATGTATACGCCGCGTGTGCCAGTGCTACTTCGTATTGACCGAATATCGGTCCGCCATACCCCACTGGGTTCTATTGATTTTCGTGAGTTGTGGCCGCCACATGTGTCGTCAAATGGCGTGGTGACAGCCGGCAGGCAGTTTGGTGCCAGCCTAAAGCCTGGCCGGGATTCCCGGCGTCATTATTAGAGTCTCCCCGCAGTCATTTTGACGAGTTGCGAGAGCCAGCGCAAAGAACTTTTAATTGAGCAACGGCAATCGAGGCGCTTTAATTCGCATTATTTTGCGTAGGTTTATAAATAATTACGGGCGCAGCGTTGTCATTCTGATTTCACACTTTGTCCGTCTTATCAGTGGCACTCAATAAGAGGGGCTGCTGGCGCAATGATCGGATCTATGAATCACGGAGCCGCCTACTCCGCCTCATCGTGAAGTTGTTCTATCGAGCATTTATGTAAGGTTGCCCCTATCTTCTGTCGGCTCCTAGTACCATTTAATTAGGTTTCCATAGCTCTCCAGACTCACCTTGAATTTACCTGTTTACTTGTGATTGATAGCAGCGCGATATACTATATAGGGGGTGCTATCCGGGAAATCTTATCTCCAACGCAAAGCCCACGTCCCCCGTAATTTACAACTTGGATGCTGCTGCTCTGTGGCTGACGGGCACGCCTAGAAATATATGTGCAATAAAGTGCATATGTAAGCGTGTGTATTACGTTGACGATTGCAAATATATCAGCGACTTGCTTATATATCAGCGAAAGTTTTTCCCCAGCAATGTAAATAGTATATATTTATTTTTATATTTCATTCATATCGGTTAATAGAATTGTCTGGTTTGAAACAAAAAAGTAATTGCTTTATGGAAAGTACTTAAATGAAGACTAGGCTAGCTTTAGCTTTTTATAATGCTCTCATCAGTAATTCAGATAATGCATAGAATTAACTAAATTAAACACAATATAAGGGATGTATAGCTGTTCCTATTTAGTTTCCAGTTCCGAGAAAACAAGCTATCAATTCTGTACCACTTGCAATGATGAAATTCACATTTTGAGCTCTCGACATTGCCATAGAAAGAAATGAAAAACGGGTAGACCCCGCAATTAGGTTCTGGAATATATCGCGAGTAACAATGACTGGCAGAAGAGCGTGTCTATTTGTCCAAGTTCTGCCAGCTTAGATTAACTACCAGTTAGTAGCTCTGACGCACCTGCGATTACCCATTTTATTTTAGGTCAAATTATATAAAATACTCCAACAAAGGGGACCCTTAGTATAACACAGGTCAGCTAAATTTGAAAAAGTCACAGAACCAAGAATCGGAATATATTTGTTCTCGAAGGTTTTTGATAGGCTGAACTAAAATCCGGTGTCCGAAAATTTCCTATACTTCAGGTTTTTACTTTTGAGGTTTTTCTGTAAATTCAATACTATTTGTTTTATCAAAACAATCGTTACTTTATCATAAAGTAAATTTAAAATTTAAATTTAGAAAAATCTTAATAGATCTTTGATTTATCGTCTTTTGAATATATATATATTTATTTTTATATTTTTCCATATATGGGCATATCCGCCAAAAGGTAAACCACGGCCGAAAAAAAAAATCTTCGTAATCCTGGTTTCTTTTGGTGTATTGTCATAAAGAAATGTCCAAATTTTCATAATACAATGGATCCATATCATATCTCAGTTGTTTTCTGGAAGAAATTAGCCTGAAAAGTGAAAAAATGTATTTTTTTCACTTTTTACTAGTTTTAAAGGCATGTTTATTTTAATTTATTTCGCAAGGAAAACGTATGTTATGTTGGGACTTTTTCTACCAAATCTCTTTATTACAATCTAATAAGAATAGAAAAATTCAAAAGAGAGCGAAATATTGTTCAATTAACTGTTAATTTTAAGTTTACTTTTTATCTATGTTTAAATCGTACGTTCGCGACCCAAAACATAATGTTTTTGTCATTGCTTTGCGATTAGTGCAAGCAGGTAGATAAAACTTCTTGTCTAAAGTCATTTCGGTAGTACTATCTGAAATATATAAAAACTTCTTAGTTACTACTAACCATTGATTTTATATTGATTTTCAAAGTAGCGTACGTTCGCGACCGTGAATATTTTTTTTTAACTTTTATGTTTTTTTTTTTTGCTTAACAAGGATATAAATATTGTTAGATGGCTAAAATAAAGGACAAAAGTAAAAATGTGTAAATTAAACACAGTTTAGACAGCCCATTATTTATTTAAAAAAATATGAATATATTCATAAAAAAGTAGTATTTAAAAAAAAATTAAACAAACACAGCATGTTGCTTATTTTTTGTTTAGCACTACATTTTTATGAATAACTTCATATTTCCTTAAATAAAAAATAGGTTTAACTAAATTTTATTTTTTTTTTCCATGTTGGAAAAATCGTACGTTCGCGACCCGTACGTTCGCGACCAGTACTTAATTCAATTTAAAAAAAACCAATGGAGATATTTCTTTGGGAAAGGACTCAATAGAAAGCTACATGATTCCATTTTGAAAGTAAAGTTATTGCTTTAGAATATTCCGTCCCAATTCGCAGATTTCTTCATTTTACTAGATTAAGCCAAAGTCGACTTCCATTTTTCGTACGTTCGCGACCGCATGTTTTTTTGGCAATATTATGAAAATGAAAACTCAACGAAGCCCATCATTTTCACTAAGCAAAGAGCTAACAAAATACTATCGAATGGCAAAAAAAAAGTTTCGGAAAACATTTTTTTTATATTTTTTTTTGCACTTAAAGCGTACGAACGTACGTTCGCGACCCGTGGACATGCCCATATGTATATTGTCAAAAACTCCGAAATCTATAGAAAAATATCAATAGAAATTCAAGATATGATAATAATTTTTCCGAATTTTGAAACCTAGTTGTTTAGGACAACAAGAGTTCTTTTAGATAATTCCGTAATGACGGTTAAGAAAAAATAAAACGTAATAAAGTTACAGCACCTTACAAGTACCTAAAAACCGTACTTTTTGAAAACCTGTACATTTTCTTAGACCGGATTTGAGGCATCAAAAACTATATTCCGGCTCTTGGTTCCAAAAAGCTGTCGATATGTGTAATTTAAAAATATGCAATTATTTTAATCGCTCTATTACTGCGTTTTTATAGACCCGCATGCAGAGCCTCTCGCCCCCCACAAATAACCTGAATATACTGTCAACCTTTCGGAACATGGTGACACGTGAGGGTCTTTTAAGGTAAGCATAGGCGGGGGAACACACAATTGATCACACGACTTACGCCTCCCTGTGATCCTTAGACCCATTCGTGGAGCTAGCGCTGTGGTCTTGGGCGCTGGGCCAGCGCATTCACTTTACTTTGCTGCCTACGAAATGACCAAGGAGGTGGCGGCCAAGTTCACAACAGTGAGCAACCTCAACTATGGTAAGCTTTGAGCAGAAACTAGCGTAAGCCATCAATAACTAAAAACGTTTGGATTTTGCAGTGATTTCGGGAGTGGTGGCCACACTCATACACGACGCCATCTCCAGTCCCACGGACGTGATCAAGCAGCGAATGCAAATGTACAACTCACCCTACACATCGGTGGTATCCTGCGTCCGGGACATTTACAAGAGGGAGGGCTTCAAGGCCTTCTACAGAGCCTACGGCACGCAGTTGGTCATGAACCTACCATATCAGACAATACATTTTACCACATACGAGTTCTTCCAGAACAAGGTAAGAGTCCGTAAAAATTCCGATGCTTTGGCAGCAAGAAGTAACCCACCGACTCCTTGTTCTTTGCAGTTAAATCTGGATCGAAAATACAATCCTCCGGTGCACATGGCCGCTGGAGCGGCAGCTGGAGCTTGTGCGGCGGCCATCACTACGCCCCTGGACGTTGTGAAGACCCTATTGAACACTCAGGAGACTGGTCTGACGCGCGGCATGATCGAGGCCAGCCGAAAGGTATGAGTCCAACAACTTCTTATACCCTTTCAGGGTATTATATTTTAGGCAGAAGTTTGCAATGCAGTGAAGGACTCATTTCCAACTCTTTAAAGTATAAATTTTCTTGATCAGCAACCGAGTCGATCTAGCCATGTCCGTCTGTCCGCTGAACTAGTCTAGCAACAGCTTTGCTGTTTTTTTTTTTAGCATACTTTATACAAACCTGGGTGTCCCGAAATTAGTTATCTTACTTGTTTAAATTGTCTTTAAATTTGCTCACCGTTCTATCAACTTCTTTCAGATCTACCACATGGCTGGACCATTGGGCTTCTTCAGGGGCATGACCGCCCGTGTGCTCTACTCGATGCCCGCCACGGCAATATGCTGGTCCACGTACGAGTTCTTTAAGTTCTACTTGTGCGGCTTGGACCGGGAACAGTACAAATCGTCAATTGCTGGACGCTCGGAAACCCGCAAAGCGGACTACGTGCTGCCCAGGACCGATGATGAGGAGCAGAGCGATCAAGATCGCGACAGGGAGACGGTAAAGGACACCGCCGCGACCCTACACCCCGCTCCCACATCGGTGAACACCTCCGGTGCCATCAAAACGGTGTGTGAGCTGTCGACGCGACCAGTCGCGCCCACAATTAACCTGCATACGCGGCACACGGACGTCAAGAGTCCGTACGAGCGGCGGGGCTTCTCCACGTAGGCAGCACCGGCGGGCGTGGCCGCGAGCGAGGCCTGCGTTCGAAACGTTTGCAGCAGCAGCGACAGCTAAACCTAAGCGTAGCTATTAGTTGGCGGTCGGGGTCAGGGACGTTGGATCTGGAGACTGTTGGCAGGTGGACGACGACGACACGGTGTTTGAAACGCCTGCGGGCGCTCCGCTGACCGCCCACGTCCACCTCCAGCCCCCTGACCCCAGCTGCTTGTATGAATACTCTGCGGGGAGTCGGTGAGAGAGTTTTATCACTCCATAGTCGGAGGTTAAATCGTAGTTGTTGTTCTGCACAAAACTCTCGCTCTCACACCTACGCGAAACTCCAAACACACACACACACACAGCCTACACACAAACACAGTTTTAGGAACAATTCGAAATTCTTGTTAAAAGTAATGCTAATGATAATGAAAATGTATCTGTTATATTTCGAAATGAGAGAACCTTCATGTAAAATACTATTACCTACTATTATGTATTACAATTATGATTTACTACATTTATACACACTTTTTTTTTTTAACAAGTTTCAAAGTATATACGCCTATATATTTATGTTGATCGTTGTAAAGTAATCGAGAGCTAAAAAGTGTAAAGCTTCAATGATTGGTAATCAAATTACACACACTGAAATCTTCAAAACTGAGATGTTACAAAATATAAACGAACCGCAGATAACAGAGAACCAGCGAACAAACTGCAAGCACGTGTCTCCCCAGATTGCCCAATCCAAACCCGATCCTAGTTGTCCTCGTTTCTCAGCATTGTTTTACCCATCAACCATCACACATAATCTTTCGGGGACAGCCAGAAACCCCACAAAACACAATAATGATGCATCATATTATTACGTTCACTGTTATTTTTGTTTATATATATGCATAATATATATATATACGACTAGGCTACACCGACTATTATTAAACTGTAAGGTGTAGCTGTAAAATTACAATTTTATTGTTAAAGAATTCAAAAGAAAACAAAAGCAAAAGATGACCCCATTGGCAAAGCGACAAAGAAGCCCATTAAACGGATGAAAGAAGAAACATTTTGTTTTATGTCAAATGCATCAACAACAATTGCCTGTTTTTTATTTTATCCGGATAACAGTTCGATTCGATATAGCTAGAGGATTGAGTCCAGGCCCCGGCGACGAGAACGCTGCGACAGGATTGGACGGGGCTTGTAGAGATCATCGTTGGTGTACCTTTGCTGCTGGCAGAGCTTCTGGCTGAATCTCCGGGCGTTCAAGGCGTCTGCAGAATAAACAAGCGCATTAATCACTCCTCGCAGAATCACTCTCACAGCGTCGGCAACCGAAGGTCGCGCAGAGAGGCGCTTACCCAGCACGGCTTAGCTTTGGCTAGGGCCAGCCTCACACACAGCTACATATGTTTATTAATTTATTAAATTATGTGGATGCATGTGGAGAGAAAATAGAGGTGGTAGAGAAATCACAATGAGGATGAGCGTGTGATGTGTTAGTTGTGGGATGGATCGAAAATGTCTGGGATATTCACTAGATTCGATTCACCCTGAGATCACTTCCCTTGCATACAAACTGACTGGCTTGACAATACTTGATACTTTGTTATGAATCAACGTAGTACGTACCGCGCTCCTGCTTCTCGAGAGCCTCGTTCTCCTTGGAATTGACGCTCGCCTCGGAGGGCGTGGGCGATGACTTCGGCTCTTCCTGACGCAGCCTCTTCGTGGGACTGCCAGAGGTGCTGCTACCCAGGGTGGCGAATAGCGGCGGCGGTGTCGATTCCCGTCCGACTTGTGGCTGTTCCTGGAGGCTGCTACATCTCCGCTTAACTCCACTTCTCCTGCGAGTCTCCCGTATGTGAGCCACCTCTACCTGATCATGGTCCTCGCCTAGCTGGTTCACCAGATTCTGGTTATCCTCAATCAGTCTATTGATGAGCTGCAGACGGTCCGTAAACTCGTCAGCGTTTTCCTCAAAGTGGGTTACAGGGTCTTCAGCGAGTTCATCAGCACTAGAGTTAGGGATTGGTGGGGCGGGCATATGCTCTGGTTTCACAGCCTCTTTCTGCATATTCTCTGGTAAGCTTCCATCTGAAGGCCCTGCAGGATCCTCCGATATACCCTCCGGTTCTACTAATTGCGCTTCCAAGCCATCAACGCGTTTGCTTTCCTCGTCAGGAAAATTAGGTACGCATTCAACCTTATCATCCTTTTGAGGTTCTCCACTTAACCGATTCTCTTGGGCAGCCGGCTCCTCTGCTCTCTGATCTAAACTTTTCTCAGCCACCTCGTCCTTTTTGTCATCTTCCTCCTTCTGTGACTGGCTACCAGCAGTCAGTTCAATAAAGCTACTTGACGATTGCTGCAGTATGTCGCTGACGATAACAACGCCATTAACACTGTCACAGGCGCCATTGCTGCCACTGCCACCATTGGAGTTACCGTTCGTGCCGTTGCCATTCTCCACCGCCGACTCGACGGCTTTTTCCGGCGCCCCCTCTATCCGGGAGCTCTTTGGTGGACAACCAGAACCAGGAGGTTTGCCCTCATCGTTGGAGTCGGAACTCCTGCGCTTATTTAGCTTCGTCTTGCTCTCCGTGTGATCATCCTGAATTGGTGCTGTCGTGGCGCTGTTAGATTTGTGGCGATCACGATCGCGCCCTCGGTCTTGATCCTTCCTCTTGGAAGAGGACGAGGAACTACTGTTGCTGTGGTGGCTCCTACTGTGACTCTCCCTTTCCTTATCCTTGTCTTTATCCCGGTCCGATCGGGACGAAGATGAACTCGATTTGTGTTTCTTGTGCGAGGAGGAGGAGGAGGATTCGTGGCGCGACGAGGAAGTGGATGACGTCCGCTTGGAGGAGGATGACTCCCGATGACTTTTGCTCGATGAGCTTGTAGAGCTCCTGTCATTTTTGGAGCTGCTGCTTCTATGCTGCGAGCTGGATGAGCGCGATGAGGAGTGTTTGGAACTGGAGCTTGAGGAATGTTTGCTGTGCGATTTATCCCGACTGCGATCGCGGTCACGGTCACGATCCCGATCTCTGCTCCTACGCCGCTGCTTCTCATCCGAGTGACTGTGATGCCTTCGCTCCTTATCTTTATCCTTATCCCGTGAGCTACTCTTAGACTGTGACGACGTCAAGGAAGGCGAGGCTGTAGCACCTTTGAGTGCCTCAGCCTCTTCTGGAAGGGCAAATACTTTGGTCTTCTCCTCCTTGACTTTGTCTGCCTCGGTGTGCGGCTCCTGTAGTTCCTGTTTTAAGGGACTCTTGCAGTCCTTCAAGCTGGCATCCTCAACAACAGGCTCTGAAAGGGATCCAATGCCACTCTCCGTAGCTGGCGAAGTGGCAGGGGGCTCTACTTTTTGACAGGGTTCACTTTCTGACTTAAGTTCTGGCGGGGTTGATGGCTGTGCAGGTTCAGGTTTTATTTCTGGAGGTGGTGAAGGCTGCACAGGTTCTAGCTTGACTTCTGTAGGTTCTGGTGGCTGTACAGGTTCCTCCATAATTTCTGGTGGTGGCGGTGGTGGGGGCTGCACAGGTTCCGGCTCAACATCTGGTGGTGCTGGTGGTTGAACGGGCTCCGGCTCAACTTTCGGTAATGGTGGTAGTGGCGGTTGTGGAACATGTTTCGGCTCGATACTGGCATTGTTAGCATCATCTATATTCGCCTTCACCTCCGACATAATGGCATCTTCAATGGACAGTTCGAGTGGACCACCGTTCGTGCCCGACACGGAACTTCTTCGCTCAGTGCCTAAAAGAAATATATTTATTAAGAATAAACATGTTTTGGGACAAACTCACCCTCAAAGGTAATTGCATCCTGCTTAATATCAAAGTGCAGTTGCCGACTGCAGTTGTCCACGCCGACAGCGACACTCGCATCGCTGGAGTTTTCGCTGAACTTTGGCATCTGCGCCTCCTCCGATATATTGGCGGGCATGTTGGCTATCAGCTCTACGCTGTTGCTGGCGGGCGCGGCACGCTGTATCTCCGCCACAGACTCCGTGGAGGAGGCCATCGTGAGGCGGCTGTCGCTGGACACCTGTGAGAGCTGCGACGCCTGCGAGACCCCATTGACCGAGTCCGAATGATTCAGCAAGCCATTGTTCAGGTCTTTACTCGAGCCAGGCTTGTCATCGCTCAACGGCTCGTACGAGGGCGAGGTGTCCTCATCAAAGTTCCTCTCGTCGTCAACTCCGGGCGGCAGGTCGTCGTCCTTACTCTCGTCCTTCAGGTCCGACTTGACGGTGGCCTGGTCCGAGTCCGGACTGATCTGTTCCAGGTCGGTGGGCATCAGCCCATCAGCGCCAGTCTCCACCCTGAGCAGTCTGCTGCCGTTCATGTGGCCAGCAAATGGCGGCAAAGGCGGAGCGGGCAAGAGAGGCCCGGGTGGCCTCGGCGGCGGTGGGGGCGGGGTGATGCCCAGGTACTTGTAGACGATGCTCTCGATCTTTGGCTCGAATATGGTGGCGACCTTGGGGTTGACCACCTGGTCCACGATTTGGTCCACACCCTTGTTCAGCACCTCGGAGCTACAGCACACGAGATGTCTATTTATGTTAACAAATCTTCATCCCATGTACTCACTCTAGGAGGTGCTTGCGCAGCCTCTCCCGCAGCTGCACCTTGTTGGTGTCTGGCGTCCAGTGCTGCTTGGCCAGGAAGTCGTTGACCGCAGTCTCCACACGGGTGCGAACATTCTGGTACGCCGGCTTCGTGTCCACGTCCGCCAGGCAGCAGTTGAAGCGAAACTCGTCGAAAACTCCCTGGGACTTGACCTCAGCAATGAGCGTCTTTATAAATTCGTCCATGTTGTGTTGTTCAGCTTCATAAACATCGACATCGATGTATATTTGTTAACATGGGATTTACGCGGATTTACGGCTCGGCGGCAGCTGGTCACACTTGAATCGATTACAGATAACTCGTGAAGGGCTCACGACACGACATTGGCGCTGCCATAAAACACGGGAAAACCCACGGGAACAAGGGAAAAAAAAACCCTAAAAACCCCTTCAGGCTCTTGAACCGTTGATAGTTCTTACTCTGGTAAGAGGCTAAAAAAAAAAAACAATTTTATCATAAATTCTATCGATGCTTTTAAAACGGCGATATCTCGACTATTATATTTTTTTGCACTTTGGTCACACGGTAATCTAGAGATCGGAATTAAATTTTAAAGCTCCTTTATTTATTTGTTTAAAAGCGCATACTCGCAATACCAGCGTCATGCAACCCGGTAACAACCTTAACGGACTCTCCCAAGTGCCTTGCGAATCAGCACTTGATTCAACCACTGAAAATAATTCCGTAAGTGCGAGTATTCCCTATTTAACTCTTGCTTAAAAACTGGGAACACATCATGCATAATTTCAGGAAAGTAGCGATTCGGATTTGGAAATTCTGAGCAATGGAGTTGGCGATCAAACCCGGGTCATCCAAGGACTTAAAAGAACTATTAGACGGAAGCAAACCGAAATAAACGAGCTGACTGGCAAGTTAACTATAGCAGACATTCACTTGGCGAGTGAAAAGGAAAAGACCAGAGATAAGGAGGTTGTTATTAGCTCGCTAAAAACATCAATCGATGTAATTACACAAAGTAAGGACTTAATCATAAAAGCCCTGCAGAGTCAACTGATTGAACTGCAAACTTCGCTCGACTCAGGCAAGAATAAACCTGTAACAAAGGATTGTCAAAACCCAAAGGTAACTGAAAGCGATGTAATGACAATTTACAATCTTAGTGTCAAAATTGAGGAAATGGGATTCGAACTTAAGCAAAAAAACAATTTACTATCTGATTTGAAAGATAAAACGCAGAAATATGAATGCAGTCTAAGAGAGAAAGATGAGCACATCTCAAAGCTCGAAGCCCAAGCGGAAAAAGATACAGCCAAGATAAGTGAATTGCTTAAAAAACAATCTAAGGGTGGGGCTACGGTAGATAACAGTAATGCCCTAGTGCTTCTTAACTGCACCAAAATCCCTTCAATTAAATTTGTGTCACTTCCTCCAGCCAGCCGCTTCGCAGTAGTTTTTGAGGATCTCCCGTCAGCTGGTCCTGGTTGGATGGTTATACAGCGTCGAATCGACGGACGTGTTGCATTTGATACTAAGGGATCGAACCTGGATTGTTTTAATGGCTTTGGTGACCTAAGCAGAGAATTCTGGCTTGGTTGTGATAAAATACACGTGTTGACTGCAAGCAGAAGACACGAATTATATATTGAACTCGTGGATTTCGATGATGCGAAAGCTTTCGCTAGATATGATCACTTTGTAGTTGGCGGCCAAGCAGAACACTACAAGTTGAAAAGTCTCGGTCAATATTCTGGAAATGCTGGAGATTTCTTGCGGAAAAGTGAAAATAATCAATATTTGGTTATTAAAACACTTCCTGGTTCGGAGATATACTTCGAATTCTTCGGGTGGTGGATCGGAGCTGAATGGTAAACATATATGTTATTGAAATTTTCAGCAATTTGAATGGAAAGTACTACGACTGTAAGACCTCATTGGACACAGACAATGGGATTTGGTGGGGTCTATGGAATTTGGGGAAACGTCATTCTCTTAAATCGTGTAAAATGCTTATAAGACCATACCGTAAAAGGATATAGTAATGTCATTTCCATTGAAATCCATTTGAATAGCTGAATTAAAAAAAAAAAAAACCAACCCAGGTTCTGAATTTGACATCTATCATAACTAAGCTAAAAATGCTTTATTTTCAATTCGGAAAACGGTTTGGTGCTGTCTTTTTTAAATTAAAATTTTAAGAAATCACTCTTTTGGTCAAATTTTGACAATTTGAGTGATCTAATCCATAATGAAATTTTTGGAAAAAGGGTTAAAAATTTTGTTTTTCTTCAGACATGGCTAAAACTGTTCGTCTGATGATGCTTAACAAGAATATATGTACATGTATATACTTTATAGGGTAGGAAATGACTCCATCAGTGCGTTGTTAGCTTCTGATTGCAATTATAATATTCTCAAAAAGTATGAAAATATTCGCATTTTTCCTGAATTCCGATCACATTGTGGGTTAAATGAGCCACTTGATCCGTTCGCGATCCTTTTTCTATGGTTATCCGGGTCTTTTTCAAGGAAAATCTAGCTTTTCCGCAAGATCCTCGAAAAATGAAGAAAAAGAGGAAACTTTCCTAGCCCAGTCTGGCAACACCAAGAACCGCGAGTCAGTGTGACCAAGTGCCGCGGAGGGGCAAATTCGCTCTTTTTATGGATGCCAGGTACGGTCACTCAACAGCGTTTTTGGCGCACGCGAGCGAGCGCTTGTTATTTGGAATTAGTTTTCTTTTGTATTTGGTTTATAGGTAGCGAAATTAATCTACATAATGAAATTGACCGCGGGTTCACACTCCGAAATAGAGGGTGGAGGAGCCCAAAGCAATACACTGCTCCATTCCGCGTCCGAACTGGCCACCGACGAAGGAGCTGCGGGCAACGCCGAATCGGTGGCATCAGAAGTTTTGGACGCCCAACAGCCCACGGAGCACCAACCAAAAGTCACAGAAACTCCAAGTGCAGCTGCCGATGCCGAGGCGACGGATCAGGCGGACCCTGATGCGGACGTGGACACCCATACGCTTACAGGCAAACACCAGCAGCAGCAGCAGCCACGGCGCTCCGCTGTGATCAGTGAGTACAACAATAGAGCGTTCCCCGCCTTATGCCGACCATATGCTAATGTGCATGCTTGCTGTACGCCTCCGTGTGTCGTTTCAGGGAAGCGCGATCTAATCAATTTACAGTCGAACCTGAGCCCCAAATACATTGGCTTTGCCAACGCCAACTCACCCACGCCGTTATCCGACTCTGACGACACGGTTCGCTCGACACGCCGACGCGCCAACCAAGCGGCGGCTGCCCTCAACAGCAGCAGTACTGGCGAGATCCTGTTCCAGGACAATGCATCACCCAATACCACCAGGGAAGGTGACACCCTAAGCGGCGCAGGCGCGCAGCTGCACGACCGCGGCGGAAGCCAAAGCTACATGAGCCCCATCGAGAAGCTGTTGATCAAGAACGGCGCCAATTCGCCCAACAGCACAGGCTTTGAGGCGGATGCCGAGGACCATGGGAGCATGCAGGTTCGAAAGCAGTTAAAGCAGCGCAAAATGAAGCGAATGACCAAATCGAAGGCAGGCGAGGCCATTGCTGACATTGAAGAGAAGCCAGAGTCCCAGGACAAGGAGGGTCCTTCCAATGAACAGACCTCGAACGAAAATAGCCAAATCGCACTCATTATTAAATCCGAGACTGATGCTGAGACTGAAGCTGTGCCTGCCGTGCAGCTGGTTGTGAGTCCGAAGGATAGTTCCTGCTTGCAAGCCGAAGTGGATATGCAAACTAGCGAGTTGGCTAAAGCTGAAACTATCGTAAGCGAAGAAGCAAAGGAACTAACATTTGCCTTGCCCATGGCCGCCTCCACAGAGGTGGATATGAGGTCACCACCACCTGACCTGAGTTCCACTGCCTCCGAGGTGAATAGCATGGTGAAATCGCCCTCCTCTGTGAGCATAGACAGCGCCAAGGGTATGTCCATTGTCACCGATCCCGGTTGGCCCACCTATCAAGTGGGTGATCTGTTCTGGGGCAAGATCTTCACGTACTGCTTCTGGCCGTGTATGGTGTGTCCGGATCCGTTAGATCAGATCGTTGGCAACGTGCAGAGTCATCCACAGCGGGCGTCCGTGGACAATACATCGATGCCCATCCAGGTGCATGTGCGCTTCTTCGCGGACAACGGAAGGCGCAACTGGATAAAGCCTGAAAATCTGCTGCCCTTTGCCGGTCTCAAGGCGTTCGAGGAGCAGCGTGAGGAAGTGCTGGTCCGGCATGGTCCAAGGAGCGCCAAGTACCGGCAAATGGTGCCCAAGAAGACGAAGATTGCCATTTGGCATCAGGCCATTGATGAGGCCCAGATCGTGACCCAGCTCCCGTACGCCGAACGTCTTGAGAAGTTCTTTGAAATCTATGAGAGCGTTGTGTAAGTGTTTATGCTTTTTTTTTTAGCAATAATTTTAATCCAATAATCCGATCCCGATCGTGACCTTTGGTGTAATCGCAATCTGAAACAGCTCTTCCCCTTCCCCTATTTCCAGCACTATTAATAAGCAACGGCGCAAACGAACCAGTTCCATGATGCAGGACACCTCGGATGTGGGCAGCAGTCTGTACGACTCGAATGACAATCTGCACAACAGACCACTGATGCTCGACCTGAAGCGGGAGCGGTCCGAGTCTCCCTTCAGTCCCGCCTTTTCACCCGTCAAGGTCAAGAACGAGATGCGGGCCAAACGGCGTAAGCTGAGCGACGGCAACGAGGCTGAAACTGGCACCTCGAATTCCCTGGCTGTGACCCCATTACCAGGCCAGGTCCAGGCCCAAGCTGGAAGCAGCACTGATAAGATCCTCACTCCGGATGCCAGCATCTACGAGAATCCCGAGTTCGGCCAGCTTTTCGATGCTGTCAAGGAGTACGTGATGGTGCACCGGTCGGAGGAGAGGGTGGAGAAGGTTTTGCTCGGCGTGGTCAGCAACATCTGGTCGCTGAGGTACATCCAGATGCGTGAGCTGGAGCGGGACATAGCCAGCGGCGATATGGATCAGCAGCTTGGTTCTTCGGTGTTGGAGCGTGGTCGGGGAGTTGGCACCATCAAGCGGCTCTCGAATCGCTTAAAAACGCTGATGGTACGACGCAGCATGACACCTGTGGTGGCGCCCAGTCCTACGTTCACGGAGCCATCGGCGGAACGCCGGATCTTGGAGGTGCCGAAGATCAAGAAGGCTCTCAACCGGCCCATTGACGAAGTGGTCCAGGACATCCTGCAGCTGGACAGCAAGTATCTCTTTCGTGGGCTAACCCGCGAGCCGGTGTGCAAATACTGCTACGAGCCGGGCTACGAACTGCAGCGATGTTCCAGCGGCTGCAACAGCTGGCTGCATGCCGACTGTTTGGAACGCAAGAAGTCGGGACAGAAAATGCCCAAGGCAGGCGGTCAAAAGAAGGACTTGTCCCTCCAACCGTCCACCTCCAAGTCGCCCAGTCCTACCGATTCGGAACACATAACAGCCGATGCCGCGGTGTACACCACAAGCAGCACTCCCTTGGTGTGTCACGAATGCGAATCAGGCCAAGTCGAGGGTTGTGTTATATGTCACCAGATAGAGCCGCCATCTAACGAGGAGGAATCCCAGCTACCACAAGCCGCCACCGAGAATAATCTTCTGACCTGTGGCCAGCCCATGTGCGGCAAGCGCTTTCATACGGACTGCTGCAAGTACTGGCCCCAAGCCAACACCAGCAAGCCTTCGCCGCGTTGCCCGCGGCACGTGTGCCACACCTGCGTGTGGCTCGATCCCAGCGGCAAGTTTCAACAGGTGGGAAACTCCAAGTTGGCCAAGTGTGTCCGCTGCCCGGCCACGTATCACCAGGACTCGCATTGCATTCCAGCCGGCACCAGGATGCTCACTGCCACCCACATCATCTGTCCGCGACACAGCATAAACAAGTCGGACGCGCACCTCAACGTAATTTGGTGCTGCATCTGCGTAAAGGGCGGCGAACTGCTCTGCTGCGAGACCTGCCCCATCGCGGTGCACGCCCACTGCCGCAATATTCCCATCGAGAAGAGCGAGAACTACATCTGCGAGGAGTGCGAGAGCGGACGAATGCCGCTGTACGGCGAGATAGTGTGGGCCAAGTTCAACAACTTCCGCTGGTGGCCGGCAATTATCCTGCCGCCCCCCGAGATACCCAAGAACATATTGAAGAAGCCCCACGGAGACAACGATTTCGTTGTGCGATTCTTCGGCACCCACGATCACGGTTGGATATCGCGGCGTCGTGTTTACCTTTACATTGAGGGCGACAAGCTCGTAGGAGATACTCAGAGGACAAAGACTCTGTTGCACCGATACTACAACACTGGCGTGGAGGAAGCAACGCGGTTTCTGCAGATCGTCAAGGAGCGCCGGAAGGAACAGGCCATTGGCCGGCAGAGCGCCAGTAAGCTGCATCCGCCGCCCTACGTGAGGATCAAGGCCAACAAGGCGGTGCCGCCATTGCGCTTCACTCCGAACATGGAGGATATCAGTGCCTGCGGCTGCCCATCCGATGCCGAGCATCCCTGCGGCCCCGACTCTGGCTGCATCAACCGCCTGCTGTTTAACGAGTGCAATCCCGAAATCTGCCGTGCCGGCCAGCGTTGCGAGAACCAAATGTTTGAGCTGCGCAAAACGCCCCTTTTGGAGGTGGTCTACATGAACGAGCGGGGATTCGGACTGGTGTGCCGGGAGCCCATTGCCCAGGGTGATTTCGTGATTGAATATGTCGGCGAGGTGATTAACCACGCCGAGTTCCAGCAGCGCATGGTTCAGAAGCAGCGGGACAGGGACGAGAACTACTACTTTCTGGGCGTGGAGAAGGATTTCATAATCGACGCGGGACCGAAGGGCAACCTGGCCCGCTTCATGAATCATTCGTGCGAGCCGAACTGCGAGACCCAGAAGTGGACCGTGAACAGCATCCATCGCGTGGGTCTCTTTGCCATCAAGGACATACCCGCGGTACGTAAAATAACTTTGAGAACACAGAGCATTTTGATAAGTTTCCTGATTTCCCTGAGCAGAACACCGAGCTTACCTTCAACTATCTGTGGGCTGACCTCATGAACAACCGCAAAAAGTCATGCTTCTGCGGGGCAACACGCTGTTCAGGGGAGATCGGTGGCAAGCTCAAGAATGTCCCAGCCAAGGTGAGTAGGATGTCCACAAATTAATTCAGCTAATAATCTTAATCTTAAATTTCATAAAGTAAACTAATCTTAATTTCCCCCTTCAGGAGGCAAACAAGGGAAAGACCGCCGATAAACTGAAGCAGATGCGTCGCGGGAAAGGTGCTCCTGCCTTTCGCATCCATGTCAAGAAAATTAAGAAGCCCACATAGCCAAGAAGCACCCAAAAGGGGTTACCTAGGCTTATGAATTATGATGACTCAAGCTATATATTTTTTAACATTCATTGTTTTTGTATTGCGGAGCCGAGCCTCCGCCTTTTACCTGCGCCACCTGTATTTATTTACCACACAGTTAGTTACTTACGTTTAGTAGACCAATTGGTTCGCAGTTTGTTCACCAGCATAAAGTTATTAAAATAAACCAAGATGCTCTTTTAAGCGTCTACTCGTCTATATTTATATAAAATGGTAAAGTTTAATCAATCAGTTCCGTATGGATGATATAGTTTTGGTTTTCATTTCACGCCTGGAAAACATTTGTTCTTATTTCAAGGTTTTCGGTTTTAGTTGTAGTAAAGCTAGCACTTTGGCATATATAAACTCGCATATGACTATAAAACTAGACATATCCAAGGCTAAGATCTAAAAGAGTATGCACTTTAATCTTAAGTGGATGATATACACTATACAATGAGTACAAAAAAAAAAGAGTCTGTTTCAAAAGTAAAGCAAGGCCCAGCGTCGGTTAGGGCGTTGCTTCGGCAAAGTGGCCAGCATTAAATTTTGGCACAATGGCGTCGATCTTCTTGACGATCGTATTGAGCGACTCCCGAGACATCTCGTAGAGCGTGTTGAGTGAGATCAGGCGCAGGCCCTGCTGGTTGCACACCTCGATCACGGACCACTTCTCCAGCAGCTTCAGGCAGTTGCGCACAGAGTCCGTGGATATGCTCTCAGCTGGAATGCAAAATCAAATTCAAGTAACACTCGGCGGTGGCATTGCGATGGTCCTTACCATAGAGGCAGCTGCCACGCCTGACCTTGCCGGTCAGATCGTTGATCACAAAGCTAATGAACTCGGACTCCAGCATGGAGTTCCGGTGGAGTATTTGCAGGGAGTGCGCCACAGTCACGTATGTCCAGGCAAAGGGCGCCAGCACCTCGCAAATGTAACGCTGCTGCTGCAGTGTTTCGCTGGCGAACAGCAACTGTGTGGCATCACCGTCACTATCACCGTTGGCCACGTGCAGATAGTCATCCTCAGCGTCGTCATCGAGACAGTCGGCGGCCAGGCTGCGAGCCAAGCGCTTTGATTCCTCGGCATTTTCTACCTCGACGTCCAACTAATCACAAAAACATGAATCCCTTAATACAATCTAAAATGGGATTTCATAAGGACTATGCTACGGTACCTGCTCTGCACGGATGCATCCGCTGATCAACAGATCGTCCAAGTGCTTGTAAAGCAAGCTCTCCAGCACTTGCGTGGGCTTGTTCAATATGAACTCATATCGATAGATCTGGCAGTTCTCCAAGGCATTGTCCATCAGCTTCTTGCGCGACACCTTGGCTTCGTTTTTGTTCTCAACCTCCGACAGCAGCGCATGGAACGTGGTCAGCAGTATTGAACTCAGGGCAAAGTGCGGGGTCAGCATGTTGGAGTAGTAGGCCAGCTCAATAAAGCTTTCCACGGAACTCACAGCCCTAATGACCAGGCGACCGTTCTCATCTCGAGTGCGAGTGACTAGGCCTAAAATACAAACTCAATTAAGCAAGATGTAAAACACACACATGTACACAGCGCATTAGCTACCTGAGCCAAGCAGGTCGCAGGCGTATGCCAGGATCTGGGAGGATTCACCGGAAAACCCAATGTCTTTACAGCCGTATAAAGAGTTTCGTAAGTCGTCCAAGGCTGCGGCCAGGATTTGCTCCTCGGCGCCGTTTCGGTAGCGGGTGAGTAGGAGGAAAGCAAGCGCATTGGTAGACATCACAGAGGTGGCTGCCGCACAGTCGAAGACCACCTGGCGCGAGATGCTTTCGATGAGATTGCGGTGCTCCTCGCACACCACATCGGTGCCGTACAGCGAGGATGTGGACTGATTGTGCTGGAGGGTTCTAGAATTAAGATAATTATAGATGGAACTTGAACATTAAAAGCTGTTTATATGATGGTCTGTGACCCACCTGGCTGCTGGCTTGTATACCTTCGCCATGTTGCCATCCTCCCGAGCGATTTTGTTGTACGAGTTGACTAGCTCGCGTATCGAGTACGGCTCGTTGAAGTCGATTCGCATTAGGCCGTAGTTTGATCGAAGGGCCTTCCATATGCCTGAAATTGCCTTGCTGAATGACTCGGGGATTTTCTTCTCGCCCTTTTGCTCCCGCACGAAATTCCCGTCCACCAGTCGTTCGTAATTCACCGACACGGGCACCAGCAGAGCGTCCGGTATGCTGCCGTCCATGAAGGCATTCACGATCACAGATAAGATGCCGCCCTTCGGCATGCAGGGCTTCCCGGTGCGCGTCCGTCCGCCCTCGATGAAGAACTCGACGTTGTGGCCCTGCTTCAAGGCGTGGGTTAGATACAGATGAAGGGCGGCCCTATACAGCACGTCCTTCTTGCCTTCAACTGGATCGATCTTGCGCTTGATAAAGAAGGCGCCCAGGCCGCGCAACAAGCCTCCGAAGACGGGTATCTGCAGGTTATTGCCGGCGGCCACCAGTGGACTGCGTATGTCATTGTTTGTGAGTATCCAGGTAACCATTATGTAGTCCAGATGGCTGCGATGCAGCGGCACGAAAATCAACGGAGTGCCGGGCGACTTTTCCGTGGCAGTCTTGAGCATTTCGATCTGCTTGGTGTTTGTCACCACGCCGGAGAGGAAGCAGGGCAGCAGCTTATACAGGATCCAGGATGTGAAGGCCAGCAGACCATTATTTAGGGTAGAGCCCATGTCCTTCAGAATGCTGATGGCACGCTGCTCTTGCTTGTGCAGAATGGCCTGGTACGAGATGCCCTGCTTCTCGTCCTCTTCCTCCGCCGCCGCCTGATCGCCGCTAGCGCTACGGGTAAGCAGTCGATGGCCGTTTTTGGCGTACCTCTGCTCTCGCAGCGTCAGCTCGGCCGCCTGTTTGATGGCGTGCTTGAGCACGACATCATTGTGGACGATTTCGGTGACCTAGGGGACGAGGACGGGTCAAGGTTAGCGTGCACGCTCCGCGGCATCAAGTGGGAAAGCTCACCTGTCGGTACTCAAACTTCTCGCTACGCACCACCTGTGCCAAATAGGGGAAAACGACGCCCCAGTCGAAGAGCCTCTTGAACGGCTTCTGGCCCGACTGCGGGGTGAGCTCCAACATGTTCTGGGTTCCGATGCCATGTGCCACCGAGTTTTGCACTTTGGGCTCCTGCAAAGAAACGATCAGAGCGAGATGCTGTGATGCAACTGGCGCACGTATATATAGAAGATGCTGACGAGAGAAATGTGGATACCTCGAACCAGCCGCGAGCGTGAAACTCCTTCACAACCATTATGAACACGGGATTCTCCTATTGAGCTTCAAGTTTTCGGAATTTCAAAGACAAGATGGAACCATGCGCCCGGCTTTTTTGCAGGAAATGGTCGATAGGTCCTGCTTAGCTTTCAGGATTGTTATCGATTGTCAGGATGAGGTGGCAACGCCGCGCGTATTTTGAAATTGAAAAACAGCGATTGGAAATTCATTGAGTGGAAAAATTTTCTTATCTCCGATACTCGACGTTTTTAAGAGGTGGAACGAAAAGTTATGCCCCATTACTTTTAATTTAAATTATATGCTAACTTTTTTAATTGACTTTTAATTTCGGTATCTATTTTTTTTTACTTGAGTTGAGTTACTTCTCGGAAGAAATTTATGACCACTTAAGCTGACTGAAAATAAAATGCAGTTATCTTAATCACCGGTATATAAAAATAATTAGATTATAAAACCTGCTAAAAACGAAATTGATATTTTATTGCCCGAAATGTTAAATGGACTTTGAGAAACACTTAATATTTCACAGCAATAAAGAAATGTACCTCCTATTACAAAACACTGGCTACGATCCTGGTGCTGCGTCATAATAATACATATATGGGGTTAATGGGTAGCGATTGGTTGCTGATAGACGCGAAAACTTACGTTGGATGAGCGCAGCGTGACCAGGAGGTCGCTGCGTATGGTGTTGATCTTGCCCAGGGACGAGCGGTAGCTCAGATTCAGGTTGGGAAACAGGCCAGCGATGATAACGGGTGCCCTGTAATCGGAGAAGCGCACAATCAATCAATACATTGCAATATAATCGCCGTGTCGTGGGTGGTGCTGAAATCAGGAGCACGCCATTAAAAATACAGCACCTCTCTCAATTAATATTCGACCACTTGAGCGGGCTACAGTCCAACTTCGCAAGAGTTCAATACCCGCTGGACAAGGGAGTGTGGGTATTTTTATATGGAAACGTACACCAGTTTTTAAGTAGTGCCTGCTACTGATAAGTTAGTTGCTCATAAAATATGGCACAGAACTGAACTTTGAGCGTGCTTTGTACGGCGGAATCATCATTCGAAAATCAGCTGATGTTGGGCAGAGGCTAGGCAAGCGATTGGCTTTTTCCCCAAAGCAAATCATCATACTATACACACATAAGTAAACATTACGTTTTTTAAATATATATTTTATATTATTAATCATTAGTTGACCCTGACTTTCCTTTAAATATTTGCATTTTATTTACAAAGTCGGTTAAAAACCAATTTCCATGGGTATTGTCTTTATAAGCATTATAAAAAGCACGTATTTTCTTTAGATACCACTTTTTGAACGCCACATTGTTTTCTTTATGCTATTCTTCAACTTGTTATAAAAAATAAGTTGCATGCTAAACAACAAATTGCATAATTAGTCTAATTTTTAAGCTTATTCGATAATTCCGCCCAAATCAAGAAGAAGAATTATCGATTTTCACAAACTAAAAATATCAATGCAAGGTATATCGCACAGCAGTGTTACCAACACACAAGGATAAGATCCGTTAGATTTCTTAAACTCCAAGCTAGTTTTTCCACTTGAATTTTTGTCGAAAAACAAGCGTTAATATGTTCCGACTTCACTGCAACAAGTGCTATCGCAACCGCAGCCTTGAGCCGGCCTTGACCTTCCACTTTTCCCGATGCCATCACATTCTTTGCGACAGCTGCCTGGACGACACCTCGAAGGACCAAAAGTGTCCGCTTTGCAGTCCCACTTTGCAAACACTCCCCATCTCAGGAAACATGCCTAGCGGCATGGCCCAGTATTTCGAGGATCCCACTAAGTTCCTGCAACTATATCGCAAGATCAGCAAGTTCCAGTCCGATCAAAGGACGTCGGACAATGTGGGATTCTGGCGCCAGATGCAAGAGGAAAAGGCATTGCAGCTTCAGCTCGAGGGCTATGCCAAAATGGAGGAGCAGTTTAACAAGCAAATCAACATAGAGAAGATGCGCATAGCGAAAATGCGCGACTACATATCATATCATGAGCAGAAGCAGATAGTCCGACGTCGCAGCATGGACGACTTCAAGGCTTTGAAGAGCGCCCACAAGCGCCATCGTCCACGGACCCCCTGTTTTAGTTCCACGGATGACACACGGTCGGAGGAGTCGCTTGGAGCTAGCCTGGATTCGGCACGCACACGCAGAAGATGAATCTAGATGAAAACCGTACGATGACTACCTTCCAGGATTCGGATTACACTGTTTAATAGTATCCTATCAGTTGCGATTAATTCTTAGTTGTTAAGAAGAAATTCAAAATTGTTTGAACCAGTAATCTTTCTTGGTCATTCTTTCACTGTTTAATAGTATCCTATCAATTGGGATTAATATTTAGTTCTTAAGAAGAGAGTCAACATTTTTGTAACCAGTAATCTGTTATTAATCTTTGGGATTAAGAACAGTGTAAAACTTTTTGTAATTAGTAATCTTTCATAGCCATTCTTAATATTATCAAAATAATTTGGTTGTTATCCTTGAAAATCGATCTGAAGTTGAACAGTTGTGTTAAATCTTACTCAATTAGAGGACCACGATATTAATATGTCATTCGATTTTCTTAAGATACCTTATCTTATATTCAAATAAATAACACCCTAAGCAAGGAAAGGTAAATCTTTGTTCTGAAGGCCATAAGCGGAACGAACAATCTGAGTAGTAATCTCCGAGTACTCTCAACGGTCATCTCGAGCTGTGGAAAATTTCAGTCAGCTAAGCCACTCGAAAGTATTTTAGTCTTCACGGGGAGCCGCCTGCTTCTCTGACAATTAATCAACAATGTTATTTAGGGGTCTAGGCCGAGTAAGAATTTGATGGCCGATACGAGATGAGAACCCACTTTCTTTGTAGCCCGAAGCTGGTTGAAATCCAGCGAGATTACGGAAATAGCTATTGTTAAATCTTAATCAGATAATTAGGTGCAAATTTAACAGCGGCAATCGCACCGATAATTGTTGCCAAGAATGATTTGCGGGCCAAGTCGAATGGGTGGGGGGGTTTAGTTGTTATCTCTTCGAGTGCAACATCGGCAATTGCGCCTCGAGACCGCTGGGTGGGTGGACGAAAAGGGTGGTGTGGGAGCTGGGCGCTCGGAAGAAAGTCTTAGTGCTGAGGTAAACAAAAACACAATTGACGTCACTGCACAGCCTCCCCATAGTCTGAATCTACCCCATTAGCACGTGCATGATAGGCGGAAATTTACATTCCTACACTATGGAGCCCCAAACGCATGCGTAAGTAGACAAAGGGCCGTGAGTCATGGCCATTGGAGCAACCACCTGTGCGACCAATAACAAAACAAAGCATATCCACAGTCGCAACTCACTAACTGAAACTTATCAAAGAAAAACTTTGAACCTTTTATAAAAACAGGCAACTTTTTGCCAATATTTTGACTGATTATTGGTAAAAGAGATAAGAGAATATCATTGTCGAATATTTATTTTTTTTTTTTATTTTGATTAACTCGCACATTTTTCTAAGTAAGCACAAAATAACCTTCTAAAAATATTAACAAAATAATTTGTAACTTTAAAGCTCATCAAAGAAACAGGAAAGTATAAAAATAGTCACAAATGGACATATGAATTGATAGTAACTAAGGAATTATGTTGGAATTATATTTGAAAATTTTGAAATTTTAAATTAGACATCTTATATTCCATATATTTTATTATTTGTTGGGATTCAAGGAAAACTTTGTGAAAACGACGAAAACTTTTGTTTGAAATAGTCATTTGGAAGTATTTTAACTGATTATTTGTAAAAAAAAAGCTAAGATAATGTTATTGTCTTAATTATTTTTGATTTAATCACACCTTTTTCTTGATAAGGACAATAAATTAATTTGTAGAAATGGAATCAATTTAAATTTTAGCTTTAGAAAGACTCAAAGAAAATATTTATTCTCTTGTGCACCAGGAAAGAATTCTTTCCTTATAAAAATTGGCACAACTTCATACATACAAATATGAATTTTTGTAATTGAGAAATCACGTTTGAAAAATTTGTAATACTCCTTACAATATTATTTGTTGAGGTTCAATGTTTTAAATAGTAATTTAATTTTTAAAAAATAATTCACTAGATTCACACAACTCTAAGCAACACACATACCATTGATCTGTTGAATTTATGAAACATTAAACTTTCTAAAATTATATTTCATGGCTAGACTTATGTTGCCTTGATCGACTCAAAAATTCGACTTAGGCAAGTATGACTGTGGCTCATTTTGCATGCATTGGATAACTTGCGAGTTGCCCGTCTAAAAATAACGGCGCTTCTTCCTCAGCCGCGTTACTTAAACTAGGAGGAGTAGGGGAGCAGGGGCGGGCGGAAGGCCGGTTAATAGGTGCCCGCAAGGCGAGATTTATTTGGCTTCCATTGGCGCTGCAGCCCGTGTACACTCACCTCGTCTTGGCGAATATGTAGTAGACAATAAGGGCAACTGATGCAATCTCGATACCGCCGAGCAAAGAAATCTCGGCGACGCGCTGGGCAAAGTTCAGGACGGTCGTCAACATGGTTATGTATGTGCTGTGCTATGCTGGACTTGCAAGTATCAGCCGGCGGCCAAGTGATCGGAAGTACTCTCCGATTTCCGATGTGGACCGACCCTGGTGATTAAACCAGCGACCAGCGGCGACCCTTTAGTGGCTGCGACTAGTGCGAAAAGAATATGGAGACGCAGAAAAACGGCGCGCATCCAGCGCTCTCTGCTCGCTCTGCGCTCTCCGACAGATGACAGCTGCTGTGCCGCTGCTCTCGCTGTGCTCCGATCGGTGGTGGTTGGCTATATTATTGCGTTCTACTCAATATAACCAGACATTGGTCGCGACCCGCGCATGAAAAGATCGTATGATCCGTGGCTTGGCTTGCCGTCCGCGATTACCGACACCGATAGCATCTATTTTTTGGCCAGCATCCGATGCAGTGAACAAAAGCCAAGCTTATTTCCGAAACCGGTCCAGCGGCTAGCTGGTTGGTTATTGCTCGAAATTACAGCGACGGTTAATTGAATCAAGTGCGCGTCGCGTCGTCCTTTATTCTTTCGCTGCCTTTGTTGTTTTTATTCGGAACGGGAGCGGGAATGGTATGGCGATTCACTTTTTACTGCTGATGCGCGACGTTCGACCGCGCAGCTCGAGCGTTCACCGTGGAATAACGTCGGCGGCGACGCTCGACGCTTAATTAAATGCCAATTAACGTGTGACAATAAATATGTACGGTCGGCGTGGCGAGCGAACGTGCACGAAGACCGGGATCGTCGCAGCACGAAGATAACAAAAGCTACAGCCACACAGCCACCGTTATCAGTGAGAACGAGTGATAATAGATCACTCGAGCAGCGAGAGAATCGAGAACATCTGGAGGCGAGCAAAAAGAGAGCGGTACTAAATGTGCCTAAGACTAAGAGTTTAATATGTATTACTTTCGCTCTGTATTATGAATAAAATTCATACAGCTTTTGTGGTTTATTATAATATAAAAGTGTGTCAGCTCTATACGGGGAAAGTAAGTTACTTCTTCGCTGGCTTCTTGGCGGCGACCTTCTTCTTGCGGGCGGCCAGGAGCTTGGCGCGGTTGGCCGCGGCCTTGGTGGCCACATTGGCAAAGTGCGACTTGGCCAGCTCCACGTTCTGTTTCTTGGCCTTGGCCAGCAGCTTGGCCACGGTACGCTTCTCGGCGGCGAGGGCAGCACGACGCTTCAGGACCTCGGCGTAGGGGTTCAGCTTAACCAGCTGGCGCACGTTGCTCAGGGGGTTGAGGCGGCGCTTGCTGCGGAACACGCGCTTGCGGGGATCGCGCAGCACCTTGCGGATCTCCTCAGACTTGAGCAGACGCGACAGGTCGGTGTTGGCCATCTTGGGCTGGGGCAGGTTGTAGCCCTTCTTCAAGGTAGCAGGCTTCTTCCAGGTGCCGAACAGATCGTTGAGGCGCGAGAACGCAGACTCGGTCCAGATAACGAAGCGACCAACATGACCGCCGGGAGCGAGCTTCAGCAGGTTAAGCTTGTCCACGCTGATGGTCTCGATTCCGGGGATGTTGCGGAAGGCCTTGCGCAGACCCTCGTCCTTGTGGTAGACCACCAGGGGACCACGACGGGCGATGCGGCGACGGTCGCGCATGGTACCACGGCCAGCACGGAAGCGCTGCGACTTGTACACCTGTTGAAAGGATACGAGCATGGGAATAAAGCATTAGTCAGTGACTAGTAATCTCTTAAAAACTAGGAATATGATTAGAATAGTTTGAATTCTACGCTTATTCGCCTTTCAGTTATAACAATATATTTTTTTTTAATTTAAATTTTAAATTAAATGTAAGTTAAATTTAACAAAGAAACAAGTACTTTGCATATATTGAGCTGTAGCTCTTCCGTTACCACGATGGAAACTTTGGATCAGGTTTCAAACGTAACGCCTAGAAGAGCAGATAATCTGGCAACGCAGGAAACCTTGCAAACATCCGACCACCATGCAGTAAGCCAGTTGTTTACGCGCTGCCACTTTTTTGATTTGATTTGATTTTATTTGCCTTCCTAACGCTACAAGTGTAAAACTTATAAATTAGAGCGCTAGTCACAAATATGATAAATATGATAATATTTAACAAATATTACTACTTCAAATCCCGATCTCAAATTCTTTAAAATTCTAATTCATTTGCCAAAATATGGGAATATTATACTTTTGTTTTTTGTTATTTTAGATCAAGGTCATTGCAGCCTTTCATAGAATTAAAATGTTTACACGCCACAGAACCGGTTTCTTAAAATTCCCCACTCCACTTGAATACGCACCTTCTGGATGTCAGCCCAGATCTTCAGGCGACGCAGGAAGATGACAGCCTGCTTGGTCTTCTGAACCTTCTGCACGTCATCGGAGACGACCAGGGGGATCTCAGACACTCCATCGATGACATGACCCTTGGACTGGACCAGAGCGGGCACGCCGGAGGCGGCGATGGCCGACACCAGGGCGTAGCGGCGCTGGTTGACATTCACCTTGCGGTGCCAGCGACGGAAAGTCTTGGTGGGGGCGAACATGCGTCCACCACGGCACATGTTGCCGAAGGCTCCCTGGCCGGAGCGGTGGGTGCCGCCGCCGCGGACACGGGGAATACGGGCCACGGCACGTCCAGTGCCCCAGGACTCGGCAGAGGTCTGGTGACCTGTGGAAATAAATTAATCCGTGTTAGACCACGCTAAACCTTTTGTTTTAAGGTCATTCCACTTACCGGCCAGCTCGCTCACGGCATAGGGCTGACGGTTGTTACGGCGCAGCAGCTGGTGCACGTCGTTGACCACATCCGGACGGATGGGGGCCTTGAACACGGCCGGCAGGCAGATGTTCTTGTCCTTAGCAGCCTCGTTCTTTTCCGTGTACACGGAGACCAGAGGCCTAGCGTTGCCTAAGCTCTGCAAGGGATAAAACGATTTCGAGTTTACTTTAAGGTCGGCATCACAAACACAACACTACATTTCGCCACCGCCGCACATTCCAAACACGTGGAGGTTAGGTAGACACTTTCGCACTATTTTCTGTTTGTTTCGTGTGTTAAAACCACTGTGCTGGCGTCTCTGGCGGTTGCGGCGCGCGTCCGGGTCGAAATCTCACCATTTTCGTTGAATTTCAAGTCCAATGAATGGTGTTTAATATTCTGCAAACGCAGATACCGTCCTCTTTTTAGTAAGAAGAACGAAGAAAGAAAGAGAGCTGCCGGAAATGGCGGAAAAGTGCTGGCAAACGCGTTCGGAACGCAGAGTTGCATTTCCCAACAGCGGCGAGTGTCAAGTTAACAGCGCTTGCGTTCGTTAGTCAACACTGTCATGTTAGTCGGCATTTGTTTATGTCCTGTTAACAGCTCAGTGGCATCAGTCTTGTAAATTCAAAGCAGTAGGACCTCTAGATTGAAAAATTTTGCAACGCTACAAGCCTCAAGAATCTAAAAATGTCTGGTTTTAACAGTTTTTTCTGGGAACAAAATACTAGCGGCTTATAGTATTCTTTGTAGTAACAGAAGGTATTTTTTACCCGTAATACCACGGTCACATTGGCAAAATTTTAATATAAATATTAAAAACAAAATAATAATAATGGCCGGAGAAGTTATTGTGGATGCCTTGCCCTACATTGATCACGGCTACGATGATGTGGGAGTCAGGGAGTCGGTATGTGATTGAAGTAAGCGGCCAGTTTGGCGTATTTGTTAATGATTTCAACGTTTTAAGGCACTCGCCATGGTGGAGGAGGAGTGCAGACGCTATCGCCCTACAAAAAACTATTTGGATCACTTGCCGCTGCCAGCCTCGTCGCCATTTGAGACTCCTCTGATGGTCAACGAGTTCGAGCGAATCCAGAACCGCCTGCCCATGGAAACGCTTTCCATGAAAAGGTACGAGTTGCCTCCGCCTCCGTCCGGAAAGTTGTCAGAAGTGTCCGCTTGGCAGGAGGCCATTGAGAACTCTATGGCACAACTTGAGCACCAGTGGGTGCGCTCTCTCAACCTGGACCTGATGCTCGACTACGGCACGGAGGCGTGGAAGTCCTACCTCGAGGTATTTACCGCCATGCAGGCAAAGGCGCAGTTGCAGTTGCAACAGCTGAAAAAGGACATCCAGGACGTCAACTGGCAGCGAAAGCAAGCGCAGACACAGGCCGGCGAGAGACTGCGTTCTCTGGAGGCGCACTGGGTGCTGTTGGTGTCCAAGAACTACGAGATCGAAACGGAGTCTGCGGAGCTGGAGAAGCTCGTGCATGCCGCTCGCCAGAGGCTCGAGAGTCTTGCTCCGCCAGCTACTGCTAATGACACGGCTCCTACTCCGGAGCACACTAATGGATTTGGCCAGGACGTACAGGACGAGAGCAGTGGCAGCAGTTCAAGTGTTAGTAATAGTAATGATGCCAACGAGGGTGAAACTGCTGACCAAGGCGAGGAAGATAAAGACGAAGCTTCAACCGCCGCGCAAGACGAATCTTCCGATGGGTCATCAACTTAGATAGATATATTTCTACTTTAAATAACCATTATAAAAATAATGCAGGATTGTAACTATGATGTTCACGAGTAAAGGCATTTAAAGACCACCTTTATCCTTATTTATTTTTGTGAAACCAAATTTATGGAATCAAATTTTACATTTGATTGAAATTTTTAAATTTGGTATTTTTTTAGGCTCGCCTCAAAGTGCGGTATATTAAGGCGTTGCAAGTGCGGTCACACCATAGTTACGCTTGCGCATTGTAGACATATTTCAATTGTTGTTTAAACAAATTAATGGCCACAAAGACGCTTTAACTAACCAGTGCAGACTTTTTAACAGTGTTATAATGACCTTGAACCCAAGTACAATCTGGTAAAGGGATATCTAACGGCCTTGAGAAGTGTAACAAAATACGCCTGCCACTCTAGGCGCGCGTGATTGTGTGTGTGCCTGCCATTGATTACATAGTTGGCATAGGCCATCAGCAGGTGCGAGCGAGAGGGCCGACGTGCAGCATCCAAATCCGAAAAAGGGGCAGCAACAGAAACGGCATTCCATTCCCCGAAAGCAGCCTCAGCAGCAGACTGGATCCATGAGAAAGGTGCGTACGGTACGGCGGTATCGCCAGATGTGTGCCACGATCTGCTTCTAGTTTTCTTTTTCACCGTCCCAGTGAGCGCCATGCATCATCATCATCCGCCGTTGCCCATAACTGGCGGCGTTTCTCCGTCCGCTGTCGCCGCAGGAGGTGGAGCAACGGGATTGTCGATAGACTCTTCGCCAGCAGCTGCCACCGGACCAACGGCCCCCGCAGCTACAGCGTCCAATTCAAACACCCAGCAGCAGCAGCGCCGGCGCAAGAAGCGGCCCAATTACAACTACAATGGCATCCGCACTGTCGAGGTTCGCAGGGGCTACAACGGCTTCGGGTTTACCATCTCCGGACAGCAGCCTTGCCGGCTGTCCTGCATAATCAGCAGCTCGCCCGCGGAGCAGGCCGGCCTGCGTTCCGGTGACTTTCTCATTTCCGTGAACGGCCTCAACGTCTCCAAGCTGCCGCACGAAACCGTGGTGCAGCTGATAGGCAACTCCTTCGGCAGCATCCGGATGCAGATCGCCGAGAACTATTACTCGGATAGCTCGGATGAGGAGAACGCCAACGCCACGCTAAGGGGTCAACTGCTGGCCGCCAGCCTGAGGCACAAACCGCGCTTCCTTCATCACAAGGCCAAGCTGCATAGGCTGCGTAACTCGCCGCAGAAGAAGCTGCCTCTGCCGGAGGCAGTGGAGCCAAGTCCAAAGCCATCTCCGGATCATCTGACCCTTAGACCGGTGCTGGAGGATGCCCCGCTGGTGGCCAGTCTGTCCAAGGCGGCCGACGTGGCTAATGTCAGCGCCATGGTACGGGCGGTGGGCAGCGCTGCTTTGGAGTACCGCGTTATTGTGGGATATTTGGGTACCATCGAGATGCCCAAACAGATTTCACATAGCTCCAAGCTACAGACAGTGCGTTCCTGTATCCGCAAGCTGCGCCAGGAGAAGCGACAACCCACCATAGTCCTCATGTGCATCACCCCGGACAGCCTGAGCCTGCAAAGTGCCGGTGGCGGGGTCCTGGCCACGTACTCCTCGGCGAGACTGAACTACGTTAGCTCCTCGTCGGAGAGCGAGAATCGGTTCTTTGGCTTGGTGACCAGCGCCGTGCACAACACCCAGATCGAGGAGGAGTACGAGCCTAGTGTAGGCAGTGGAGCATGTGCATCTGGCCACATCAGCATCTCGCACAGCTGCCACGTGTTTGTCATCGATACAAAGCTGATTGAGCATGCCCAGCACCTGCAGCGGGCACACGAGTTCCGGCTCCAGTGCACCCGGGACCCCATCTCCAATTTATGCCTTGAGTTTCCTAACAACTCGGAGTACGTGGTAAACCTGGTCCGCAGCATGTATACCATGCGCATTTTGCCGCCGGCCAGTCGCAGCCATCAGGCGGACTTCGAGGCTGGAGCTGGAGTCGCCGGAGCCGCTGCTCACTCGCCGCAGCCCTCGAACCATAGCGAGATATCCACCACCACCTCAAACTCCGATTCGGGCATTGGCTTCAACAACGATTGCACCAATATTTCGGATCGCATTCTGGTTGTGGATTTTCTGGGAGCCGAAGCGGGAGCAGCACATGCCGGCCTGCCAACCCACCCAGCGCCAGCGCGGCCGTTGGGCATTGTGGGGATCCCGGACAACCGACTGACTGTGCGGGCCATGCCCGATCCATCGGGCCATCCAAAGTCGCCGCCAGGAAGCTCTTCGCTGCGTCGGCCCAATCTCCTGGCCAGCTTCAATCTCATTAAAAGTCCGGCCACGAACCTCACGTCCACCCGCTCTTGTGACGATGTGTTGAACCTATTCGTGGACGATTCGCCGCGAGCACTGGGCGCAGTGGCCTCCATGGACGACATCTCACTGCACTCGGCCGCACCGTCTCTGGATGAGGCGCACACCTTCGCGCATCCAGCTTGTGTGCCCCGAAAGATACGCAGATCCTTGATCTTGGAGGCTTCATCAACTCCGCACAAGCTGAGTGCCCAGGTCTTTGGCCAACCTGGTTCGCGTCATTCCCTGGGATTCGAGGCCATCGACAATGTCCAGTCGTCGTCGGCCAGTGTTACCTGCATCGATCAGGCCATGGATACATGGGCCAGTCTGCAGAACTTGCACAAATCTCACAGGGAACGAGCCAGTCTATCGGCGTCATCGTCTACGCATTGCCTTTTGGAAGCTACGAATAGTGAACCGGATCTTGGGGTGAGTGATATTCTTTGGAAATATTTTTTATGGTTTTTTTTACTAGTTCTATAATGTTTCTATTAAATCGTGTAATTTATTGCTTTTCATTTTTAATTATTTGTGTTAATCATATTCTGGGAAAGCTAAAGCAATATTTTAAATTTTGTCGAAGAGGTTTTATATGATTTTTTCCAGCATTGACTTAAAATATTAATAATGGTTTATTAGTTTTTTAAACGTTTCTGAAGAAGTACAATGGTTTATTCCATAATATTTATGGTAACTTCTACACAACGTTTTTTTCAAACCCTCTACCTTGTTGAACCGTTCCTGTGCGCAGGCGAAAATCTGTTTACCTGGACGCCGCTCCAAGTTATCTGGGTTCTCGGAGCTTATCGCCCCGCTCCGCTCCTTTCCACTCTCCGGGCCACGAAGATAAGCGACCAGAACTCTCGCATGCTCTCCGAGTCCCGGTGGCCATATATCGGCCTTTCCTTTGTCATTCGTTTGCCGGCCCTTGGTTCGTCCGGAGTTTTAGTAGCCAAAGTGACGCTTTTGGCAATAGGTGGGGCATTTTTCCGGTCTTCGTGCTGTTCGCTATTACGGTTTCATTTACAGCCATTACAACTCGGCTCCGATCGGTATTGTCTGGGGAGCGCGTCATGTGTGATAAGAGCGGAAATCGCCGGCTAAAAATAGAGTGCTTTGCTCCAATGACGTCATAGGCGTAGGTCACGACGACTGGAGCCGCATCAGAGCAGCTGCGTCGACGCCTCCTGGGACAGCGAGCTTAATTCAATCTAAAGCAATTAATGGCGTCGACGTCTGCTGACCTTTTCGCTCCTCCCGCCGCCGCCGGTCCCCAATCTGCCGATTCGAATTCCCATTCCCGATCCGAATCCCCGATGTTTTCGTCGGTTCTCAGTAATTCAGTTTGATTTTCGATTTGACAAACACGCGATTCTGTACGATTTGGTCGCCCGTTGCGGTTTCACTTTCGCTGTACAGCGATTGTTTACTTCGTGCGTGGAAATTACAAATAAATAAAATTACCGTCGCGAAAAGCTGCTCCATAAAGGGTTCATCGCCAGTTCAAGGAGCCCGCTCAGCAGTTGTGACTGAAATAAAAATATATAAATTCTCATTACGATAAAACAAGAAAAAGAAGGAACAAAGTCTGACAGACAAAACGTGTACGGAGAATTGCAAGTTCAATTGTGAAACAAAAAAAATTAACAACAAAAAGCCAAACAAACAGTCAAGCAAAAGCCAGCTCAATGCAAAAATGTCATTTCGAGAACTCGTTTGTGGCCTGTACTCGGAGGAGAGCCCGGTAAGCTGACAGCATGTGGATATATCTCACACTTATCGTTGTTTTCCCGCTGATCGATTACGCTGACTACTCCCCCGAACTTCTCGGATGAACTTGTCAGGCGAGATTGACCTTTCGGGCTGTAACCAGTAATTAGAGTGATTTCAAAGCTCCATTTTTGGAATATGTTACTCCTTGTGTCAGTTGCTATTAGCTTAGCTTTATGCCCAGCTGACTTGCAACCTATTCATCCAGTTATCGCAGGGCTCCTTATCCTACTCACCACGTCAACGGTGATTTTTCTACAGTGTTTCGGGGGACTATACCTATGTACATAAGGTATTTGAAATTAGTAATCTCTGTTGAATGTTCGTAGTAGGCTTTCATGTGTTTACTTATTTCAGCATGTTCTTGCACCTTTGATAGCATGCACTAGTTGCTTTCTCATGGTCGTAATCGGGGAACAGTGCCTCCTTTGTCCACAATCTCAGTATATGGTGACACCTGGACAAGTGTTAATTAAACAATCCTGATTACACCAACCAAAAGCTAAAGCAGACTGAGCTAGAAAACTTCTTAAAATAACGTTCAAAGTATTATACTTCGGAGTTCTTTGTAGAAATTGAGCACATACACCTTTATCGGACAAATATTTATATTGGTTAATGTCAAGTTAATTAATTAACATCTATTAATATCGAACATGCTGACATTACTTTAATAAGTCGATCAATCATAGGTTTATCAGAAAAACACCTGCTGGCATATGCCAGAACCATTTAAGGGTAAATTAAATTAATAAAATTTCATTAAAACTAGTTAACTGTACGAATTCGCTCGCGGCGTGTTTAATTTTTGAGATTTCCACCACGATAACAAGCAATTGACTAATGGGTGAGCCAGTGTCAGGTGCCCTTTTGACCCCATACCGCTCCGCGATGACTTGACTTATTTCTGGTCTTTGCTGGCACGCAATCCGGGACATAGTTGGCCGGCTGTTCCAACAGGTTGACTCCGCTCTGACGGCATTTTGGCGGCAACCTGCGCGGTTTCCCTTGCTTCAAGGTGGAGTGGCACATGCCGTCACAGGTGCAAAAGGAAACAACCCTCGTGCTGCAGTCGACAATGAAGGAAATTAAGGAAATGAAGAGGGAGGATAACCTGCCAAGCGAACGTTACTCGGCTTCCCTTCTGGCCAAGCGGATCGTCATGGGAAATGGGCTCGGCTTGAACGCTTGACTTTGGCTATCTGGCAGCGGTTTGGGTAATTCAAGTTGTTGTTTTTGCGGAGCAGTTAGCCACGAAGCGGCCTCTGTCTGCGACTTCTGTTACCAAGGCCTAGAAACTTGTAACGTATTTGCCGTATGACGCACGTGGGAATGGAAAAACCTTATGCTACAAATGGTTAACCTAATGTATCTGTCAGATAGTCTAAAGTCACATATGTAGCTGAAATTATCATCAGTGGCTTATCAGTACCTCTACCCCAGGGCCAAATGCCAGAGCCTCAACGCTACTGACAAAACAGAATATTTATTTTTAAAATGCATTATATTTAGCTGGCTCAACATAACCGACTGTGTGATTGCTTTTGTTTTTGGGACCCATGTTTTGATAGCAGCGAAAAAAAGAGCAAATAAGAGCAGTGAATGGGGCTGCCGGTCCGAAGTACGTCAGAAACGCTGCTAATAATAAACACCTTGCGCTCCAGGCACGTAACCTGCCAATTAATATAGCCGAAAGCAGTTGTCTGAAAAACCCCGCCGCGGACAGCAAAAAAAGATCAGGCCAAAAGGGCCCTTGGGCGATCACATGATACCCGACGGATGACTGACTCCAGATCTTGCGGTATTCCCATGCAGTTAATAAAGTCAATAGGCCTTTAAGCGGAATTATGAATAAGTTAAAAAGTAAACCCGTTTAAAAATACTTTTTTAACTATATTAGTAAATATTAGCAAAGCATTTTTATTTATTTGGGCAATATCCTTCGGATTAAGTTTGAACGACGATCATATTATAACAAGATTGTTATTTATTTTTATGCAGTTAAATTTATGCGTAAATCAATAACCATTAATGTGAATATACATTTTAAAGACGGAAAATTACAAATTCCCACAAAAAATTCCAGACATTCAGTTTAATATGGTTCTCTTCCAGAATTTTATGACGTAGCTCTATAATTAGAACTTTTATAACATTAGTAACTAAATGTAATGGTACACGATTTTTAGGATTGGCCACGGCAGTGACTCAATGGCTAGATATCGTTCATTACAGGGTATAGAAACATTATACAAAATGAACTGCAGTTTAAAATTTATGCATTCAGCAAGTGCATGGAAAACACCTGACTCGGCTGTTCATTTTCCACCCTGCCTTCGGGCTTTATGTTCAGGTTTTAGTGCTCACTAAATGACTAACTGGCGAGCAGCAAAAACAACAGCCAGCGTTACAGTGAACGCCGCCTAATAGGGCTCGTTTCCTTACTGCATTTACTTTTACATTTATATACCCTAGCAGGGTATTATTAGTTTAGTCAGAAGGCCGAACGCAGGTAGCTTTCCGACTCTGTAAATCATATATTCTTGATCAGCAGCCGAGTCGATTTAGCCATGTCTGCAAGGGGTTAAAATGGGAAAGAAATTTAGTTATAAAAAATTGTATGCAGTATGCAGTATGCAGACTTATTAACCTAGAAATTAGCATTGAAAATCTTTTCGAATTGAAATCAATGCATTTTTGGCTTAGTTATGAGTGATTGATTTAATGTGTAGCCCTTCGATCCAATTGCAAAACAAACTTTGGCTTTTCAAAGTTACTTACTTACTTTCCTATTATGTAAGAATTTCTTTTGAAAGAACGAAAAAAATTTAAATATATTATTTTAGAGTCATGTAAACCCATAATTTTCTTTATCAAAATATTGCGCTGTACAGAGGCTGCACTGTAACGAGAACAGCGAAAGCGGCAACGTCAGAAAACGCTTGTAAACCGCGCGCATGCGCTGTCTTTTTCTCGCACTCGCACACCCTTCGAGCTCCCTCAACAGCTGCGTTGTGGCCGCCGTTTCAGCTGCCCGGTGCTGTTTCTGCTGCCATTGGTAACGTGTTGTTGTAGCTGTCGTTGCCTTCGATTTGAGCCAGGTTAACAGCGATCGGAGCTGCGAACGTCGCTCACATACCGCGAGTGAGTCAGTCATCGAGCGCAGTTCATACGATCACAACGTGTATTTAAAACACCTGAGAGCCGCCGAAAAACAAAGTTAAAAGGCTAAATTAGCCGAATAAACAGAACGTGAACTCCGTGAAACACCTTTAACCGGGTTAATCACCTGGACCTAGAACCAAATTATTGTGTACGTCCAGAAGCGATCCATCAACGCCCCCTGAAACGAAGAATCTCGCACTCATCTCATCGCTCGCACCGAAGAGCATCAAATATTGGCTGGGAAAATAAAAACAGCAGTCAATTGAACTTTTGACGGCCACCAGAAATAGAACGTGCTAAATAATATACAAACATAGATACTGAAAAAAAAAAGAAATGAGAAAAACATGGAAATGTTTTCTCCGATTGCGCGAATTCCACTGCACAAACACATTCCATTTCCATTGCCTTGATATGCAAAATAATCAAACAAATGAAATCCCAAAGCGACGTCATTGCTAAAAACGCGTAAAACGCGAAAACGCACAGCATAA